AAACTAGTAATATAAAAAGCTTAAGCAATGCAATAATGATTTATTTGTTCTATGGTTATTATATAGTATATATTTTTTCTTGTTCTTGATTTATATAGAAAATAAATTTCTGAAAAATAATACAGTCAATTGATTTTGTTACGTCAAAAAGTAACTATAGTGATTTAAAAGGTATATGAATTTATAACATAAATTTTGATTACTATAATTCTGTAAGTTAATTATATTGAAGAAGTTGTTAATTATCCGTTTTTGCAAAAAATTTTGAAAATTTTAAATAACTTGAGTATTTTTTTGATGAAAAATTTAAAAAAAAAACAACTTGACTTTCAAAAATTTAAATTAATTTGATTAGAAACATATTTATTTTTTGAGTTGTGATGGTGCATTTAAATTATGCTTCATTTAACAAAACTTAACTCTAAATTATTACATAAACTTTTAAATTTATCTATGATTTAAAATTTGTAATTGATTTTTTTAATAAAATTAATAGTTTATTTCCTATTCAAAATTGAACCTTAAATCATCAAATAAGGGTACATTTTCAACATATATAGATTACATACGAACTAAAGTAACTTTAAAAAATAAATCTTTCACAAACATGCTTATTAACATAGACTTCAGTTTTACAGCCCAAATATACATTTACTCAAGTTTTACAACATGATTTTTTTTTTTAAAGACAAGAAGACAAAGTTTAACTATATTTAAAAAACTATTTTTGCAATCTTGATTAGGATTTTCCACCTAAATATTTCATACTCCTACTTTGTGGCGTTTATTTATCGCAACCAAGCTTTAGAAAATCTTCTTGAATCAAATGAAATTTGCAACATAGTTCCTCAGATAAATAACTTAAAAAGTCTTGAACATCATCTTGAATAGTTGGATCCATGTCGATAATGTCTTTAATATTAGTGTTAATACACAGTTGGTGTCTCAAGTAATCGTGCACTTTTGATTTTCGCTTCATCCACTTACCTGCTACATAAAGCGTTAACTCATCGAAATAGTTAGGAACCCTGGTTGGTTCCCCAAACGGATACTGAAGATAAATTTCTCGGCATTCAAAGAGCTGCAAAGAACAAATTTTCTGATATAAATAGCTCAAAATATCATTTGTGGGTTTGTTCAATTTTCTTGATTCTTGAAGAACAATGAAAGGTAATCTTGCAAGATAAAATTCTTTCAGGTTGTCGTTACTAATTTTTTCATCTCCTTTGATTTCGAGAGCAAAATTCAATCTATTTACTCCACAAAGTTCTGCCAGCTCTAAGGTTTCAGCATGAGACATATTATTAATTCTTTTTAAATAACAAGAATGCAAACTACAAGTTGCCTTTTCTTCGACAAAATAGTAAAGCTGTTTGGCAGGCATCAGTTTATTTTCTTCCGATAATAACTTCCATTCATATTCATTTATTTCATCTCGGTTTTTCAAGTTCAGTTCTTTTAAAACAGTTCGGAAAAAGTTTTCTTCACCCAAAGATGGTTTTTCCTGAACTATTTCAAATAATTTTCTAATGCATTGTAAATCAAGCTGACTTTTGAAACCCAAATAAGCCTCCAAATCTTCCGGTAAAACTACAAATGCTAGTATAGGTAAAGATTCGATATCTATATTGCATATGATTTTGAATTTAGAAGAATATAATTCAATGGAATAGCATTTTTTAGAATTATTTGATAACAAACAAGGTACAGACATGCATTTTTTTCGAAAAAAATTTAAAATTTTGTTCCTGTCTGGTGAAAACTTATTTTCTTTCCACACTTCAGTTAGCTTAGCGAAGAACCACTCCACGTTTTCTTGTTCAGTAAGGTGATCGCTATATTTTTCATAAATTTCTGCGAATTCCAGATTACGGACACCTAAATCAGCCAAAAGTTTTATTACTTTTACGTTGCAATCGGTTTTATCTCTTGCATAAAAATGATAAGAAAGTAATTCATTAAGAGAAATTACGACATTAATTCCTGGAATAGGACAATAGTAACCAGAATCTTTGGGTGAAGACCAATAACAGTCGCATGCTGGTGTAAACATGTTATTTTCAGTAAGAAGAGGTAGCTTTTTTAGATTTTTTTTATCTTTTGAGTTAAGATCAAGATAGTATTTTGAAATGAATTCAGTTATTGCAAAATGATTATCTATATTCACTTTATTCAATATTTCTTTGGCTTGGATCCATTTTAAAATAGTTCTATGTATAACATCTAATGGCGTTATGCTTTTTGAAACCCCAATTTTTTCATAAAAGACAACAATTGGTTCAGCAGCTTTCTTTGTAAAAACTAATTCACTATCAGCTATTGCACTTTCTAATCCCTTGATGTTTGGAACGGCAGATTGAAAGTAACATTTTCGAGCTTCTCGAAATGAACAAGCACAAGTTAATATCGGCATTTTAGTCAATTCGGTTTTTTCTGAAATTGTCAAACCTTTTTCTATGTCAGGGTAATTAAATGCAAAATATTTTACAATGGGTGTATAGTTCCATAGTGTCAGCTCTTCGTTGATCGTTCCATTTTTAAGCCAATGAAGTATGCTTTTTCGCAAAACATCGCGAGCTGTTATGTTACGAACTCCTAGTTGAAAGAAGAAATATTTCAATAAATTCATATCATAAGAAGAGGATATTCTGTCTTCATCTAAAATAACATCAGCCAATTCTTCAATAGTTGTGGCATCAGAAACATAACACAAATGAGCCAACTTAAATTGTTTGGCCTCTGTGAGTACAATTAACTTTTCTCTTAATATTTTAATTTCTTCTTCAGTAAACTCGGTACAATATTTAGCCAAGTACTTCAATATCTGATCATGATTTCTAAAAGTGATTTTGTAATGTAAACTACCATTATAAATCCAATCAAAAACACTTTCTTGAAGAATACGTCGAGACGAAGACAACCATTTTGCACCAAAGTTAGTCAACCAATATTTTACATCATCACAATTTTTAGTTGGCAAATATTCATTATCGATAGGATTAAACATAAGAAAATCAGGTATAGGATGATCAGCATCTTCCAATATTGCCTTATTTGGCTGTAATAGCATTCCATTTTTTGTGGTTAAAAATTGCAAATTCTTTAATATTTTCCCTTCCTCAGTGTAGGTTTTAACATTTTCAAAGAGATAATATATAAAATCTATGTAAGATTTTTTATTCAATTGATAATAATATTTTGTATTAAAAGAATTAAATAAATTCTGAAATGAATAGTGTTTCACTTCGAGAGAAGATAATAAATGCCTATCCTTTACATTATAGTTGATCAGATACGGACACACTTGTTCATCACTAATATATTGAAAATTTTGTGCAAAAAAATTTATATCATCTGTCCATGCTTCACCTAGTTTAAGTAAATAAGAACCTACAAACGATGGTATCCATGCAATCTCAGTTTTAGCAGCTTTAAAGCCATCTGAAAACTGATTGCAAAAAGCTTTGAACGGATGGTTAATATTTCGGACCAGGAGTTTTATTACATAATTTTTTAAGAATTGAATCCCAGCTAACTCTTTAAGTAGACACAATTGTAAATAACCAACTGACTTAATCAAAAACTCATTCCACTCATTTTCATGGAACTGAGTTCTGTCTAGATTCAGAATAAAAGTACTGTTGAGGTTGTAAGGTAGTGATAAACATAATTGTGTTGGTAATGTACTAAAACATAGTCCCACGATCTTTACAACTTCTTGAAAAGATTGCCTACAATTTACTGCAAAAGTAATTGGAATTTTTTCAGCTTTTTGTATTTTCTCAGGATAAATAAATTTACTAGCCCCTTCAATCATTTTTTTTACCTGGCAAGGAACAGGTTGTTCATAAGTTCTCGTTATCCACGAACTCACCGTTTCTTGGTTTTTGTTGATATAAACTTTATTGAAAACATCAAATTTCTCTGTTGTTCTTGATAAGTTATTTTCTTTATTTTTCAAATTAATTCTCAACTTATTAATACGGTGCAAAAACAATAGCTGAGATGGGTGTCCAGAAAGTTCCTCCAGTTGGTTTTCAAGCTGCTTAACATTAATAACCTTTAAAATAAAATTAACTGGTTGATTGTATGAGTATTTTTCGGCGAGTGGCAACTCATTCATTTCGCACCAAATGGGGATAACCTGCCATGGTCTGTTTTCAGGATCTTGCCAGTAATTTTTATCAAATCGAAAGGAATAGCCATTAGAAATAATGTAAATACATTCAGATAAATTAAACAATGATTTGAAACCCAGACCTTTATATCCTGTCTTACTCAAATCGTTTGCTTTTACTTCTTCAATTTGGGAAGCATAATCGCATATTCTTTCAACATCATTAAAATCGAACCCTTTTCCATTATGATGCACAATAAAAAAATTATTTTCCAAGCTAAACTTAACTTCTATGTCCTTGAATGGATCGTCAAAAGCGTCATCTGCATTTTGTAAAATTTCGTATAAAAACTTACTTTGGCCACTCAAAGCCGTTTGGATAACGGTATTGGAAAGATTGGTGAAGGATCGCAGAAGCCTTGAAGGCGTCGTATATTCTTTAAATATACTATTTACGTGTTCCTTCTGAGGATTTATCACATCGGTAGTCTCCATAATTGGACTAAACTAAATTTTTTTAACTATTTTATATTTTTAGAAGTTGACACAAAGTCGCCGAATTTTGTTCTCTATATAAAGTTTCAGGTCAGAAAACGGGAAAGATGAGAAACAACCGTTTATTCGGAACCGAAACTTATGAATCAAATAGACATTTAATCGCTTGTAACCTTTAAATTTAGCTACGGGATGGAGGATCAATAGTGATGTAAAGAGTACTCGTGGTTTTTAATTTCACACAGAACGTTTGTGCGAAATTAATATTCTGTCGATGCGGTGCAAACCGTTTTTTGAGTTTTAAGTCATAAAACTCCACAAAAAATATCGTTTTGATCGCAAGAATGATGAGCGTAAAGTCTGTTTCGTTTATTAAGATGAGAAACGAAAATACTTTCCTTTTGCTACGGATCCACCCTTTTATGGAAATCGGAGGCCAAGAACCTTGTTTATTTTTTTCTTAAATTAGTTAGTCAGTTTATTTATATCCTAAATTTGTGATTCACCCTCATAGTACTATTAAATTTTTTCCAATTTTATTAGTAGTGAGTATTTTCATTAACTAATCTAAATAGGGTTTTATTTAATGAACTTGAATGTTCATGTTTTTGTAAGACAGGAAGAGCGTTGATTGTACATAGAAATTATTCTTTATTATAATGATTTTTTTAAATTAAATTCTTCTTTAGCAAGTTTGTTATTTCTGTATTATTTATGTATTAATAATTATTATATCAAGGTTACAAAATCAGATGTATTACTTTTGAAAAAAAAAAGTTCAATTTTTTTCTCTTCTTGTTTGTGTGTATTTTTGTTTTACTCCTTCATATAATATTTGTTTTAGCAACTAAAATTTAGTAATAAAGTTTGTTCAAGTTCCTATTTGTATTATTTAATTAACAGTATATCTAAAACGTAAATTATGTGCTTTTGAGATTTAAACTTATTATTATTAAAATCCTTTAAATAGGTAGATGGGTTACCACATTGTTTTATTGTTCTCATTGGTACGTTATGTTATGCATTTTTCTTTTGATGCATTATTTTAGACTATGACAACTTAACAAGTGTATTTTTTAAGTAACAAAATTTTGTTTTGCTTACAGACTGTTTACTATTAGCAGTTTAGAAACACTATTTTTTAAAATTAATTATAGATTGTGTTTGAACTTTAATACTGTAACGTTTTCTTATGGTTGTATTGAACAAATTATATTTAAAGTGGAACACTCAGAAGAAAAGGGTTTGTTCAAACTTAATATGAGAAGAAAATATGTGTTGTTTTCCCTTTGTTGCATTCTCTTTTTAAACATATAATCCAGATATAATAACATAAATGAGTCCAATCTTACTAAGATTATTTTATGTAGTTAATAATTATGAAACTTATAGTTTAAGTTTTTGTATGATCATTCAAATTTGTAAATTTATATTTCAGGTTATTTACAAAGTACTGCTGTGAGACATGGAGGTAAATAACTCTTCAATTCTTTTTTTGTTTCAAATACATGAGTATATAACTAATATGATTTATATTTTCTTATGATGGCTGTTGCTGTTTTTTGTTAATTATTTTTTTCTCATCTGATCATAATAATAACTGATGAAGTGTTCTTTATTTTAGAACAATGTTATTACTTCTGTTACTTTATTTAGAAGCATATATATATATTTTTTTAAAATTTACAGCGATATTAAATATTGATTTTATCAATTTTAAAACATGATCAGCTGCCGCAGGTGTTATTTATTTGCAGTAAATGTTAAATTATTTGCAGAATTTGATGCATCCACCGCAACCAAACAAATTCAAGAGATAATTGTAAAAAAATAATGATTGTTTTTGAGTTTTTCAATTTTAAATGGCATTTTTTTAAAATATATATTTGAAAAACGAAAGAGAAGAAAGGAGATTAAGGATTGCAATAGAAGAATTAGTATTGGCAATTGAAATGGGCTACAGGTTGCATATGGTTGTGTATCTGATACAGATACGTGTATCATCAGAAGCCGGTGACCTTCGTAAACCAGAATCTGGGATTTTTTCTAAGTGTTTAGAAATTTGAATTCCTTATCCTATAACTTATAAGTTCTTTTAATACTTAATACCAACAATTGTGAGTAAGTCAATAATTTATAACCCTTAAATTATCAATTAAAATCTTAATTAAATTATCAATTAAAGTCTTTATTAAATTATCAATTAAAATCTTAATTAAATTATCAATTAAAATCTAATGACGGATTCAATTAGCAATTTCGTTGAAAACAGCGAGTGATGATGTTTAATTGTAATGCGGTGAGTTCTTGAAGTATTTAGTGATTAAGTCTTAACTCTTCAATCTGTATTATTATACTATGCTCACAAGCTCTGCTAAGATGCAAAAAAAAAAAATAGTATTTTTATATTCAAAGTAAAATATTTATGTACAAAATGCAATTGTGCTTTATAATTGATTTCATAATGTTTCAAAACAGTTTAGTATGTTAATGCTGATAATCAGGTTAGAGTTGGAGGGATTTAGTGATTTTCCTTAAAGTTGTCTAGGTAGAAGTCTAGTTTAGATATTATTTTAAGGTACTGTGAAGGAAAGTGTAAAATAGTATTTTTATTGAAAAAATGAAGTATAGACTAAGACTCATTCTTAGTGAAATGGAACAGAAAAATTGAGATCAATAAAATTTGTTTTTGTGTTTATTACCACTTTTTATGTAACTTTTTATGTTTTTACCACTTTTTATGTTTAGAAGTAAATTTATTAGTATTTTATTCTAAAAAAGATCCAGAAGTATTTTGGTTAAAAACTATTTTTTTACTTTTTAATAGTAAAACTATCCTGTTTTATTATTTTTTTATTTTCTTTTTTTTTAATCTTTTGTATAATAGGTATGATGTTTAATATTATATGAAATATTAGAAAATAGGCTCAGAAATAAAAAGAAAAATGCATGCATTGTTAATATATCAGCCACCATCTGTAATTATGCAATTTTGTTAAATTATGTTAAATTTCAAAATGGCCGTGTAAGCTTAGTTTTGGTTCAAAATTTTTTTAAAAAACTATTCTAGTCGTTTTCCTTTAAGTACTTTTTCGCAAAAAGATTTCATACAAATCTGTGACATGGTGGCCGCAAGTTTTATTTTAATTTTGGCCCATTTCAACTGGAATGAGCCACATACAAGATATAAACGTTTATACTAAACACTGTTGTTGTTAGGATCCTAATGCGGACACTCAATGGAACGATGCCCTGCGAAGAGTAGGTGTTCTGCCTCAAAAGGAGAAAGCCATCACAGAAGAAGAAATTATAAACATTGTGGACAACACTGTAGAAGAGAAAATAAGAAGTAAATTTATTAGTATTATTATTACTGTATGTCATGGTGTATAAGTCGACCTCCCAAATCTTCAAAATTTTAAAAAAAAGCGGACATTCATTGATCTTGAAATATTGATGTATTATATACAATGAGATAGCTAAGAATAACACTGTATCAATTAACCACACATTATTAATATGTTTTTAAAATTAATTTTGCATTTTCTCTTATCATATTTTCCTTACATATTAAGTTTTTATTTTAAGAAACAATACTTTAAATTATGTTCAGAAAAAAAATGGAGAATAAGAAAGTTAAGATAATTATACAAGCATATTTAAACAGAAAAATGCAATGCAAAATGTATCATGAAGCAACAAATTTAAAGATTCCATAGCATCACCTATGTCGGATTGTCATACTGATGTTGCCATACGGATCCCACTCTGCAGTGGATTCTACTTCATCTTCATTTACTGAGACCCATATAAAGTCTTCCCCATTTTATTTCAGGACAAATATAATCTGTCCAGAGAGAACAATGTGAAATATTTTTAACTTGAAAGATTTTTTTAGACTTGATAACTTTTATTTTTAATTTTGGAAATTTTCCTATTTGGTTTTTTCAGCTATCATTTTAAATACCTAACATGCCAGTAATTTTCTATTCCATAATCAAAAGAAGGGAGTCGACTTATACGGTGGCAAAAACGTTTGATTTAATTTCACTCTAATTTGAATGTTATTGTGTTAATTTTTAAAAGTATTTCTTGTTGATTGGAATTTATATTTGTGTTCACAAATAAGAGAGTGGTCTACCTTGAACTAGTGTCATTATTTGCCAACCTAATGAATCACTTTTTTTTTTTGCATTCAGATACCTGTGACAACAGATATTATTAGACTATTTCAGGTTTGTCAGGAGTGTTGCGAATGATTTTGTTTTGTTTTGATTTTGTAGTTGCTGAGCATTTTTTTTCAATCAATATTGATTAGAATAATAAAACCACTTGCATTTGAAAACAGAACTAAGGGAGATGTATTCGAAAATCTAAGTACCTTTAAAATCAAATGCTAATTTCAGCAAAACTTTTTTTTTTAAGAGTAACGAAATTCGCAACTGTAGAGCTCGAATTGTGCCACCTAGTACTGAGTACAGTGAGCTTCCTAAAGACGGTTTTGCCTATCAATCATTGCCTGATGCAATTCGAAATTTCTCCCTCTAAAAACAACTAATCTAACTGGACAGACAAATAATGCACTTTGTTTACCAGTTCCCAGTGCCTCCTATAGACCATTATTGTCAGGGATAAATAAACCGTATCAACTTGTGATACCTCGGATCCATCCAAGATATGTGCAACAGATTTAGTTAATGCAAATTTTACTCTGTCAATTTTAATGTTACTATTAAATTTTTTAAATATTAAATTTAATTTTTCATCGATATTATGATTAACTTGATTTATCATAATCTACAAAAAAATTAAGTTTTAATTGCTTGAGTACCCAACTTAATTCAATTTACAAGTTTAAAAGAAATGAACTCAAATGACTGTTATACAGTAGTAAAAGGACACAGCTCCATGAAAAATATTCAAGGAGTAATACTCAATGGTTCCAGGCACAAATCCCTGAAGTAATACTCAATGGAGAAATATATTTATGGAGTAATACTCAATGGTCCCTGGCACCACTCCATGAAAAAATATTCAATGGAGAAATATTCAATTAGTATTACTCAATGGAGGGATATTCAAGAAATAATACTCAATGGTCCTTGGCACAACACCATGTTACCTCTTGAAACAATTTTCTATATTTTAAAAAAATAGTTTTTTTCTTTCCAGAATTGTATGTTAAGTTATAAAAAGTTATATTAATAGACTAATCTATTATGTTATTTGAAACTACTAATTTCTACATATAAAAAATTTTAAATTCATACAACACTTTCTTTAAAAACACTCTTTCTTTAATAACATAAGTAAGGTATGAAACTTAGCTTGCCTTAAACATATTCTTTCGATTTTGATACTTATTCAGGTTTTCTAAAATATTTATTTAGAAGAAGCTGAGAAAGCAATAGAAGATTTCTCGCTTGAAGAGCTTGAACTTATTGAAGATGAAGAAGATGAAAGAGTTTTACTGGAATACAGGTACAAATGTGTACAACTTTCTGAAATATTACAAATAGCAGAAATTGTTCTATAACTATACATTTCAAGTATTCCTTTTATTGTTGCCATTTCCAATAAAATGAATAAAGAAAAAGAACTCAATGAATATTATAAACCAAAAAAATTATTCTATTCTAAAATGCTTTCCAGATTTGTTGAGAGTCAATCGAAAGTATTCTCTCCCAGAAAAACTTATTTGACTTGATTTAAATGGTCAAATCTAAATTTTATTTAATAATGAGCCATAAGAGACCCCAATTTTATTTATTTTAAATAAACAAATCAATGAACTATTTTACAAAACTATTTAATAAAATCAATGATTTTAGAATGTATTTATTGATTTAAGATATGAAATGAATTGCTGATCAATAATTACTGTATATACTAGTGTATAAGTCGACTTTTTAAACCCCCAAAATGTAACGACATTCAAAAGTTCGACTTATACACCCATTATAAGTCGGGCATTCATCAATCATGAAATATCAATGCAATATAAAGAATGAGATAAATATGAATAACTTAGTATCAATTTACCCCTTTCAAAACTTATTTTTATTATGTTTTATACCCGTGCTCTCCAACTTTTTTACCACCACGGACCAGTCAACGATGATGAAGTTACTGCGGCCCATTGAGGAGGAGCGGATGCTGATAGTTTTCATATTTTAAATGCGTTTGATCTATTAATTTTAATTTAGTTGCATGTACACATGCCTTCAAAAGAAAAGAATAGTTGCTCTTGTGGTACTGGTGCGGTTTTAGGTGACATCCATGAGCTCCTAATTAACTTCTCGTCCAAAGAAAGTCGCACAAATCCGAGAAAAATACACCACAGTAATTGAAATGGAAATAATTCCTTTGGCAGCCCGGTACTTTTTGCTCCACAGACCTGTTCCGGTCTGCTGACTGGGGACCACTGCTTTATACCATAACTTCTGCATTTTCTATTATCACATTTTTTTTACATATTACACATGAAGGTTTTTTTTTCTTTCAGAAATAATACTTTAATTTATGTTTGGAAAAAATTTAGGAAATATGGACATTTTTGTAAAAAACTAATTTTTTTGTCTTGTGCCTTTTTGGCATAATTTTTAAAAATATTCAATAAAATTAAACAAAATGTTTGAATAAATTTAAAATTGTTAATAAAATTATTGTTTCAAAATTTGCATAATATTTGTTTAAAACTGCAAAAGATATAAGTAATTAAAGTTGTAGTTATTTTATAGTGCACATGTACAGAAAATACAGAATTTTTTACTTTATAAATTAGTGAACTGTATTTAGCAACTAATGAAAAAGTCTGATATGAATATCTTATTTTAAAGAGTTTCAAGTAATTTTCTAAGTAGTTTTCGTAATCTTGAAAAGAAAGCTTGGAAAATTGCTTGATACTTTTAAAATTTTTAGGATATTCAAATCAGACTTTTTTTTTTATTATATGTCAATTACGATTCATTACAAAATTATGTAAAAAGATTGTTACAATTTATCTGCACCTGCGCAGTTTAAGGAACTACTTTACTTACTTATATCTTTTGCAGTTTTAGAAAAAATTTTCTCAAATTTTAAAACAATAAATTTGTTATTAATTTTAAATTTTTGAAAAAATTTTGTTTAATGAAATTTTTAAAGTTATAGCAAAAAAACCTAAGATAAATTCCGTTCTTAATTTATTGTCGGTCCCTGAAACCTCGAAGTGCTTTTAACTTAAGCATTAGAAATTGCATAATCTGAACATGCATTTCCAAAGTTATAAAATAATTCTTTACATATTTCTTGAGAAAAATATGTACTAATATAGAAGTTTTTCCATTATTTTCTTCAACCAGTAAGTATATATATATATATATATNAAATTACTGTTGAATTCGATTCTTGTGAATATGTGAAAATAAAGTTTTTTTTTTCTGAGAAAAAACATATATATATTGTTTCATTGTTCATTATTTTGTTCACCCTCTGTATTATAGCATAGAAAATTTCCTAGTACATTTCATGTTGATCATTTTATGAAGGATTTAGAGTAGCATTCAATAACACTCTATGACAAATTTGACTTACAATAGAAATGAAATACAAGATAGACGAGCCGTGATGGCTCAGCGTTCACCTTCCAATGAGGTGAATCTTGTTCGAATCCCATCGATGGCTGGTTGATACGCATCTGGCTAGCACCGACCACAGTGCTGACATAAAATATTCTCAGCGGTAGACGGTTCATGGGTTAGAGTCCCCTTGCTGTCAGGCTAACCGTGGGGTTTTTTTTGTGGTAGCCCTCTCCATGTAACACAAGTGCGGGTTAATTCCATCTAAAAGTCCTCCATGAAGGCAAATTTCTCCCTCTACTTGATCCAGGAGATCGCTTGTCTTCTGGATTGGGTTTACTTCTAATACAAAAGATAAATTTGATTCATGGCCAATGGGTCAATTTAAATAGGTGGTCAATGTGACAGATTTCACTGTATTATCTTTATGTCAATGTAATGAATTCTTTATGTGCCACTTAGTGTTTGTAAAATTAATAGTATATACTGTTTTAGATAAATTTTTAGTATTTCTAATTAAACAACAATAAAGTATGACAGGCGTGCCACTTCTCCACTTAATTTTGCTTTCATTCCTCTGATCTGGTTTCTACTAAAAGAATTCTAAAATGGCAAATATTTGATTTGTAGAACCATCCAAAACCACACAAAAATGATTGAAGTATCTATAGATTTGCTGTTTCAGAATTTTTAGGCTACTTTAATTACGTTAAAAATTTTCCTTTCATGAAAATTTATAAAAGTGAATGAAGCGTCATATGTATACTTACTAAGTTGAAATTTAATCTTATACCATGAAGATTAGTTACTTAAAAAGTCATATATATAAGACACATCCAGATTAGATTTGTATATATGAATGTATGGAGCGACTACAGCTGTTTTATGTGATGGAGAGTAGAATATTATCAGGGTTCGACTTAGCTTAATCGGGGCCCGGGACAAAAACCTCTTTAGTGGCCTCCCTCTGCTTCACAACTTCAGTAATGTAGAACCAATTTTTATGGAGGTATTTAAAATTTTTCATCTCATTATAGATGACAAGAAGATTGACTAGAACCTAAAATAGCTATAAAGTCCCCACCCCTTCCAATGGTCAGACAAAATATCGTTTTGTGCATTTTATTGATTTTCTGACAATCCTATTTCTGTGCGGTTTTCTGATTGTTATCTTAATCGTCTAGCCATGAAAAATTCATATCCTTAATGGTAAAAGGGTGGAATTCAGCTAAATTTTCGCAATTACGATGGCTTAATTAAAGTTAATCAAAAATCTGAATTTTTCTAAACATATCACATTTTGCGATATGTAAAAAATACAGGCTTTTGATTGGCCCAATTTGTCCATCGTAATTATAAAAATTTGGCTGAATTCCGCCTTAGAAAGCCACTGATTTACGAAATATAGATTGTGTTCATACGATGGATTAATGAAGAAGCTAACATAAAATTGACGGATTTTACACTGTGATATTTTGTTTTGGGGACCCACCCTGCCTTGGTCAGGCTCTGAATACTCTTGTGGATTATGCTTTCTTTTTAAACAGTTATGTGATGTTTAAGTTAAGTTATATATTTTTTCTAATAAAAGTTTTTTGTAAGTTCAACGATGAGTTTTTCATTATGTTTGCTTAGTATTTTTCACTATGAACTCAACTATTCCAGCAAGAACAAGCAATTGTGAAACAGAACCTCTATTTCACAAAATACTGTGGTAAAGTATATCACGAGAAAAAAAAAGGTATAAGACAATGGAAATTCACATTGACAAAATATTGTGATATTAAAGGATACAAATTATCATAGAATAAAATCTCTGACAAACAAAATAACTCAAATGAACAAAGTGATTTTAACATTAACAAAAAATTTTGGTCTAACATTGAACTACAGATAAACAGCTAAGTTGATAATCGGTCTGTAGATAATTAATAGTCTACTGTGGAGTTATTCCAGACTTTTTGAGAAAAATAAATCTACTAACCAATTTGTGAAAATAGAGTAGTTCTCTTTTTGTTATTTCATGAAAAGTAACAAGATTTTTTTGTGAAAAATGTACTTATTTTATTATGTTAAAATTACTGTTGAATTCGATTCTTGTGAATATGTGAAAATAAAGTTTTTTTTTTCTGAGAAAAAACTTACAAAAACCATGTCCTTTAAAAAGACGCCATACATAAGGAAAAAGTTTCATAGCAAATTCTCTATCACTTGTATGACTAATTTAAAAGGACAAAAAAGTTAATTTGGCCAAACCTAGAGTAAACCATAAAGGTGTTTGTCTGAATTCACTTTTTCTATTAGTTATGGGGATAAAAGATAATTTGCGACGAAATGTTTCCCCCAAAGTATGACGTCCTCTTTAGGAGTAATGCGATTTAAAATTAGAAATTAAAAACGCCATCACCTTTGGCTTTCAGAAGAAGAATTTTGCGAACTCAGATTTTAGAATTAAAATATTGTGAAGGATTTCTATTTACAATAAAACAATGAATAGGGGGGGGTTCACTAACTAGTTCACGTTTCTCCTAAATGGACCCCTTTAATAAGGTCTCTAGTACTGAAAATAAATATTATTTTGAATGTATATAAAATATATTTTGAATATATCTAGGCAGAAGAGAATAGCTGAGATGAAGGAAGCAGCTTCTAAAGATATATTTGGCGATGTTCGAGATATATCGGCTGCTGATTATGTAGAACAAGTAAATAAGGCTGGTTCTGGAATCTGGGTGGTTCTCCATCTTTACAAACCTGCGTAAGACATATTGCGATGTATTTATTTTCTGTGTTATGCATTAGTTGATTTTTCCTTCTTTGTTATATTTCTTCTATTTTCTTTTCTTTCCTAAGCCTCGCACGCAGGGTTGGCATGATTTAAATAACTTTTTATATAAAGAAGAATAATTTGTTTAAGTTCAATTATTTTTTTTAAAATAAATTATAAATATATTCTTGAGATATGTGATATTATTTTATAGATTGTGATATTACCACTTCCCCAGTATCAAAATTTCTCAATTTTGTCCTACAGTTAACACAAATGAAAACAATTTGATAGCAAAATGAGTTAATTTTTTTTGTTGTCTTTCTTTAGCATTCCTTTGTGTGCGATGATCAATAATTACATGCATACTCTGGCAAGAAAATTCAAAGATGTCAAATTTCTGAAGAGCATTTCAGATACATGCATTGAAGGATACCCTGACAAAAATCTGCCCACGCTTTTCATCTATTACGAGGGACAACTGAAAGAGAAGTTTATTGGACAGGAAGCATTCGGAAATCTCGCATTTAAGGCAGACGGTGAGTTTTAGTGGATCAACTTTGCGTCATTTACACTGAAATTTGATTCTAGTTGGGTTTGTTGTTTTGTAACAAAAATCACAGAACTATGAATGTAGAATTAGTCTCACTATTACATTATTGTTTAAATAATTAAATTAATTTGTTTAAATATTTTTATGATGTACAATTGGAACTTGCTTTTGACAGGCGTAGAGGGGGTGCAATATTTGCTTGTTTCAACAGAATGCTAAAAAACAGTTTTTAGAAAACAATCATAAAAGATCATACATACTTACTAAATTTGAAATATGCTACTTAATTTTTTTTGTTTCTGTTTAATACAAAAGATCTCAGAAAGGGTGACACACTGGCTTGCTTACTCTTTAACCTTGCTCTCCAAAATATTCTATAAATAACATCAGAAGAACTATTTTCCACAAAAGTGTGAAAATTTTTTGCATTTGCTGATGACAATGCTATTGTCGTTCGGACCCCGGGGGTTTCTTTTCTTGGAAAATGAGGCAAAAACTACATCTTTCAATCAACCAAACCAAATACATGACTACAGTTTTGAAGTAGTTTATAGTTTTGTGGGGATTTAAGTTTTGACTGTGTCAACCTTCATCTATCAAAAGGTACCTTTTCATAGGTGAAGGTTGACATAGTCGATAAATTAAATCCCCTCATTTCAACCTTCATCTATCAAAAGGTACCTCAAGATGGAATCGAGTTAACATGTGTTATATACTAGCGATTTGGTATTTAATATTTGTAGTGGTAGTTAGTTATGCCACAGTTTCACCTATTTGGGCTCTTAATTGAACACTATGAATGATGTAACACCAGAACTATGCAACAGAATTATAGCTGGTAACAGATGTTTTATGGAGTACACAAATATTTAAAATCTAACCTCATTAACAAAGAAACAAAATTACTGCTCTACAAGGTTTCAATCAGCCCCATAGTTACTGAAATGTGGGCAATGATTGAAAGTGATAAGGAAGTTTTTGAAAGAAAGATACCGTGAAGTATTTTGAGAGATGTAAAGTGTATTGATCCTCGGAGAAGAACAAATTCAGAATTTCATAGGATCTACAAAGAGTCAGACATAATAAAATTTATATATATGTTCAAAGTTTAAAATAGACTGATTAGAATGACCGAGCCAGCAAATAGGTCTTCAGTGCAAAACCCAACTGGAGCCCAAAAAGGGGGAAGACCAGGGATCCGGTGGATAGATTGTCTAAAAACAGATTTAAAAGTTCTCAAAGATATAAATTGGAAGAGTATCCAAGAAGAGGGCAGCTTGGAACTAAATTCTGAAAAAGGCCACGGCCCACCCTGGGCTGGTGCGCCATTGAAAAAGAAGATAATACAAAAGTTTTGTACTGTTTTATTGTCTTTTAGTGTTGTGTTATTGTTTTTCATATAAGATTCATGGCATGAAAAAAAAGAAACAACAAATAACGAAAGAATTCGTCACCATGAAAAATATTGGAAAGGAATTTGTTGACCGGGAAAAATATTAAAAAGGAATTTTTCCAGGAAGGAATTAGCTGAGCCGTTATTAAGTAGAAATTTTATATCAGAAAAATATTCCTTGTTAAAACAAGGGTTTGTTTTTTAAAAGCGAGCTACACTCTATCGAATTAATATTGTACCAAGTATTTTCGATTTCTTCCTTAAATCAGGGCTTGTTATAAGTACTCATTAAATGAATGCTGTAAAATTCTGTGGATCAGCAGTATCAATCATGCCAATCCACTGACAATACTCTCCAAATTATACTTAAACTAATTACATTGGGGATTATCTTAATAAAATTTAGATATGAGATTGGTTAAGATGTTACATAAAAGAACCATCATCTGCAATGTCAGGTTTCCTAGTAGTTAGTAATTAGCATTTCTTAAAATTATTGATGTAACGAATATTCCGCCCTTTTGCCGAATATTCGGCATATTTCTAAATCTTTGTACAACCCTTGATATATCTGTGATTTAATGGCTGAAAAAATGTCATAAGGTTGAGAACCAAGGTGTGAGAATCAGTCTTGTGTGGTCTTTAACTGGTGTTTCCTTAAAATAGACTGTTAGCGAGTGTGTTGAATAAATGGATTCAAATCCGAAGATAGTTTTTTTATAAGTTAATTTTGACCATCTTAAATTACATCAGCATTTTTTAAACAAGATATCCTTCTGTCTCTGATGTGACAACATATCTTCTCTCTTTGACCCAAATCCAATCTCTTCTGCTGTTTTTAATCTTTTATGAACTGATTCTTCTCTACATAATCTCTCTTTATATAAATTTACAAAAGTAATCCTTTGCGATAGAGTGAAAACTCCAGGAAAGACCACCTCTATTTACGATCACTTTTGGGAGGCACAGAATTTTTTTCAAAGACTTTCTGTTGAAGAAAACCTTTAGGAGAGACCAGTAAAACCTCTACCAGCGACCGGGAAAACATCCGCACCAAATGCAGAAAAGGTCAAATAATGAAAAGCAATATATATTTATATAAAATAATGATAAATAGATTAAGCTTCATTCAAAATGGTTGTGTAAGGCTCATATTTAGAGAGCTATATTTGACGATAGAACCTCATGTTACATCACTTTTAGAGTTGAAAGTTATATTAGAAGAAAAAAAATTAATCTTAGAAAAGATAAAGATCCAATAAACAAACCTCTTCTCACCTTCTAATTAGTTAAAAGGTGAGAAGTTTAAGTTAACTAATTTTTATGATATAAAATTAATTGAAAACTTAAACAAAAAATATAATTGTTTATTTATTTAAAATAGCTTAATCATTCCTAATGGGAACATTTGTTTTTACTCATAATTATATCAGTTGGGATCTTTTTTACAAGTGCTAAATTTTACTCCTCGATCCGTCTTTTTCCAAGGGCAACCAAAGTGGCATTTCTGCACCAAGAAAATAACACTAAAATTAAAATAGTTTTCAAAAAAGCATGCGATACCAATTTTGAAGTCAATGGAGGTGATCTCTAAGAACGACCATTTTACTGTGAAACGGGGAGTGGTCTCTCCCGAGAGGCGTCACTGTATTAAATTTTTATTAAAACCTATACACGTTTTAGTGTCACAAATGTACAACTTTAAAATAATGATTTCTAAATTTTTCACAAATGTGGCATCGCAGTGAGATCATTAACAATAAAGTTTTTGATGATGTAGAAACTTTCCCAAAAATCCAGGTCAACACAATACATTTATGAATGATATAAAATAAAGTAAATCGGACCTATGACTATCAGTCCAGCAATGTTTTTTATTTTAATAAAACCATTTGTAATTGAATGAAAATTAAACTCCTTATATGAGGTTTTAAATTTCTAGAAGAAAAACTTAGATACTGATTAATATAATGAATCCAATGTTATTTCAAACTTGATTCTGACTGATAAAAGTTTAATTTTCTTCTTCCTTTTATTGAATACATCCCTTTCACATAAGAAGAACATTCATTATTGTGTTAAGCTCTGGATATTAAATCTAAATAATGGAAATGCTTAGTATTTAAAAATATTTTATTTTTTTAGAGCTTGAGTGGATGTTATCTGAAGTAGGGGTATTGAAAACGGATTTGGAGTGCAATCCTCGACGACCGGTCCAAGATGTCCTTCTTTCATCTTTAAGAGGAAACTATGACAACGATGATAATGATTGGTAAACGATGGTTTCATATCCGATTTCCTGTACATAATAAAATTTTATTGAAAAGTGGTTGAATTGCTTATTTTGCTGTACAATTGGACAAAATAGTGTTGATTTTATGCTGAAATCTTTTGCATTCAAAGCTTATGTCAACTAAAAGTAAACCGTTTGGTACTTGTCTATTTTTAGGGGGAAAACTACCTATTACTACAGTAATTATATTAGTACATTAGCTACCCATTACAACATTTAAGCTTTTGCTTACAGTGCATAGCATGATAACACCTGCTATTCTGATTCATCAGATGTAAGCAAAGAGTCAATAATAATGTGGCAATTTTTTTACAGCCACCCTGAAATAAATTCATATCTAGTTTTTTCGTATCCTGCCAACATGGATACGAAAAAACCCAGTAGATAATTGTTGCAAAGTGTACTAAATAAAACATAGGAATTTTTATAGTCATCAAAATCAAAATGTTATATTTTCCAATAATGATTAACAATAAATAAACTTGAAATGTTATGCATTATGTTTACTCATAATTTTGAATAGTAATAGGCATTTAATTCATCAAAGATAGTTAAAGATTTTTATAAATGAGACTCGCTTCATTATGTATTACCTAGTAACACCTATTTAAATATTCAAGCAGGCAAAATTCTATTTCAATGGGAATTTTTTAAGGAACTCTCTAAAATGTGCCAAAATTAGGAGAAACTGGCAAAATCCAGTAGAGTTGGCAGCTATGAATAATATTGCCAAGATTTCATTATTAGAAGGACGCTATAGCATGGGATAAACTCTTCATGGCAAATTCTCTTTCCAATTAAATTTCAAATACTACAGAAAAAGTAAGTTTAGGTAAACCTTAAAATTTCAAATTCTGAATTTTTTTTAAAAAAAACAAATTATAATTTATTTTGATAACATTTCTTCCGCATTTGAACTCAAACTGAACTTACTTTTCTTTAACTTTAAAATACTGATGTAGGTGGAACAGAATATCATTCAAAGCTTCGCCTGCACTACAAACTTTTGGAAACATTTTTAAAGCTTATTTGCAACAGGAAGAAAAAAAGCAACAGACTACATACTTTGCTAGTCAAATAGTATTTAATCTCACAATAAAATAAAAAAAGGAAAAAACTGTACACTCTAAAATCACAGGGTGATGGCTATTTTTTTTTTATTTAGTCCATCGTACTGAGGGCCAAAGTTGGCACCTGAACTTTGGCAGGAGAATATCTTTGGCGAAGGGTTACAATCTGGCACACAGCAACCACTTTGTCAGTAAACAAAGATGCCTGGATTTGGCCTTGAGAGCAGTTGTGTAGAAGCACATCCAACAACTAGCTCTTAGGGGAGGTCGAGCTGCAGAAGAAAGAAAATTAATAATAAATCGATAACATGTAACAAAGTTAAAACAATATCCCTCTCCCTCCACATAGTTTTTTCATACTTATATTTTTTTTTAAAAATAGAATAATCGTACAAAATTGGCGACTTTTGTTAAGTTATAAACTTCTCTTTTCAACTTTGGTTCTCATCTAGTCGAGACTAATTTTATTAAAATTTGATGCACAGATGCTTATATCTGGAACTAATTTTGATGTTCCAGATAGGTGACTTCTCCACTTCTTGTAATCGACTTTTTGAGGGTCAACAACTTACTGGATCTTGTCTGACCTCGTCGGACAATTAGAGGATAAGCAACAACAACAACTAATTTTGAAAAAGATATTGACTGTGAAATTAAAGACAGTAGTAAAAAAAGAACTTGCCATAGTTTGCATGAGTATGGTAAGGAAAACTGGCTGGTGAATAATGAATTTAGCCTCCAATTTTATGTTAGTTCCTTGATTGTTTTTTTTTTTTTTTAAAGCATCATTTACCCAAACATGATTTTTTCTTTAAAAACTTAATATCTCCCTTCATTTCTAACATATAATAGAAACAATATTTAAAAGCAGAAATTGTCAGAAGGGTAATTTTTAACTTTTCTTTTTCAAGAAGATGAAAAGATTGAGAAAAAAAATATCCATTTTGATCGACTGAATTCATAAAAGAACTATTATACACAACAATGCATTTATATATGCAGGGTAATATAGTCTTTTAGTACTTTTCACATTACAGCAATCAATGCATCTAGGCTTGTTTACTATTCCATAAACACAAGCAACTGATACTTTCATTGTTCAATTTTTAGGAACTACGGAACTAGGATGTTAAAACTATACATACCAATCATGACAGACTGATTATCAAAGCACTATTAAATTAATAAAATACTGAAAATACAAATCTAATGTCATTTATAGTGAGTTAAATAGGTTGAATTAATCTCTATTTATACGTTAAGAGGAATTTCTCCTCCCGACTGCGAATTCAACTGTTGAAGGGGTGGAGGGAGGAAAATTCTTTTACTCCTCTTTATTTAATTTTTACAAATAAAGTGGAGGATATTTACTCTTATTGGCAGTATCTTTTGAGAGAGGAAAAATACACACAATTTGAGATACTGTGTGTGTGTTGTATTTCGAATTTCTTTTAATTTTTTTTTTTTAAAACAAAATTTTGCCAATACAGTTCTGAAAATAGCAGTTTTTGAATAGTAGCTAAATAGTATACAGTTATTCGTTTTTAGATTTTTGAAAACTTTTTTTTTTGCGCAATTTATGTTGTAAGAAATTTTTTAACGTCATCCGTCTCGGTTTTCCTCAGTTTAAAACTGGGTATTTGTAGTTTCTAGTACTTGGTTAACTGCATAAAGAAGAGGAAATGAGATGAATTTTTAAGAAATGTTTCACCAGCTAGAATGAAATTTTCAGTTAAGAATACAATAGGTGGTCACTTCAATAGACTTCCTGTTCATTTGTTGCTCTAAACAGGTGTTGGGAGTATAGTTTAAGAATTAATCAAATCTTGCTGGCAGTTTGGAGTGAATGAAGGAGGTTTTATCCCTCTTTGAGACATCAATTAGAATTGTGATTTGTTTGACAGAGAAGATTTTCCCTCCTGTTGTGCTATTATCTTTGATAAGAAAAAGTTTCAAAAACCTAACACATTAGTGTGTCTTTCTCTAAAGTAGAATAATCATTGCTTACTTCAGTGAATACCCGAAAAAGAATGATTTGTAACCGAAAAAAAAAAATAAAGTTTTAAAAGAAATAAATTTCAAAAATCCCAAACTAAAATAGCAAATTAGTTTGGAATTTTGAGGATTTAAAAATAAAAAAAATTAAAGTTTTTGAAAGTAATAGGCAAGTCATGTAAGTCTTAATTTAAGAAGGTTTTCTTAACAATTTAAAATGTAAATTTTTTTTGTTCCACTGTTAATTCAGTTCATATCATGGATCTCTGTTTAAGTGAGTAGGGCATAAAATATCAACACACTCATTCTTGGTTCAGATAAATACTCAGAAGTTCAAACAATAGCGCAGAATAAAAAAAAAATTTCTTTCTGACTGCAGTGAATATTTCTTTGAAGGTTAAGATTTTCGAAAAAGTAAATAAAAACAGTGAAATGGGTGTAAGGGATTAATAATTTTACCATACAAATGATTAGAGAAAATCTGGACCTAGTGAATTTGATAACAATAAGCGATTGATAACATTAACTGGGATCAGATTAAGGGGTATTATCCTTTTTCAGACAAACTTACCATGGATAACACCACAGACTTGCATCCTTCTTTGTAGGGATTATCTGTTGAATAATCAATGGTTATTTATTTAAATCTGTGCCAGATCACCCCTTACAATTCTGTTACCTTAAAAAATAAACGAGTTTCTTAACAACAGTTCCAATATATATATATTTTTTAGTTAAATAATAATTCTTGGGCCATGCATCAAGCACATGCACTGTCTTCATGCAAATCAAATAGTGCCAGGCACTAAAAACGGACATCAAAGCAAAAGTTGATATAGTTCTTGCTTTCTAACATTCATTATGATTAAGGCCTATTGTATTGATTTAAGATTTCTGGAAGTTTTTCCAAAACTTCCTTTGTTTAAGATTTCTGGAAGTTTGTGAATTTACGGAAACTAGTTGGCATAAACCACCTGGTTGGCAAGGTGTTGGACTCACGCTTGTGAGAAAGGGAGTTCGAATCCAGCCGGCCGAAGACTCCGTGTAGTAAATGGTGACCGGCGCACGTTAAATCCGCTGGATCACAAAGTCCTCCATATTCCCAAAACAAACCAATACCTCTGGGGGTACTTAATTGGAGATGGATCGTTTCCTGGTTTAGGTCATAACTATGATCTGTGGATGAATGAACGGATCCACCCTATAAACAGGTGTGGCGTATGTGTGTGGCAGAAGTCGAATTTTTGGACATTGATGGCGCCACTGGAAAACAAAAAAAATCGTACTCCCACTGCCTTAATGGCCAACGACAACAACAAACCACTAAAAGATTAGAAACAACATGAATAAGGTCTGGATTTTGATAACATTTACTGGTTTGTGAGGGCTTTTTTTCCTTATTAAACACATATTTTTAGACTTTGAGGTATTTTTTATTTTAATTTTAGATTTTTTTAACTTTCAGATTTTTTTTATTTTTGGCATTGTATGATTTTTTTAATATTAAATTTTCTCAAATTACTCTATTATTGCAATAAATCGATTCTCAATTTTATTGCAACCTTACTTTCTTTATGTCATATTTTCCTCTCCGCTTTAAACATTTCAAATTTTAAAGATAATTGCATCTTGATTTCTAAAAATATACGAATTTGAAAATAATTATATGTAAAATTTACAAACGCATTGATGTTTAAGATTGTAATTTTCATTTATTTATACAAGAATTTCCTTTTATTTAAAGTTTTTAATAAGTTTTTATGGAGATTTTTTGTATTCAAATACAGGTTCTATTCAGGGAATTGTTTAATTGCTGTGTTTTGTTTTCAATCTTAGATTCAATCGCAAATGCGCTGTTATAACGAAAACTAATAAGTCCAAAATGATGTGTTGAAGTTATGAAAGTTAATACCAATTTTTTTCTCTTTGTTTTTGAGACTTGAGGCTTTTTAAAATAAAGCATGAATACTCACCTTTTAAATAAAACTATAAAAACAATTAAAAAATAAAACTAATTTTTAATAATGTTAAATCATGGCCATTCCTGCACTTAAGGGACAAAATGAAGTTGAATACTTTCAGACTTTTCAAAAGTCAAGTTTGAAGTCTAGTTCACCTGTCAAGTTCTCAGTTATTTAAAAAAAATATCTTTCATCCCTGTCGTCATTTGTAAATGAAAGTATTAACAAATTTGAAGCAAAAAATAAAGTTTTGAATTCCTTCAAAATATTAAAATTTCTTGAAGTAGTCAATTTTTTATAGTTGCTAACAATATATATAATATTTTAATTATTTTTTTTGAATATTTTAATCCAGTTTGTGTCATGCAAAATATTTGAGAAATAAAATCTCAAAATAATTAACATTATAACACAATCATAACAAACATATTTATAAAAACATTATTTACAGTTGCTTGATTTTGCAATAAAAACAAATGATTTTAACAATCAAATTAAGGATAGCTTAAAATATTTTTGGCTTTTGATTATGTTTCGAGTAATCAGAACTTGACTGAATTTCATTTAAATTCTAGCTTTGATAATTTTAAAATCTAAGCAACACTTCGAAACTTAAGAGCAAAAAAGGAATTGAAAGCCTAATTCTTATTAAAAGTTTCAAAATTTCTATTTTCGTTTAAAAATCTTTTAAGAATTATTAAACTAATGCAGAGTTTTGTTGCAAAGTCTGTTACTCACAAATCGATAAAGACAAAACATAAAATGTAAGAGCGTTAAACTTTTTTTTTGTGAAACTTACGTTTGAATATTTTCAGTGTTCTCTCTAAGCGATTTTTTAAGGGCGGTCTATCCTGCCTGCCCTTTGAAAGCAATAAATGCGCCCTTTCTCTAAAAATAAGCCGCCATCCCTGAAACTTTTTATTCATATTCCAGAGCCGCGATGGATCAGGGGATAGAGCGTTAACCTTCCAATGAGGTGAACCTGTTTGGAAACCCAGTGATGGCTGGTCGATTCGAATCCGCAGCCAGCTTGCACCGACTGCAGTGCTGATGTGAAATATCCTCGGTAGTAGACGGATCTTGGGTTAGAGTCCCTTTTCCGCCAGGCTAACCATGAGAGGTTCTGGTGGTCTTCTCCGTGTAATGCAAATGCGGGTTAGTTCCATAAAAAAGTTTTACACGAAGGTAAATTTCTCCCAATAATTAATCCAGGAGTTCCCTTGTCTTCTGGATTGGGTTCAAAATGACAAGGCTATGTAGTTGAACATTAGTAGTCGTAAACCCAAAAATTGGGTTGGCTGTCAATGACGGATATAAAATATACAATACAATATTTATATTTCATTTAGAAAAACTATAATTCACCGTCTAAATAATTACACTTGGGTAAAATTATCTGTGTTTATAGGTTTATTTCTGATTGCTATTACAAATACTTACTTTGTTAGGACTATTCTTAATTGGTTAAATTTTTAAGAGTATATATTTTTTTTGGGAGATATTAATACATTTTTTAATGTGATTTGAAATTTACAACTGTCTTTTAAACTAATACCTTTTTTTCAAAAAATGCACCTTTAAATGTTCATTTTCTTATAATTTTCAGTTTTAAATTATCGAGGAAAAAAAAAGATCTCAAGTTATATATCAATTAATCATTTTTTGTTAGTTTACTTTCTAATATGCACATAGATTGCCTTTCAGCATGCCTTAAATTATTTTATAAACTACAAATTTTCTTCTTATTTTGATAATGAGAGAGAATTACTTTTTGAAATACACACATAAAATAGTTTTTTCTTTCTTTTTTTCAATGAGCTGCACAATCGGTCTTGCTGATGAGCAGACCTAGTGCGTTCTCCAGAGGTGGTATCCACTCTTTCAGGACCACCACAATGGGTGAGATACCCCATTAAATTTGGTCATGTTAATTTCGACGTCTACTTTCTGCCACACTAGATGGCAGCACCAAGACTCTATTTGGATGCTAAAGTGCACTAGGAATTTAATTTTGACGGAAATGCCAAGAGCCAATAAGACACTCCAGGAATCTTTTACATGCCGTATAATCACACGACATGGCCGCCGACATATGCCTGGGCCGGGGATCGAACCCGCAGACTTGGGCTCAGAAGGCCGACGACAAACCAACTGCGCCACCCAGCCACACATAAAATAGTATAAGAGGTTAATTTAGAACTTGTTGTGGATAAAATTCAGTTATTATATAATATAACATATTTTGACAAATTTTTACGGTGTCTAGTGAGTGACCTTTTCCGAGAGGAAAAGACCTTGTTTATTCCTAGAGAGAATTCTGCATTCTAGCTTAAAGAGTGATTCTCACCCAAAGGATTTAAAATCATAAAAGTGTTCATTGCAGAAAATATCATAAATTAAATAAATCTAACAGAATAATATAATGAAGAAAATAATATAGAAAAATTATGTAGTGATGAATGTTTTATGCAAATGCTTGTAGAAATTTACTGTTCCTCAATTCTTTTTTTTCAAATGTGCTGCCTCTTTAGAAACAGCTCTTAACTTGCCTAAATGACTCCATAATTTCTCATTCACATGCCAAAAGAAGAAAAAAAGTTAATCATATCAATTTATTTGAAAGAAAAAAGCCTTAAAGATGCTTCTTATAACTATCATTGACAATTGTTTTCTTCCCTTTGTGAAGTAAAAACAGAATAGGAACATTTTTATTGATAAATCGTGAATTGTTCAACAACCAATTCCATGTTAAAGCAAGGAGGGTGAATACAAAATTCACAAGTCTAAAACACATTTGATCTTTCGTAATAATATGGATTACAAATGATCTTTCGATTGTCTCCTTTAAAAAGTTTTTGCAAGAAACAAAAAGAATTAAATAATTTTTTTAAGTGTTTCCACAGAATTAGGAAATAGAAGTTTGTTTTTATTAAAGATAATGAGCTATCATGACATTTTATTAATTCATAAAAAAAATTTTTTGTTGTTCTTATTTACAGCATAATACGTCAAGGAGCTACGCAAGTAATGTCAAAATTCATCGATTTCTCCAAAAGTTCTGTTCATTTTTTTTTCTTCGTTATATATCTTCCAATATCTATTATGTCTCCATTATTACTCAGTTCACTAAGAAGCAAACTGAAAAGTAACAAAAATCAATAAATCAATGATGGGAGCTATTAGATTTCTCATAATTATCTCTTAAAAAACGATTTTTTTTTAAACATAGAGCGAAGTCTTTAATGGTTTTTATAACTAACCAATATTTTAAAAGATGTTGGATAATGAGATATTTTACAACAAAAACTCTCATTCTAAGAGTTATATTCATATTGAACAAATATTTTCTTCAACAAAGCAGTGTTAACCTCTTAACAATCGGTTAATTTTCAAGAAAACGGTCATAAACGTGCCTATTTTTTTTATACACGTATATTACACACATGTTTGATAATAATATATATATATATATAAACATAAAAAACTTCAACTAATCTTTTTTTATGTTATTTCTTCATCTCAATTTATTATTCAAAACTATGTGCTTTATCATACTTTAATATTCACATTCTGTCCTTTATACTAGTTTTAGTTCAAGTATGCATTGTATATAATTAACATTTTAAAGTTTTTCCCTTTACTAATTTGTGAGAAACATACTTTTCTCTGGACCTATGTAATTGACCAATTGCAATTTTTCATGTTTCTCTTTTTCTCTAAGATAAAATAATATTACGGATTTATTTTGCAAGATTTCCCCTAATTTTTATTGGAGAGCACTTTGATTTGTGTGTCACTTGGATGACTGTTCTCTCTCTTAAAATAGTTAAATAAATATTGTGCCCACCTTCCATTGCCTAAGACCTGTTTTTATTCTTCCTCTCAGCAACGGTTTTAGATACATATACAATAAATACGATCCTAATACATTAAAAGCCAAAAATAATTTTTTACGAAAACTACCCAAACGAAGTCTAGCGAAAATTGTTCAGAAAAGTTGACAGTCTTAAGATTAGGTTTTATATCTTAACAGTTAAATTTTCAGGCTTGCCGTAGAATACTTTGGTTTTATTTGTTTTTGGTGCAAGAATAAGCTGAAAATAATATCAAATACATAATAAATTGGTTGTAATGAACCTGAACTATTATAAACGTTGAGAATTGGTTATCACGTAAATACATTTTCTTTATTATTGAATTAAGTTATCATATTTTGAAATGAAAAGTTCAACAGGAAAACAAAAATGCCGTTTATAAATACAAATCCTCTTCATAATTTATTCAATACATTATAATTAGAAAAAATATTTATATGAATTAAATTATCTATCTATCTATCTATCTATCTATATATATATATAGTCAGACCTCGATATAAGGTCACCCCGCATATAAGGCCAATTTTCCAATGTCCCGGCTCACTGAATAGGAATTCTTTGTTACAGATTATCGGATATATGGACGAGTTTTAAAAATCGTTATCGCTTATAAGGTCATTTTTATTAGAGGCGAGGGAAGCTCTTTTCGAACAAAAGCCTATTTAACTTCCTTACAAGGCAATTACTCCTCTCGAGTTCTAGGAAAATGTTGCAGCCAACGAACAAGCTACAATTTCTGCAATTGTTTCGCTAGTTGTGGACAGTGAGGACAATGACAGTGATCCTGAGACTGTAACTGTAACCCAAGTGGAAGCCTTCAATGCAACAAATGTCATACGAAATTTTTTTACAAACCATGAGGGAGTTGAGCATTTTGAGAAGTTACAAAATCTAGAAAACATTGTTCGAAAAATGAAACCAAAAACGAGACAGACCTGCAAAAATGATTATTTTAAATGAGGTAAGATGTAATGTACGTATGTACACTTTGAGGAAATATGTAAACAGCTTTATTTTAATTTAAAAATCTAACTTTCTTTAATTTGCTACTAATTCTGCTAAAATTTATTGACTTAAATATTTAATTTATGGCCGATCCCTTTCGTTCGTATTATCATTTTAAAAAAAATCATAATGTGTACTATTTACGTGCTTAGTTATGAACTGCTAATGAATCTGTTAAAAGGTCACCCCTCTTATAAGGTCACTTTTGTGATGTTCTTTAGGGTGACCTTATATCGAGGCCTGACTGTATATACAGAATTTTTTTCATTGTCACTTTACTTCAATAATTTATTAAAAATAATTTAATTAATTTAGTATTTGTATGTAAATAAAATTACAGATTTCAAAAAACCATTAATGGTAAAAGAAATGTTCTTAACTCTCCTAATTTCTGTAACCTTTTCCATGAAACCCATGGGCTACATGGAACATCTTGTGGGAATACTTAAAAAGGTAGTATACTAATAAGTGGTATACTTAAAAAGGTTTCACTGTAATACACTTATGATGACTGCTTAATGAAATAGCAGTAATCTCTAAAAACTTTTCATCATTGGATCAGTTTGATATTTAATGTAAATACATAATGCAAGTTAAATAAAACCTCATTTATCTGATTTAAAGTTTTTTCATATTTTTAATTTTTAAAATGAAAAAATTTGATTTAATATTTTTAGAAAAGTATTATGTTATACTAAAGAGCTAATTTCTTTAGTTGAACACATAGAGCAATTAAAGGAACAAAAAAAAATATTGCTTAAAAAATATTTTGGTCTAGAATTTTTTTTCTTCGAACAATTTATAACTTTTGAAATTTCCTCTTAGTCCATTTCACTTAGTCATTGCTAATTAATTATTGAATGGATTACAGTATTGTAGATTAGAATTGACCATGCTTAAAATCAGATGAATGAATAATTGTGAAACTACAAGATTTGTTACTAAATTGGGTGAAAGCAATAAATAACTGAATGACCCCTGAATTCATCACCACAAAAATTTGATAATGTAAAATAGCAACCTAATTCAGTTTTCTTTTTTATAAAATGACTGAATTCCCATAAGAGTTTGCAAAAAAGCAGGTGAGGTTATTTGCCTGAACCATGCATTATAATAATTAGTGGGTATTCCCCTAGTTTGAACTATCAAATCTTGCGATTATTACTAATATTAACAATTAAAATAAAATGATGTATAAAAATCTAAATCTTTCGATTCCTCAAGTCAATAATTTTAAAATCTGCATTCATATTCGTAGAAAATAGGGTGTTCTATAGACACAGAAAAATTAGGAATACCAGGACAAAAAGCTATAAATAAGGAGAAAATATTTTACAACAGGAATATCAGGATAGCTCTGAACCTTGCTTAATGATCTTCCATTAAACTTTTCAATTGATTTCAGTGTTTAAAGTTTAGGTTTGGCTATTTTTAACTTACAAAAGTGATTTAATTCAATTTTAGGTCAATCTGTCACCTATAACACTACAAAAAAAAAATTCTAAGCATAAAATTATATTCAATACTTTACAGCTAAAATAGATATACTAATAGATAATTTTAAAATATTTGAAACCAATAGCAGAAACATCCAACAAAACAGGGATATTCCTTATCATGCAGTTAACAAACATTCATGAAAGCTTGAACTAAGGGATAAAAACAGTTCACATGCAAACAAATTAAACCAGTAACAGGACACAAAATGTTAACTGAATTCACACAGTTTAATTTTAAAACAAGGTAAATCATTCCAAAAATAATTCTAATATATCTTGATTTTTTTTATTTGGGGATATAATCTATCTGCTAAAAAATTGTATGAGCAAAATACTATTTGCAATTGCAATAAATGTATAAAGGCCTCTAACGCAAAATAATGTATTAGTTTTTTTTAAAAAAAAAGATATATTCAATTAATATTGCATTCATAGTTCAATAAGAAAAACATTCTGACAACAGTCGACTGTGTAATAGGAAATCATGGAGCATTATTAGCAATAAATATAAGTAATAACATTTAAATTCTAAGCTTTAACAATTTTTTTAATGGAAAATATTGAATAATAATATAGTTCATAAGAAACTTTTAACCCACTAGTAAAAGTGCAGCAACTTCAAAGATAAAATAAGTATCATGCAATAAAAAAAATGATTTAAGTTACTTTAATAATAACCCCTCCCCCAATAAATTTTTCTTTAATAAACTAAAGCCACATGAAAATGTTATTAAGTAAGGCTAATCTTAGATTAAATAAAGCTCACACAATATCTTTAGCCCAATTAAAAGTATAGCATTTTTTTGACAAAACAGTCAAATAAATATTTTTTTTTTTTAGTTTATATTTCAATATGAATTTAACATTCTCTAAACTAGCTTAAAAAAGTAAAAATGCTTAACAAAAATTTTTAAAGACCTTCTTAAAGCAATTATTAAATTTGAAAATCTATATTAAGTGATAATTTAACCAATAAGGTTAGATAGATCTGAGACAATAATAAAAGAAAGGAAAATTTTAAGAAATATTTCCGGTGTAGTTTGTGAGGATGTACATTGGAGGATCAGAACAAATAAAGAAATTTATGGTAAATATTAGAAACTAGAGATTGTTACAACTGTAAGAATAAAAAGAATCCAATGGTTTGGATATGTTATAAGACAATTAACTTGAAAAGATGTGTTAAAAGATTATTAGATGGAAAACAAGGGATGGAAGGAGCCAATAAGAGAAGACTGTAGTGCCAAATTGATGGTTATGATTACAAATGAAGTTTAATTTCAGTTACATATTTTTCTAAATTTGTAAACGATAAAAATACAACACATCTTTCAAAACTGAGTATTACACAGTTCGATTAACAGGAAACAAAAATTTTTATTTTAAATTTATTTTTAAACACAAAAGAGTTATTTATATACAAATTTTTTCTTGAGAGAGGAAAACCTNTTTTTTGCCGACTGTACATTGGAGGATCAGAACAAATAAAGAAATTTATGGTAAATATTAAAAACTGGAGATTGTTACAACTATAAGAGTAAAAAGAATCCAATGATTTGGATGTATTAAAAGACAATGAACCTGAAAAGATGTGTTAAAAGATTATTAGATGGAAAACAAGGCGCATCTAGAGAAAGAGGAATGGTTGCCAAACCAATGAAGTTTCTGATTTACCCTTCCATTTTAAAATCCTACTATAAGCTATGAACAAACTTATTAACAAATTTTTACATTTGATTTATGAGCTCAGTAGATAAATAAAGTTTATGGATCGTTAATGTGACATAAAGAAATGTCCCTGCAAGCTACAAGAACTCATGCTCAACAGTGTGGTGATCACTGATCTGGTGGATGACCTTGACCTGGATGGAAGGAGCCAATTGAAGAGGACTTAAAATTACAAAATTCAAGAAAAGTGTGACCAACAGAAAAGGATGGTCCAAAGTCTTAAAAGAGGAAGGGCTCTGCAAGGGCTGTAGTGCCAAAATGATGGTTATGATTACAAACGAAGTTTAATTTCAGGTACATATTTTTCTAAATTTGTAAACCATAAAAATACAACACATCTTTCAAAAGTGAGTATTACACAGTTTGATTAACAGGAAACAAAAATTGTTATTTTAAATTTATTTTTAAACATAAAAGAGCATACGGCGTTATTTATATACAAATTTTTTTCTTGAGAGAGGAAATCCTTATATACACATATTGTAATTGCAAAGACTAAAGGAGAGGGGCAAAGAAACTTACTTGTTGCCAAATATTAAATCTGCGTCAGGTGCCCCTTTTGGATGGTGATACTTTTGCCTCCTGTCTCGATTGAGATTCATCACGGATGGCCTTTGTTGCGAAGCGAGCATTTCTGAAAACAAATAAAACTAAATGTTAATTTGATGCATGTTCTTTTCTGTTAGTTGAATACAAAGATTATTTAACCCACTGGACTTTTATTATTATTGGGGACAAACTGGGCACCCATCGGGTTTACAGCAAATGCCACTGCTCGTTTTTGTACATATAGGATTGTGTCACCCGGTTGCTAAGCAAGCAATTCATTCATTTATTATGCTCACTTTCTATTTTTTTTTTACTGAATTGCCAGTATAAAGTTTGTGTTAATTTAAGGAACACAACAATAGAAATAAAATTATATAAATAAGTACTGTCAAAGTACTCTTTAGACGGGCCTTGCCATGGCTGAAAATAAAGTTTGATCCAATATTAAAAAGAAGAAAAAAAATCAGGTCATATTTTGGTATGTTTTGGTTTGTAATCAGGGTATTTTAAATGCATAAATACTAGACCATTTTAAAGAAAAGAAAATAAACAGCTAAAAAAAAATGGTGTCATCTAAAACTCTGAAAAATTTACTTTTGTATGGCATATTGATTTGAAATTTAAAAAAAAAGAAAACATTCATTTCAAAACATACAAAAATTTGAGTGCATCAAAACTAATACTAGCGAGAAAAAAAACAGTGAATTACCCTTTGAATTTTATGATTACTTTTACAACCTAAGAAAAGAATAATCACGACACGGAAAGTATTCACTACGATCCGAAAAGAGACTGTGATACAACATTACTTCACATTTTTAGATAATGAAGACTGTTAGTGAAAACTTGGAATTTTTATTTTAAAAAAAAAGCTATTCAAAATGAAAAGCATGGAGGAAATAAAAACTTTTTTCATAAAAGGTGAAATAAGTTTCTCAACCAAGTGGAAGAGTGATACCCAAAACCTCTTTTCTTAGGTCAAAACTGAGCTTGCACTCTTTTAATGATATTAAAAAACGCCCAATACCAAAATTGCACATCATGTGGAGTAAACAACTTTAATAGTCACAGATTAAGCCGTGGTGGCTTAGGGGAGAGAGCGTTTGTCTTCCAATGAGGTGAACTGGGTTCGAATCCCAGAAGTGGCTGGTAGATACAGATTCCGCACTCGCCTTGCACTGACCACAGTGCTGATGTAAAATATCCCCAGTGGTAAACGGATCTTGTGGGAACTTCTCATGGTTTTCCTCTCCTTGTAACACAAATGCGGGTTAGTTCCATCAAAAAGTCCTCCACGAAGGCAAACTTTCTCTTAATACTTGATCCAGGAGTTCTCTTGTCTTCTGGATTGGGTTCAAAATGACAAAGTTATGGAGTTGAACATTAGTAATCATAATTCCAAAATTGGATCGGCTATTCAACGATTATAAAATAAAATAGTCACAGATTGAGCCATAGTGGCTCAGGAGATAGAGCCTTCCCCTTCCAATGAGATGAACTGGGTTCGAATCCCAGTGAAGACTGGTCTCTACGAATTCAGCACGCAGATCGCACCGACCTCATAAAATAACCTCAGTAGTAGACGGATCATGGGTTAGAGTCCCCTTGTTGTCAAGCTAACCATGGGAGGCTCTTGTGGTCTTCCTCTCCATGTAACGCAAATTCGGGTTAGTTCCATCAAAAAGTTCTCCACCAAGGCAAATTTCTCCCTACTTGATCCAGGATTTCCCTTGTCTTCTGAATTGGGTTCAAAATGACAAAGCTAAAGAATTGAACATGAGTAGTCGAAAGCCCAAAATTGGGTTGGCAGTTTAACAATTGTTGAAAAATAAAATAGTCACAGATTATTTTGGGTGCAAAATAAAAGTTTACATATAATAGACAATATAATTACAAGAAAAAAAATTTACTGTAATATTTTGTAGAATAGGAGCCATAACAGGATCCTAGCAGCAGTATTTAATCTTTATATCAATCATATTTTGGAGTTCAGCAAGAGCATAATTAGGTTTTTTTTATTTAAAAATAATGAAATTATAATATGGAAGAAAGATTTTATTTTTTCAAAATCGATTTAAGAGACCACAAAAAGTGTCTTGATTTCTAACCCAAATCAAAAAGTTCAATATATAGAATTCCAAAAAGGGGAAGAAGAAAAAAACATTTGTTCTTCTTAAGTATCCTATGCACAAGGAACACCTACTGTGCTTGACCTTGGCTTCAGGTGTCTGTGACTGGTTTATGATAAAAAGAGGCGTAAAATAACAACAACAAAAAAAGGAAACAATTTTTCTTAAAGGTTGATGTTTAATAAGAAGACTTGACTCAGGAATTATTCTTTCTTTTGAGAAAGGAAGATAATGAAATGGGTTTTTGCTTTTACGCCTATTCCTTTTCATTTAATACATGTTTTTTATTAAAAAAACAACATACTGGTTTTGACATTGATAGGTCTAGTTTTTCTTATTTCTTTCTTACCGAAAGAAATGTAAAAAAGAAAAATTCCAAATGATTCCTTTAAAATTGTGTTTGTTAAAATGGTACATTCTGAACAAAATAAATAAATAAAAAATCAGGGTTATCAGGATAAATGCTAAAAATCAGGACAGTATATTTTTAATCAGAAAAAATCAGGAAAACTACAAACCCTGGTCTACATTACTTTAATAGTTAGTGAAAATTGAACTTGTAATAAATTAAAAAAATATATGAATAATAGACAAATTTATACTTTATTTACAATTTAACCTAATAAATTGGTTACTTTTTGTGATACATCTTTTAGTACAAAAAAGGTGTTTCAAAACCTTGATAACAATTTTGAATTCTATGCAGAATTTAGTCTAGACCCTAGCTAACAGTAAAGAACCTATCCCAAATATTTATGCTCAGCGTATATTTAAATAATATCTGAACTCAAGACGGAAACAATATTTTTTTATGCTGACATTTATTTAGGCAAATTTGTATGGATAATTTTCAAGTGTTGAATATTTAGGTAAATTTGTATAGATAATTTTTAAGTCAGAAATATTTAGGTAAATTTATAGAGATAATTTTTAAGTGATAAGTGATGAAAGTATATTTGAAGAAAATGCATTTGTAATGTATTTTATAAGTATAAATAAGTAAAAAAATGCGGGTGATATAATGTTTATTAGGCAATGTTAATAAGGTATTTGTATGGTATTAGGCAATGTCAATAAGGTATTTGTATTTTATAAGTTAATTTTTATGTAATAAATTTAAACAAATTTGTTAAAGACAATCTAAATTATCTGTTTAATACAATCTTAATTATCTGATTAAATGATAAATTTAGGCAACTTCGTACAGATATTATTTAAGTGATATGTATTTAGAAATATTTGTAAAGATAATTTTGCCATACTTCAGATTTCAACCTATGTTTTAAACCTAATTTCCTAACAGTACAATACATTAAGAATGATAAATATGCTGTGCTGATTGATTTTCATAAGATTCATAACAATAAAATTAAAAAAAAATTAGTCACATTTGAATCTAGTTTCTTTAATAAACTACATTAAAAGTAGTTGTAGGGAATTTTTACAAACCAGTGGTTTTTCAGATCACTACACAACTCTTTTAAAACAGCAGTGCGTTAGACTAGGAAAACAAATATAGACTACACTAATTCCATTTCCAATTAAAGATTTCCTCTCTCTTTGGTGCTGTTTATCTGTTATTCATGCATCTAGACGGTTTTCGTCGAAATTATAGGTGCGCTTCATTAGTATTTCACTATCATCCTGATTAAATATTTACATGCTGCTGGGGCTGAATTAGAATTCTCATACCAAAAAAATTTTAGATTCCTAGAATATATCGCCCAGCTCTACTTAATTGCTTAGAAAATCTAAAAATTTTCTATTCCTTTAAACCCATTCAGACTGATTAAAAAAGTTATCTCCTATGTTTTGCAATCACACAAATCAGTAAATAAAAAAAAATATTTAATGTTCTCTGCATAGATTTGGATTATTATCTACCCTAAATTATATTTTGAGCAATAATGAGTAAGTGATGGATGCTGAGCATCTTTAAGCACTCTCTAGTGACATCTAAGAGAGATATTGGAAGGCTTGAGCCAAACTTTTTTGACTTATATTATTTTTGTATATGTTTACTTATTGTTTAATAAGGCAACTTGTTATTTGTTTCTACATATGGGTTAGTGCACAGTGTTTTACTCTGGCAAATGATGCACATTGGGTGCTACAGCTAGAACTAACAAGAATTTTTTTTATTTTTATTTGTTAACACAATAGCATACCTTGATAATCTTCCTCTTCTTGTCTTTCATTAATGTTAAGAGTGAGTAACTTCACATGTTGTTTTTCCATTCTCTCAGCCTGAAATAACAGAATTTTTATTTTATTTTTATGAAACTACTAAAAAGGGCAAAAATAAGTCAACTATAATTCAAAACATTCTTACCTCTTCCCTGTCTTTTAGATTTTGTGCTAATTCTGAGGAGACAGGAACAGATAAATTTTTGAACTGTAAAAAGAGTATAAAAAAGAAATTTTTATAAACAAAAATGTAATTTTTTATATAAATTTAAAAAATTAAAATAAGAAAGTGTTAAAGTGATTTTAAGAAGCAAACCTCATAGGATGGTCATGTTTATAAGGATAGCAGCATTGATTTTTGCTCTGGGCACATAGAATTTTTTGCCTACTTATTTTTAAAAGCAGAAATTCTTGTCCATGTCTGAATTCTAATATCATCTGAGAGTTTGAAGACCTTCATGAAATTCAGCAGGTAAAACCTTTGCACAGTTAATATTGTTGATATAACTAATTCCAAAATTATTGAAAATTTTAGACGTATTAAAATAATTTCAATGAATAAAATAAGTAAAGCAAATTAATTATTTTTTGAAAAAATGAGCAGAGTAATAAATTTTTTAATGAGTATCTTTAAAAAAGCTATTTTTAAAAAAAAATTCTGCAGGGGGAATAAAGTCACTTTCTTTAATGCGTTCTATTTTTCAACTAAAAAATTTTATTACCACCCTCCCTGAAAAATATTTTCTTTAACAAGGTTCTAAAACAATATCAGAACTCAGAGCCTCCTGGGTTTTCCCGTAAAGTATCAATAATTTCCAGACCATAATTTTTCTATTTATAGCAATATTATTTATTCAATAAGCAATGAAACTTACTTTTGGACAAAAAATATGTCAAATATTACATTTTGTAAGACTTAAATTTTCACTAGGCGAAGATTTAACATGCAGATTTCAGAATTGGGTACTTGCACTTCAAGAAGAAGAATACCTCCCATACTCACACATGTGACGTCAGCGGCAGCTAATCTTTATATCAGCAAAATGGCGTATTAAAGTTGAGCTAAGTTTCTCTGCATAAGTTTAAATGCTAATTAATGTGAAGTTAGTGAAATACAGAGCCGTATCGCACATCGAATGAGTTGAAATATAATTTGTTCTCGTCTACTTCTTTTATTAAACTTATTATTATTATTTGTATACGCATTTTATTGTAACCGTGATATATTTTTGTTTTGTGCACCTGGCAACTTCGATGAAGAATTAGTTTGTTCATGTTTCACATGGCTTCGTGCCTATATTTGTGTTAAGTCTCTGTGTAAATCTATATTGAAAGAATTGAAATCTTTGAGAAAGAATCTTTGTGGAAGAAATTAGAATGTGTCACTTGAGAAAATTGATACTTGATGGGCTTGGCTTACTCCAAATAGAATTGAAAAAACAGTCGGTAACATAAACAAATATCACATTTCAACAATCAATTAGGATCGAGATACCCACACTACATCACTTGCAGCTATCCCATTAAAATTACTAACTTTTTCGGGTAAGCCTGATCCTGGGGAAAACAAGAAATAGAAAATAATTCATATTTTAAAAATAAAATACCTGTTGTTTATTGCCTTTCCTTGTCATTAAAACGAAATTCATTGTAGGCTTTTCAACATCTTTCAGTTCCAATATTGTAACTGAAACGAAAAGTTTTTTCAATCAATATAAAGATACATGTACACTACCCTACATATAAGAAAATGTTACTGACAATTTTAGGGAAAAATAATTATGAAGTTAAAAAGTAAGACAAATAATAGGACTAACCATGAGCAAGAAGAAATTACTGTGATAAAAATGTGGGGCCATTAAAAAATGGATTATTCATAAAATGGATGGATTATTCATAATGGATATTTGTTCAACTAAATAATAAAATACATAAAATTCTTTCTCAAATTTTATTTCCAAGAATGAGCTAAGAAACTTGGATACAACTTTTTCCTAACCCCAGAAGCAACACCTTATTGCTATTTCAAATTGAAATTTCTTTTCTAATTAAAGTAAAAAATAACTTTTTAAATTTCGATGCTAACAATAACATTTTTTTTAAAAATTTATTATAAAGCATTTTAACAAAAATTTATTTTGAATCTCGCCAATTTGGAGCTCAGGGAAAATACAGTACTTTCCCTATCTGAATTGGACTACACTTTGAATAACAGATGAATCGAATGAAGCTGGTTTAGAAGGAGAAGAAAAACTTGGTACGCTGTTGCACTTTGAAAAACAAACTATATTAAGTACTGATAAAAAAATCATAATATTAATTACTGATTATTTATCCCTTTAAGTACTTTATTTTAAAAAATTTGAATTTTTATTATACAGGGTTCCCACTCTATAATGAGATTGAAATTCAAGGACTTTCCAGGACTTTTCAAGGACCTCAACAAAATTTTCAAGGACCTTAATCTAAGACCAATTTCAAAAATTATTCTCTTCTATTTCACTAGAAGCAACAATGCTTGTTGTGGCAATAATTAATTTCANTTTATAAAAAGGGTCGCCGGCAGTATTGGACAAATTCAAGGACCTATCAAGTTTTTCAAGGACCTAAGACGTTTTTCAAGCACTTTCAAGGACCTAAATTTAGCAACAAAAAATTCAAGGACTTTCAAGGACTCTCAAGGACCGTGGGAACCCTGATAATGCATAAAATTTTGTTATAACCAGCAACTATTTATTTTACCTGGGTAAAGCAACAGTTGCCCTGTACTTAATGGTCAAAACATTGAATATCAGATGGCTCAAATGAAGTTGGTTTGAAGAAAGAAGATAAAAAAAACTTTACTGATAATAAATATTTTGTTCACTCCAAAAATTCATTTAATCTTGGCGTATGCCATATTAAAAATGCTTTTGTAATAAAAATTTAAAAAATATTTCATTTATTGAAGAAATAAATGAGCTACAGTTTTCATTAAGAAATTCTCAGAGCCGCGATGGCTCAGGGGGTAGAGCGTTCGCCTTCCAATGAGGCGAACCGGGTCGAACCGGGAACCCTGTCGATACGAATTCCGCATCTGGCTCGCATCGACCACAATGCTGACGTGAAATATCCTCAGTGGTAGACGGATTATGGATTAAGGTCCCCTTGTCGTCAGGTTAACCGTGGGAGGTTCTCATGGTCTTCTTCATATAACGCAAATGCGGGTTAGTTCCATCCAAAAGTCCTCTACGAAGGCAAATTTCTCCCAATACTCGATCCAGGAGTTCCCTTGTCTTCTGGATTGGGTTCAAAATGACAAGGCGAGGAACATGAGTAGTCCCAAACCCATAAAATTGGGTCGGCTGTTCAACGATGGTTATAAGAAAAAAAGAAATTCTCAGAAAAAAGAATGTGCCTGAATGAAGATGTGTTCAAAAGCTTACAAAAATGGATTTTTTGCAAGCATAAAATAATAATTTGAAAAACATTCCAAACTATTTAAGTGAAGATTTAGTTAACAATTCAAGATTTAGTTAGTTAACTGGTCAAAAGACCGGATATTGTATGTTGTATTATATTGTAAAATGTTGGTATATTTAGTGTAAAGAATTCTTTAGGTGAAAAATTTAATTAATAAATAAAATCGTGCAATAAAATTTTTTTAAATATCTTGAACAAACTAGACAGACACCTTTTTACAAAAAATATGCTAAAACTAAATTTTGATTAATTTACAAGCTATTATTGCATAATAAATTTTTACAGCAATATTTTTTACTGAAATATGTAGAATTTACTTTTCAATTTTGAGCAATTTACAAGCTATAGTATAATGAATTGCTGCATTCACATTTTCTATTAAAATATGTTAAAATTACCTTTCAAATAACTAATAGACAATTCCTGTAGAACAAATTGTTAGTTGAAATGATGAGATTGAATACAGAGTTACCAAATACAGAGAAAAAAAATTCATAATCAAAATAATAAAGCAATTATAAAAATTTTACGAAAAAAATTGTTCAAAATAACTAACAAAATATGTATTGAAAATTGAAAAATAATACATGAATTTTTGATAAATGTGTACCTGTTTTTTTATTGGTTCCTTTAATATTCATTGGGATGACAATGTCTACTTGTGGTTTGACTGACTCCTGATTACGATGCTGAAAGTGAATTATCAAAATTATAAAATTTTATTAATACTACAAATGGAAAACACAAACAATAAATTCCATAAATTTTTTATGTATACATTTTAGCATTTGTTTCGGTAAATATTATTGTAAAAAAGTACATAGAATTACCTTTGTTATACAAATAATCAAAATATTTATTTTCAAAACACTACAAAAATAATTGTATAAGACAAAAACTTTATAGTAATAGATAGCAAATAAAAAAATAAATGTATGCAAACGTATTTTAATATGAGACAATTTATTACATATAAGCACAACAAAGAGGAAAGAAGTTGAATTCGTCAAATATTCATAGTAAAATATGTCTCATCTCAACAATAATTTTTTTTTAAAAATGTTTTTAATATTCCCAGTTTGTTTTATGTAATTTAATGAAATGTTCCCCTTTCTATTTCAAATTGGATTTTCATTTTAAAACTTTTACCTTAGAAAATTTTTATGTCCGTATTTAAAGTTCAACAGTCCTTCACGCATAATTTTACTTTTATATATATTAATTATTTATGTATTGTAATAAGCTATGCTTTATCCAAAGGTGACATTTTTTTCGTCAAAAAAACAATTACTTAAAAGTGTATCTTTACTAAATAACAGTAAAATATACAGAAACACCCAATAGTAAAATGGAGTCCTTAATCTCTGTATAAAGTTTTTGATACTATTTTCTGAAGATTAAAACCCATCTTATGTTCCTTGATGAATGTAACTAAATATTATTCTGGTTAGAAATTTTACAGCTAATTTAAGGAAGCACTACAATAAACATGTTTAACTCACAACCAAATAAAGATTTTTCAGTTATGAAGTTTTTAGAATTATCATAAATTAGAAAATTATATTTTAAAAACTACTAAAACAATAAAAAAAATCAGTGGCTGAAAACATGGAAAAAATAAGAATTTTTGAGGAGAAAGTAAAAATAGAGGAATAAAAATAAATAAAACAGAAAAATATTCTCCTTATATCTGAATAGCTACTAATATGAATATATTATATCTGTATCAAGCAGGTTATGAGAAGTACGAAACAAACCAAACTGTCCAAGCTATTTTCGAACTTGTCTCACTTATTTGAGACGCTATTTTCTTTAGGAAACACTTTCCGTTTTTAAAGTTTTAATGTAAGTTAAAATGTGAATGTCTGAATCCTTACCAGCATGCTCTCGGACAGCATTCTGTCGAAAGCAGTCATGAAATCATCGTCCTCGGCCGTCTGTACCTGCTTTGTGACGGGACGTACGAGGGGTGCATCTTCCGTTCCCTCAGAGGCAGGATCAATATCGCCATCACTTTGGGACATCACAGGTCGACTGTTGTCCACCTCATTCTCATCATCCTGAGTAAATAGAACACATTATCCAATAAATAAAAAATTTTATTAGCAATTTAAAAATAAAAACTAAAATTACATAAAACGTAATAAAACTATATCAGGGAAATGCAACGTCTTTTTGAAAGAGTGCCCCAAATACTAAAAAAAAAATTTAAAAAAAAAGTACAGCGAGAGCCAACATGAGTAAAGTAAAACTGCAGTCATAAAAATGTGACTAACATATTTAAATCATAATTGTTCCCACATCTCTTGTCTTCTCGTATATATCGTTATGCTTTAACAATCCCATCACTATTGCTACCATAAGATATGGATAAAACACTCCAACTAAAAAAAAGCGATTTCCAACAATTATACGAATTAAATTCTTTTTCTATAATTTCTGAGACATTTAGACGGGCGATCAATATTGAATAAATATCCGCTTCCATTTACAGTTTCTGTGAACAGTTATTTTTTTGTTACAACTGTATTAAGCTGAAATGAGAGCATTGCCTCACAGGATGATAAAGACGAAGTGAAAAGACGATGGGGTACAAAATAGCAGAAAGAAGCTTTCCTTCCTTGAGAATTATTCAAGGGGAAGAGTGTAGTGCATCTACCACTACAAAAATGTAATTCCAATTCACTAGTATATAAGACATGTTAACTCAATTCTATGACGGAGTATCTTTTCATAGATGAAAGTTGACACTGTTGATAGCTACCATCTCCACATTGGTGACCTTCGAACATGATGTGAACATGCTTCCTACCTTAAAAGTAACGCCCACTTTGATTGGAATATGCCTCCTTCAATGGATGGTCCACATTGAGCAGTTGACGTATCCTCCTCACGTTGTAGCTTCTCAGTCTCAATCACACACAACATATACACTCAACAGCTAAAGGCAACACAGGAGCGACCACGACCGTGAACTTAATACAAATCTCACAATCAGCAATAAAAAAGTACAGTGATCTTAATACAGCTCCCGACCCCTCTCAAAACAGCAATGATTCATAACTAGTGGTATCCGTTCATTGAATTCTATCACAGATATAATTCTGGAAGGTTGTTGAGCGGTTCTTGAATTCCGGTTATTTGTTGAGCGCTCATCGATTTCATACATTATAAGCACGCCAAAATTTTTCATAAAAGTAAAAAATTTGGATATTTCAGTATATATTAGAAATCTATATTTGTAACTATATTTATAATTAATTTAATTTAATTATTTGGTTTTTATACATTGTTTATATTTCTTGTTATTACAATTATTAATATTTTTGGCATACATTACATAAGACATGAAATTTTACAAATCATAGTCGATATTTTACAATCAGTCCCGTTCAATCACCCCTCACAAAACTGCATGTTTTTCGTCAAAATTTGGAGAGGCGCTTCATCAGTATTTTATAGTATTCTTACAACATTAATTAGATCCTCTTAGAATGTTTTGGAAAATAACAGGTTCCCACGTTGTGTGATATTTTAAATAAATAAATGCCTTTATTCCTCTTTTGTTTAAAATACGTACATATTTTTTCGATCAAAATATTTCACACTTATTGTAAATTTATTAATTTTCTTTTTCATTGCTTCTTTATTACATTTCAGTCATTTTTAGGTCATTATCTTATATTTTATATTGACCTGCATTTTTTATTTTCCCGAATCTATGGTTCACAATGAATGGTCCCATGAGAGATTATCAATCAAAGTTCAACTGTATGAAGTTTTACCCTCAACTAGCGCAATATAAAATTGGACTAACGTATGGTATTTATGTTAACACATTTATAATGACATCTTGTGACACTCAATTAAATTCAAAATAAAAGGTTACAAAAACAAAAAGAAGATCCCAATTAATGGAAGGAGAAGAAAGGCTGACCTTTTCCAATGAATGCATGCATTTAATTTGTACCTCTAGAGGTTGACTCTGACTTCCACTGAAACCATCTGTGTCACATTCATCTTGACCACTGCATTCACTCTGCATGTCCTCGTCCATGTCTTCTGCAACACATTTATTGGACACTCTTAAAACAATGGTTTACACTTTTTGTACCATGACATTCAGAATCACGACTCTTTTTTCCTAGCATAAACATAACTTATCCAAACAATCAGTTTGTAAAAAGATTAGAGAAGTAATTAAATAGAAAAAAAGTTAACTCAAACAGAACATCAAATAGACCAAAAGAAACATGAATAAAACACAGAAAATTATCATGGGACATGCTGAATGCATTCATGTTAGAGCTTTACTATGAATAACTGTTTTTTTATTTTTTAATTTATTAAATTTACAAACAACGTTAATAAACTTAAGGAAAGAATAAAATAAGAGAATGGTTATTGCAGATTATAATCTTTAACTTAGTCTTTTAAATGAGATTAATCTTTTTCATATGTGGCGAGAGCATAAACAGAAAATAATAATAAGAAAAAAACACAATTGAATACAATTAGTCAATTAATTAAATGCCATTTTTTTTTTTTTTTTTTTTTTTTTTTTTTTNTTTTTTTTGAAATTGGTAAAATGTATAGTTTAACTCCGATAAAATTTTCAAAGATTGATTAAACAAATCGCATTTTTATTTTGGATGAATTTTGAGACAAAGGAACATACAAAATTAAGCACAGAAAGGACTGAGAATTTTTTTGTTGTTGAAAATTCAATTGCACATACCATCCTCTTCTACAATTGGGCACAGATTATCTTCTTTGGATGCTTGGTGCTGCTCAGCATCTCCTTCCTTCTCTTCATCCAGAATTGTGGGACAGATTTCAGCTAGAAAAGAAGAAGAAAAATAGCAGAAACAGAGTTCTTGTTATGGAGACATCTTCAGCAAAACTGTAAAAGGAAACAAGACATTTTTGCTGAAGCATTTTACTAGATTTCCTTTTAAAACAATTTCTCAACGAATATTATTTTTCATATATTTTAAAAAGTTTTCAACAATGCTTCTACCTATGTAAACATAGACAAATTCAACCATTATACAAGAGAAATATGACTTGAAATGTTGCGGGCTGCAACTTTGTCAAAATTTTATATCCGACCCTTTTATGTTTAAAGGAACATTAAATGTTACTTTCAGATTTTTATCAAGTTGTACAAAACAAAAGTACTGAATTACAAATTAAAATAAGAAGTAGATTCTTAAAAATATTTAATTGCATATTAAAAAATTCTGGCTACAATAACTTTAATTCGCACCTATGTATTAAATAATTATGTGCAACATTGTTAAGATATAAAACTTTAAAAAGGTTGGTATTAAAACTTACATAGTAGCACACAAAATGTTCAATGGGAGAATTGAGGTTTGTCTGCTGCAACCACCAGAAAATAGATATTTTCATTTTAAATTAAAGATGTAAATAATTAAATTTACAAATGTAAATAAGTTTGGATAAAATTTATTGATTTAAAAAAAAAGTTAAATCAGAGAATTTCTTCGTGAAAATTTATGGTACGCACACATGCTAAATTATATTCACAAAATACGGAGAGAAAAAAAACGAAATAAAAAAAGAGCAACATACACGATTATTTTTATATTTGAATAAATATTTTCTTGGATGCAAAACCTGAGAAAGAAATTTTTTTGCATTGTTGGTAAGTCGAATTTCACAAAAATGAAAAAATTAGGTTATTTTATTTATTTTTTTTAACGAGAAAAGTATTTTAAATCAATATAGATTTTTTGTACGATAATTGTCCTAAAAAATGACAACTAGTTGGCAGGCCACAAAAAAAAGCTTTGCGGGCCAGATGCGGCCCATAGGCTGCCAGTGTGAAACCACTGATACAGAACAACAAGAAGAGGTGACACCAGCCTTCCTGTTATCCCTAAAAAAAAGGCGAAACATTGCTGCAGAAAAGCACCAAAGCTTTAAACAAGAAACGATGAAGGGCGTTTTTAAGTAAAAACTCTTTTAATTCTCATAAAGTATGCTCTTTAAGTGTTTTTAAGTAAGTTTTTTTTAATTATATTATGAATTGTATGAGGTGTACTTGTATACATTTTATATTTGTTAAATATATTAAATTTATACCTACTCTTTCCTTTTTCATACTCTTCACTTTTACCACCATTTTCAGTTATCCAAGTTAGCTGTGGTGCGCATTAACTCGGATAATCGGGACTTTACCGTGTTAAATTTTCTTGTATTATGTTAATTTTATTACTTTAACAAAGCTATTTTTTTCAAACTAATATTTTTTCCTGTAAAGCCTTTCCACAATACTCATAAGTTATGCAAACATAATGCTCTAAACTAGAAGAATTTAATTGTTTTCAAATTGTTTCAAGAATTTTTCACAAATTTTAATGTTTTGGTTAGGCTGAAATCTGAATTTAAAAGAGAATGATTATTTATAAAACAAGTAATTGAACCTTACCAACTTTTGGCTTTAATTCATTGAGTAAATTTTCCACAGCCTGGTTTGCTTGTTCAAGACTCTCGAATTGTTTGAGTTTAGGTCTGAGGGATGTGATCAGATCAACAACCATGAACTTGATACTCACAGGAAAAGGATAATCCTCTGTGTAAATGTCAGCTGACATCTTCATCCAGAAATAACGCTACAAAATTTTTTAAAGTCACTAATAATCTTATTTCCATTATAAAATTTTAAGTAATAGCTGTTAAATGCATTTAAAAAAATCACAGTTAAACCAATTGGAAGGGCTGCAAGTTTGTAGCAGAAAGAAAGAGTCAAAATTTGCTGGAAATTTTAAAAATTAAGTTGGAACAAAAAATGTATTAATTAGTTTAGTAATAAATACACAGGATATGCAAAGCGAGCGGCTCAGGGGATGTAGTGTTTGCCTGCAAATGAGGTGAACGGGTTCAAATACCAGCAATGACTAGTGATACGAATTCCGCATTCAGCTTGCACCGATCACAGTGCTGATAATAAAATATCCTCAGTGGTAGACAGATCATGGGTTAGAGTCCCCTTGCCATCAGGCTAACAGTGGGGGGTTCTCGTGGTCTTCCTCTCAATTTAACACAAATGCAGGTTAGTTTTATCAAAAAGTTCTCCCTGAAGGAAATTTCTCCCAATACTTGATCCAGTACTTCCCTTGTCTTCGGGATTGGGTTCAGAATTACAACTCCACAGAGTGGTCATAAACCCAAAAAATTGGGTCAGTTGTTCAAGGACAGTTATAAAAAAAAAAGATGCGAACAGAAAATCATGGAATATGCAATACCAGTATTTTTATTAGAATGACTAAAATTTTGTACATTGTAAAATTATTCTCATTAATGTTTCGCTATTTATCAAACATTTGTTTTCCTGCAAATCCATAAGTTTTTCAGTGCATGGAGCAAAATGGATTTTAAAATTTCATTATCCAATGCATAACCTGAGTCCCACCTTTAGAATTTCTCATTAGGGAGGGGGCTTATAAAGCTTTTTCTTCATTATACAATCTTATTTCACTTCAAAATACATTCTTATTACACAACAGAATACATTCTTGTTTCACTGGTTTTGGAGATTCTTTTAAACCACACGAGCTTATTACTTTTTACTTTATATCATAACCATTGTTGACCAGCCAACCTGATATTTGCGCTTATGACTACGAATGTTTGACTCCGCAGCCTTGTAATTTTGAACCTAACCCAGAAGACAAGGTAACTCCTGGATCAAGTATTGGGATTAATTTATCCCCGTGAAGGACTTTTTGAGGGAATTATCCCTCATCTGGGTTACATAGAGAGGGAAACCCCGAAAACCTCCCAGTATGACGGCAAGGAGACTAACTACCGCTGAGAATATTTCCTGTCAGGTTGCTGCAAGTCAGATGTGGAATTCATATCAACCAGCCATCGATAGGATTCAAACCTTGTGCACCTCATTGGAAGGCAAACGCTTTTCCTTTTCAGCTTAAAAGGAATCATTCTTCAGTTTACAATAAAAAATTTAACAGCTAAAATACTATTAGAAAATAAAGTTTTGTTAAAACAGTTTGTCATATAAATCATACATTGATAGAACAATATTAACATAAAAAAAAGTAAAACCTGGAAAAATATGAGGAAGCAATCTAATTTCTTCTTGCTAGAACCATTGTTGAAATATTGACCACAAGTTTCTAAAAGGATACAAACAAGTCGAATGCGAAACAGATGATCAGGTGGATCCATTTCTGAATAAGAACCTGTAAATGCGAGAGAATATTCTATACATATCTAATTAAAATTAAAACTTGGAAAAAAAATTTTTAGAGTTTAAAATTTATTCAGTACATGGAAAACAAGACTGAAGGTTTGGATTAAAATATTTGCTGGTAGAAGAAACTTGAGAACATATTGTTTGATATAATTTGATGCATTTAGAAAAAGATAGAAACAGAAGTATACAATGAAATAGGCACAATTTTTCAATGTGAAAAGGGAATTGTGAATATTTAATGCGTAACTTGTCTTGTGACCTGCATATTTCAGATGAAAAGATGCTGCAATCCGAAATATTTCACATAAACAGCATCATTTTTTCTCCCTTCTTTGCAGATATAAAGACAGAAAAATGTTTGATCCTTTAGCAGTGAATAAGCTTAACAATATTTTCAGTTGTGAATAAGGCCAAAAAATTTACATGCTTTAAAGATAGGTGGGAAAATGATTTTTCTCTTTTTGGAATTTAGAGTAGAGATAGGTGCTTTCTGTGTCCGATTTCAAGAGATTGAAATAATGTTTTAGGGCACAAATGACTCTCAGTGTTTGGTAACAGTTTTTTCCATCATAATTGCCTGCTTGGCGACTAGGATATCATGGGAAACTCTAAAAAAAAAGTCCATAATGAGAAGTGTTATATTTTGTAGGAGTGAAGTTTAACAATATATATATATATATATATATATATATCAGTGTTTTCACTACAGCGCGAGAACGCGAGAATCTCGCATATTTTTTCCTTTTCTCGCATTAAAAAATTATTACCGCGAGAAATTCGCGCATTCCATAAATCAATTTCAAAACTCGCGAATTTCTCGCATTTTGGAAAAAGCTTCGAATTACGCCATTTAGAATGAAATCCGTTTCACTTTTCTTCCTGGATCTTTAATTATTTTCAACATCTGCCCCATTATCTAGCTTTCCCTATTTACCAGTATTGTTCAGAACCTTTTCGAACTACACACAACTTTACACAACCACGGAACCCTTTTCAGAACACACTTCTCTGCAACCTCTTGTTTACCGTAGGTAAGGTTTCTTCATGTAAGACGTTCAAATGTTTTATGCACTTATGTAAGATGGACAAATACCTTGTAAAGGCAAAATCTTCTATGATGATGCACCAAAAATATTCAATGCTTTAAAAAATAGAAGACGTTAAAAATGTATTATAATCAAAGAACTGATTTTTTTTCAAGAGTTTTTGTGTTTTTTTAGTTTTTAGAAATCTCACTTAACTTTTTGAAATCTCACCCTGTTTTTGAGAAAGGGTGAGAAATTCTCACCCATTTTTTTTCTGTGATGAAAACACTGTATATATATATATAAATAAATAAACTTTGTATATAGTATAAATGTTACTGCGAATGACCAAATTTGGTGGTTGTTGAGTTCGATCGGTGAATGTCGACAATTACATAGTCGCTTTGGCAAATGTTCGTAACATATACTAGATCTAGTAAAGTGCCACTATCCGGTAACCCTAAACTGAATTCATATTTTAGTAAAAAGGAACCCAGAAATATAGAAGTCATAAAGACCAGCACTTTCCAAAGTCAAGTGGGATCCCTGAATCTCAATAGTGATTGGCCAAAAATTTATAACTATTTTTTTTTTTAAATCCTTAAATACTAATTTAATCTTTAATTTTTCCCTTTATGAAAAGATCCCCAAAAAATATAACATACCATCTTGATTCACCCCAAATGTAATGAAAGAATATAAAACTTTGAATATCACAGCAGATTCCACCATTCGATAATTGTAGAGCTCTCCCAGATAACGCACCATGCTCACACGCCTCTGGTTGTACTTTGGATGATTCACCTACAATAATTAAACATTTTAATAGGACCAAATGTTCATTAACCTTTTAACTGTCAAGTTATTTTGATGATTGGGGTACATAAATTGTCAATTTCTTTTTTATTGCAAAAATCAAATGTTTAGTACAAAATAAAATATACTTTTAGCAGTTAAAATTTGATATCTTGAATGACACACATAAAAATTCTTAGGCTCGCAGCCACTGCATATTTACTTGAGGTGGTTGCAACTCAGCATGGCAACGGTAAAATTTGCCTCTAGTGGAGCAATGCTTTCAAAAAATAAAAAATTTATTTAATTATTCTCTAGAAACTAAAGAAAATTTTTTTAAAATCATTTTCTAGAAATATAAATCATTCTATATGACATTTCAAAGAACTGGACATCATTTTACAACAAAAAAATTGCTGCGCACTTTAAACATAAACCTCTATCCTTTACAACCTTCAGCAAAGTGCTGCCATCTATTGTTCTAAATTGCATCTAAATGAACTTCTCTCGAGATAGATTCAGATTTCACAAAACGGTCTAACTAAAGTAAACTTCTCCCTTTATATATTCGGGTATAACAATACAATATTTAAAAAAATTAGCCTGAGTAACACTCAGGCATGATATTTTGGAGCACCAGTGCAGTGCCCAAGATTATTTCGGGCATGAAAGTTAAAATATTAAGATCAGAGTAGGCTGCACACTTTGTATGAAGGAGTGAAATGATGAAAAAGTTTTCATTGTTCAAACTATAAGGTGTACAAGCTACAGGAAGACCAAACCTATGATAGATGGTTTGCCCTGACTAAGACCTTTAAATACTTAAGATTAAAAAGAAGAAAATGAGGGCAGCAGAAAGGTCAAAATGGAAATCTGTTCTGATCCACACCACATTGTTGTGACATTGAAGAAAATAAGAACTGTCAAAAAAAATTATTAAAAACTTTACATGCATCAATAAACTACTACCTTATGTTTAAAAATATATATTTTAATAAGTCTCTTCATTCCCCTGGCTCAGCTTATAATACAGAATTTAGATAGATTTTCTTTTCTATACAAGTATAAATGACGGTATCTATGCAGCTTTAACTCTAGGTGACACTAATAAAAAAATAAAAATATAAAAAATACATTACTTCCATGCCAAATCTTATATCTTCTAAAACACCATCTACAACTTGAGGGCCAACATTTTCCTAAAGAGAAACACTACTTCATTAAACAAATAACAAGTCAATAAAAAAAAACAATGAAGTTAAACTCTATCACAATAGAGTAAACAGAGAGCACATATAGTTTCAATGACATTAAGAATATTTTATGATAAGTTTCAATTTAATGCAGTTTAATTTTATATCTTAATTGAAAATAACTAATTAAAAATCTTTTTTTTTTGCTAATTCAAACTTTGAATGTAATCCCATTAAGAGTTTGACTTAAAGAAGAAATAGCATACTTTAAAATAGGATACCTGATAGGCGACTAAGCCAGCCAATAAATTAGCCACACATCGAATATTGTAGTACTTCACATTCCAAATACCGGTCAGACATTTAGTGATGTAAGCAGCCATCTCCAGATCATCCCAATCGAGTTTACGCATTTGTCGTAAAACTTTGGTGGAAGCAGAGTATTTCTCAGAGTTCTGAAAGGTAAAAATAACATTTTTGAATAAACATTATATATATTAAACTTAAACATTTTAATGAATAACTAAAATAGCAATTTAGTTATTAAATCGAAGCAAATAAAGGGCGATTCATATTTTTTTTACTTGGCTTCGGAGAGTTATACTAAAATTAACTTTCACAGTTGGAAGGCAATTTTACAGTTTTTTAAACAATTAGAGAGGTAATTTTATGGTACACAGACAGAATTAATTCAGTAACAAAGATTTGTGCTACAAACATAACATGCAGCTCAATTAACAGAAATCCATTGAAAATAACCATTACAATAAAAGACAAAATTTGATCTTTTAAAATAACCTCTACGCTTACTCGATCAAAGTCATGTAATTTTATCAACTGAGTAATAATTAACAGTTAGTAATAATTCATATGAATCCTTTTTGAGGTTTTTTCGGATGTCAATTCACGTATTCGCATTTGCATGACAATGCTAACAGCTTATACAACAATGTCAAAAGAAATAGTATTAGTATTATAACAAAAATGAAATTACTTTATCATTTCCAGCTTTAGTCAGATCTTGATAAAGCAGCTTTCTGATGTATTCATGCATTGGAGGACGCTCTACTTTAACTATCTGGAAAATAAATGTTCACACCAGTGAATATGTTACATCTTTTAAGATTAAAAAACATATTTGACCTTTTAACTATCAAGTTATCTTGGTGATTTAGGTACACAAATTGTAATTCTTTTTTATTGCAAAAATCAAATGCTTAGTACAAAATAAAATATACTTAGTAGTTGAAAATTGATATTTTGAATGACACACATATCACACTCAGTGTGGCGATGGCAATGGTAAAGTTTGTTTCTAGTAGAGCATTATTTTATAAAGATTAAAAAAAAAATATTTTTAAATTATTTTCTAAAAAATTAAATCATCTATACAACGTTTTAAAGAATTGGACTTTATTTTGCCACAAAAAAAAATCTGCACACTTTGAACATAAACCTCTATCCTTGAAATCTTAAGTATAGTCCTGCCATCTATTATTCTAAATTGCATCTAAACTTTTACCAGAGATAAATACGGGTTTGACAAAGAGATGAAGCCGAAATAAACTTCTGCCGACATATATTTGGGTATAACAATAACTAAAAAAAACTACCCCGAGTAATAATCGGGCGTGACATTTTGGAACACCAGTGCTGTGACAGTTAAAAGATTAAGACAGAGACTTACTGGGGCAACTTCAGGAGGATTACAATAATAGAAAGCATTCTCAATCATTGTGGTGTATCTGCTGTCTAAAGATAGCACAGACTTTTTTCTCATCATTTGTTCCTGAAAAAGAATTCATTTATTTTTCAATTTCATTGGGAAGTGACTTGCTTTATTCAAAAGTAAAAACAGAAAAGAAAGAAACAAATTACCAAAAGAATTTTCAACCTCTGATGAGAATCTGGTGCTTGGAAGAGGAAACGCCCACAGGTTTCCAACAAATTGCATGCCATCTCAATGTGATGGTGAATGAAATCCAGCAGCAGCAACTGAAAGAAAATTAAATAAAATCAAAAATGAAATGTACCATTAAAATAATATTTCTAACAAATTTATAATTTATTTCACTTTAAGGTTAATTTATTTCACTTAAGTTCTATTTCCAATTTATCAATAATATTCCTCAATATTTAAAGGGGCTTTTATTCTTGACCGTTAATTTATTAGGTCATTGATATAAAAACATGTATAAATTTAAATGGAATGAGATTGGCAGATCATATTAGCTACTTAGATAAAAACTAGTCTATCTGGCAAAAGCAAATGACATAAAATTATAGTATTTTTAAGAAAATATTCTTAAAAAAGTTTATCAAATAAGCACACATTTATAAACTCTACAACTAAAAATACATTTAACAATTCTATTAGTAACAAAATAAAACATTTTTACTTACTTTCAAGCAAAACAAAGCTTCAGACTTAGGGAAAACTTTAAACTTTACTAGCTCACCTAAAATTTAATTATTGAGGTTATTTTCAATTATGTGTAAGTCAGAAGGTGAGTGTGAATCTTAGAATTATTTATTAATAATGTCTTAATTAATGAATGTTGTTTAAAAAAATTCATAGCATAGTAGAAACAAGAAGGGTTGCTNAACCTGTTTAGAACGTATGATGGCTTAAGACTGCAATTATTTCATGCTAAATACAACACTGATAACAGGGTTGGAGCCCTGTTATTACATATAGCATAAAAAATAAAAACAAAAAAAAAGAAGAAAATTAAGAAAAAATATTTTTTCATTGTTCCCTTGTTTTCTCTACATTTTGAACTTATATTGTATATATATAATAGCATACATTTGTAAAAAAAATTCATTAATTTCATAATAAAAGCAGAAAAAATCAAAATGCTTCCAGAGCTCAAACCATTGTTTCCTCTCAAAACAACATGCCTTACATACTAAGTATGCATATCAAAAATGATATAATATATCATCGTAAATTCAGATCCGACTTATCTGGCAAAAGCAAATGACATAAAATTATAGTATTTTTAAGAAAATATTCTTAAAAAAGTTTATCGAATAAGCACACATTTATGAACTGTACAACTAAAAATACATTTGACAATTCTATTGGTAACAAAATAAAACATTTTTACTTACTTTCAAGCAAAACAAAGCTTCAGACTTAGGGAAAACTTTAAACTTTACTAGCTCACCTAAAATTTAATTATTGAGGTTATTTTCAATTATGTGTAAGTCAGAAGGTGAGTGTGAATATTAGAATTATTTATTAATAATGTCTTAATTAATGAATGTTGTTTAAAAAAATTCATAGCATAGTAGAAACAAGAAGGGTTGCTGAGAAAAAAAAAAGAAAAAAAAAGTTTTCCTGATTTTTAAGTACAATTATATCAAATTTTTTATGATTTTTTATTATTACTTACATTGATTTCTTTAGTTCTGTCACATACATGTACATGAAATATGATGGAAAACCTTTTTATTTGCAAATTAAGTGGAGTAAGCCATTTATTGTCAATTACAAATGTCAGTCTATAATGAAACACTATTTTCCTAATATTGAAAACAAAATTTTAATCAACTTTTCGCTAAAAAATATTTTTCAAATTAATGAAATTTTCATAAGATTTTGTAATTATATTAATCAATATAACTGCAAGGTGGAAAAACTTTCAATAGATATCTATTTATTGATATCAATTGAATCGAAATAGATTCAAAAAATACTTTTCAGAACAATTTTTTTTTTCATGTAATAAAATATTAAGACTTTTATGCACTACAAACTCAAACTAGTTTCTTTTCAGGTATTTTAATTAAATTCCATGACATTTCCCCGATTTTTCTTGATTGATAAAATTCCCTGAAATTTTCTCTAGTCTGTAGCCATTCTGAAATAGAGAGACAGTACACTGAAACACAATTAGCTGAAAAAATTTAGAATAAAAAAGTATTTGAAAAGTGCACTGAAGTTAATTCAAGCATAATCTTTACATAAAACTTTTTTCCTCAATATGTATCATTATATGAATGCGTAAATGTCTTATAAATCCCCTTGAAACTAAATAAAATTTGAGAAGTAGATAATCCGTAAGAGCACTTACCAATAAAACGAACAGTTTTCACTTTAGATTCAATGTTGATTTGATCTTTCTTTTTTATCTGTAAATTGAAAATGAATTATACAGTTCAATTTCATACATACAACATTCATAAATGTTTAAAAGATGTTTATGCCTTGCAAATTATTAAACATACTTTAAAAAAATATGTAAAGCTACTATTTTCAAATTAATTAACATTTAATTTAAAGTTAAATTGAAAAATTTCCTTTTTTTGTCATGAAAATACTATCATAAAAAATCAAATGTCCCATCCGAAAGCCCTTTCATCAATCATATGCTAAATATTAATATTCTATAGGCTTATATCTAATTACATGCAGAGAAAAATAATTATTATATATGATAAAACTAGCAGCTGGAAAAGAATTTTCTTCTTCTTAATGCTTGTGTTAAAGCTAAAATTATACGAAACAATAGTTAGACCTATTATCACATATGTTGCAGAAACTTAAACTGCAACTCTAAATAACAAATATTACTAATAATAATAAATGAAAAAAATTTATTATTTTTGAAAGAAAGATTCTAAGGAAGATATATGGACCAATCAAAGAACACCGGGAAAATTAGAAGTAATTTAGATTTAAGTAAGCTCTATGAAGAAAAATATAATAAAAACAAAAAGAATACAATAGCTGAGACATCTGATGCAAATAAGTGATGTAAGAGCAAAGAAAATTCATAGGGAAAGAGAAAGGTCACAGAAAAAGATGGCTAGATGAGGTAGAGAAAGATTTAAAATAAATGTCTCAGAAATTGGAAGATTGACATAAATAAGACCAAGATCTTTTGTAGACAGAAGAGCAACAGAGTAAGTAAATATATAATTAAAAGATGCATTCTCTGCAAAGTTGTGATTATATAAATAATTAGCATTTCATTTGTGCAGCTGTAAAGCCAAAATACCATGCATGCATATTTTTGAGAAAAATTGGCTCATTTTTATAGAAAGAAAATGTTCACAAATGTTAACAAAGTTGAATAAAAAATAATAGTCACATTCTGGGATTTGCATTAACAGGCAACAAAACTATTATTTTTGAAAGCTTCCATATTGGTTAAATTGATTAGCATTTGGTGCAGCACTACAATATCATAAAATGTCCAGCCTTCACTCGGAATAATAATAGTTATTGCTAAGGTTCACGGCAGTATAGCGACAATTGTCCTCAAATGTTCTACAAATGTCGCTAAAATCAGACACGCAGGCAACAAAATTGTCGTATTGTAACATGTTTTAAAATTACAAAATAGTAACGAAAAATAGTTTTTGCAGTGAATGTCATGAATTTAAAATTAATTGTAGCACTAATTTTATTTTCTACATGAAGGTTAGATTTTAGCTTTGAAATTTTTCAAAAGCAATAATTGAAAGTGTATGGTACAAAAAATTTTCATTTTAAATGTTGATATTTCTAATTTACATGTTGTACTGTGTTTTGTACTCATGTCCTGACAGTATAATTGTTTATCAATAAAATGTTGCTTTTTGCTCTTTCAGAATTGACTTTATTTAGAATTTAATAATTTTTAGACAATTAATTTTTAATGTAATATTTTTTAGTTCTTACATTCTCTGTTTCGTTCAATTATTTATTTATTTGGTCTAAGCAGTTTAATATGTTGAATCTGTTTATAATAACATCATTCTAGCTTTCTTTCATTTAATTTTAATAAATACTTCTTCAATCATTATGGGCTAAATGGATCTAACAAGTTTTAATGTGTTATAGATGGCTATTAATAGTTTTTGATGTGTACCATAACATTAATTATGCAATTGTAAAATTAGATTTTCCTCCCTCAAATTTGTCAATCATATTAAGTTTTAGACTACTAAATAAATACATAGGTTGCCTTCAGTATATTTTTATTACTGGTGTGAATCCTAGTTATGGCTACGATTAGAATTTATTTTTCCTTTCAATAATATATTTACTCACATGAAATTTAAAATCTTGTTTGAGCATAGTAACCAAGTCAGTGGCAACATCAGGCATACATGGATTTAATATTGCAACAAAACGTGCATAAAACGGCAATAAATCCAACCTAAAACAAAATTAAAATATGCTATCAGAACAGATTAACTTATAAATACATTAAATTACCAATACATTATACTTATACATAAAATATATTACTAAACAATTATATTTGTTATTAAATAATCAAATTTTTAAATAAAAAAATTATTTCAAGAGCAAAATATTTGGGAAAGAAATATTGGATATTTAGGTACCATAAACTCAAATTAATTCATTTTCTCTAACTTTTGGGATGTTTTAGTTAAATTCCCCAACATTATCCTGATTTCACCAGAGTGATAAAAATCCCCAACTTTTACCAATATTTTAAAAAAGAATCATTTTAAAAACTAAGTAATTTGATTCCTGTTCTTTGAAAATCATGTATTGCAATACTGAAAGAAAAATCAAACATTTACTAAAAGAACGGTTCAATGTTCATTTTTTGAAAGTTTTATGTTCAAATTGGCTTTCAAAGATCAAATAATGAGGGAGGATTTCTATATAACCAGAGCCAGTGATAATGAGCTCTATTCAACCTTTGATTTAAGCACATTTGTTCCATTGCCAACTTTTTAAACAATCCAGTTCATAGTTCTGATATGACTTCATGAATAATAATTTTATAATTTAAAATAATTCTGGATACTAAAAAAAAAGATAACAGAATGAGTAAAAAAGATTTTTAAAAAATATTCCCAATTTATTACTTTCAAAAACTTAAGGATCATTCTCTCTGCATCTAATTCCATCAGTCGGCTTGGATTACGCAAGTTTTGTTATCAATAGGTGAATTCTCTTACTTGTAGTTTTCTTTAGCTCGCTTCAAGATGCTTTCATGTTATCATACAAAAAGAAAAGCCAAAAAAGTTTAAGCAGTTTTAATCTTAGATTACAGTGTAAATATTTCACTTTTTTTATGCCTTCATTTTAGCGTAAAATATGTACTGATACTATATAGACCCTATTTTTTTAATATAGCTTTTCCATTAACATAAAAATTCATATGAATACAAATAAAAATTAATTAATTTGAAGTAGAAAAATTAAACTAGGTTCCTTTCCAGGTCCAAATAAAAAATTCCTGCTATGTAGAACAAAAGTTTCTAAAAATTGTGAATTGTTAGTTTTATTATTATACATGTTCAATTGTTCTAAAAAATCATGAATTATGTTGTATTAATAAACGTTTTCCTTTCAGTAGCAAATTTTTATCAACATTTCACTTTTTTTATTGTAATTTTTTCATCAAAATAAAAATTCATATCAAAAGATACATTTAGAAATAAATTTATTTTAAAGAGAACAATCAAACCAGTCTTCACTTAAAAATTCATTTTATCCAAAACAATCAAACAAAGTTTTGCTTAAAAATTCATTTTAGGTAGAACCAAATTGTTCCTCACGTTTCTAAAAAATCATGAATTGTGTTTTATTATTATTTAGGATTTTAATGTATTCTGTGATAGTTTATTTTTCTGATAAAATACTTTAATATATTGAAAAGGAATCATTATAAAATAAAGAATAATGACGTCAAGTATAAACTATGAACTAGATCATTGGAAAAGTCAGCTGTCAAACGATTGATGCATTTTTAAAAGTTGCCGGAATTCGGAGTGGGCTCGAAATATTCTAACAAGATGTCAAACCAGAGTTAATCGTGGTAATTGTCTTTTTTTTTTCATAACATAAAAAATGCAATGTGTAAAATTCCATTTGTTCAGATTACTTGAAGCAGAAGGTAAAAGAAGAAAAATAAAAAGAGGCTATTATACTTCAAGGCAAAAAGCACTATATGCATTATATTCTCAATGATGAGAAACTGTTAACAGACCCTTAGAAACTAAAAAGCATTACAAAATAATTTGTTTTCTCAATCATAAAAATAAAATGTGCGATTTCTAAGACTCATAAGTATATTCACACTAAAATTTCCTGGCAATTTTTCTTAAAAATACTTACATTATCACAATATTCATTATCCCATATTTCACTATTCATCTAGATCGTGCTAGGTCCAACTTACTATTTTTTTCTAATCCATAGATAAATAACTTAAATTGTTACGTAATTTTTAATGATTTTTTACTATTTCTTTATACTTTGTATAATAATGTTGAATGTAAAGTGTTTTACCTTGTTCGGGGGACAAGAAACAGGGCACGTACAAGTTTCTTCCGATTCGGTCGAGTATTTAAATTCATACAAAAATCAGTAGCAGCCTAAAAATGAGTCATAAATCACTAAATTATTTGAAATGAAAAAAAATATTTATAACTACACAATATAACTATTTTACATTATTTAAAATAGCTATAATCAAATAATATTGATTTCAGAAAAATATAAATACACGCTAAATATAATGAAAAGGATAGTCCATTATAGTAACATCAATTTTAAAAAATGCTTACGAAAAACAAAAATTTCAATTAATAATTTAAGCCTCAATATTTTCTTAAATAAAACATAAGCTAACAATTTGTAAATACAATTTTTTAATCGTCATTTTTAAAAGGGGTAGCCTTGTTGATAAAAAAAAAATAATAATGCAGATATTTTTTATGATTATGAGCTTTTTCTACAATTTATTTTGACACAAATTTGTTTTGCAAGATATTATATTTGTTTGTATTTGTTAAGAAATGACATGGATTTAAGGCAAGATATTATAAGAGTTAGCATTATGAAATATGTTCATACGCAAAATTATAAAATTAACAAACCTGTTATCTTAAATTGTTCGGAAATCCTATGACCAGAAATAACATTATATGATGCTAGGGGGATTTCCCTTTAATGAACAGTTTCTTTGTGAGATTCCGAACAGGTGAAAATAGAAAAATGCTACGACTATGCAATTTTATCCTATGCAATTTCAATCCTGATGATGTGCCCAAACTATCCTAGAAGTTAGTCACAGTATTTATGACAGCCCTATTATATATAATGTTTTCAAACTTGTACATTTTGAAAAAAAAGAAGGATTTAATGTCATTTTAAAAAAAAATGTGGCTTAGAAAGAGAAGCCGATTGCAGACTTGAAATCAGCGATATGAAAGTATCTGTTAAAAAATCTCATCAAGATCTATTAAAAAATCCCATACAGAGGAATCCCATTCGGGAGGGGGGGGGATTGTTCCCGATTGTTTTGTATATTTGGAATATGAACTAGCAATAGGCAGATTTATATTGTTCATGTAGCTTAGAAAATATTCACCTTTGAAAAGATTAAATTTCAATAATAATAATGATATTACTATGACTATTTTTTAAAAAAAAAGCAAGGTTTAGAAAACCAAGATTTGGGACTTTTACTTGTAGTTAGAATGAGAACATCGAACTTTAGATGTAAAATAATACCCATTAGATAATAAATAAATAGTGTTCAAGTTTTTCAACTTTAGGAAGATTACGTTTTTATTTCAAAACGTTTTATCACAATATTAGTTTGACCAAATGAGACTAAAACACTTTTCACAAAGGAAAAGTTTAGTGTAGCTTATTTAAGCATAACAAAAAAAAAAGGAACACAATGTAAGCAGTGATTCCAGAAAATTATAAAATAGTGATTAATACCTGATCTATGATTTCTCTATTAACACAATTTAATAATGAAGACAAGAATCCATCGAGCAAAACTTTGTTGGCCGTGCTTGCTTGAGTGTTATCCTCTTCAGTGTCTACAAACACAAATACGGACTCAATCCAATGCAGTCATTATATTACAAATTTTAATAAAACTAGACAGTTATTGAATAGCATACAGTGTGTACTGTAATCATCAGCCATTGACTATGTTTTTAAAAATTCTATAAGAATATGAAGTAGACAAAACTGCAAACTATGCGGGTCACATACTAATATTTAATCCAAGAAAAAAGAAGAATGTTATCCAAAATTTAACATATTTCTCATTCAAAAATACTTATTTAAAACACACACATAATATATATATATATATAAACCGGTTTGATTGACTGAAAAAATTGTAAGGAGCAAAAAAACACTTTTTATTGAAACACTTAGAAGCTGTTATGTTAATTATAAGTTTGCACTTATAATTAAGAAACAAGTCAAAAAAGGTCCTTCTTAGTCTTTTTTTCCCCCCCATTTTAATTATTCATCAATTGTTTAAGTGATGAAAGCTTTTGACAGCTAAATATTTTCAGTTTAAAAACTTAAAAATAAAGTTATAAAAATATAAAATTAATAAATACATTAACCTATACTTACAAAAATTTAATTAATTTTCCAGTTTCACATTAGGCAGCTTTCGCTTGGCTAAGTCCAAAACTTTCATCTTAATTAGTTAATACCTTTTTTAATAATATAAGAATGTTTCAAAAAATTTGAAAAAAAGTTAAATGTATCAAATTTTCAACGACTTAAATTCCAATCCAATTTTTAATATTTAAGTGAAAAATTATATTTAGTTAATTAACAGATTGTTGAGAGATAACAAACACACAAAAAGTAGAACCAGGTTGATGAAAATGCTTCTTCTAAAAAAATCATTGCTAACATTATTACTGAAGCTAGACAGGGTGTGTGGCCAAATCTTTCAACAAAAATAAGCACCTTTTAAGTACTTTTTAAGCACTAAAAATATTTTAAGTATATTAACAAACAACATTACATTTCAAAATGTAACAACATTATGAAAATGTAAAATAATTTTCAAAGACTTTACATGATCATGATAAAATAACTAGTTTCTGACAAAGAGAACTCTTCTTCTTGATTATATTAAACCACTATAAAAAGATCGAGAGATTTTGCGGTTCAATTTCAGAGGGTGGAAAATGAAGCTTGATATTGAGAATATTGTGCAAAATGCAGCAGAATTGCACCTGAAATTGCAAGAATCTCACCCAAACCCAGCTCAGTAGACGCACACGCGAACTCGCAAGTATTTCACCAAACATGTGAAACGATTGGCACTTTCACACACTATGGACTGACGATATGCCACAATGCATTGTGTTTGAATGAACAGTGAAAACATTGAATAGAACAATGTGAAAACCTTGATTTTGCATAATACGAGAAGAAAATCGACATAGTAAAGTAAAAAAATTTCATTTTTGAAAAGTGCTATCCTTTTGAAAGGTGTTATAGTTTTGAAAAGTGAAATATATCCTTTTGAACCAATAAGATTGAATCTTAGAAAGTGATGATCTGATGATTAGGTCAAAAATTATTTAGGATGATTCACTTTTACTTTGTGCACTGTACATCCAAAGAAGTAAAGTGATCTCACCTTCTATTTCTTGCATCATGAGAGTTTCCGTGAGATCTTTCTCATCAGTTCGACCTCCTTTCATTTCTTCTACTTCTTTTGTCTCGAGGAGTTCTGTCTCATCAATCTCCAGTTTACTCAGATCTGACAGAAAAAGAGACATAATTATAAATTTTATATAATAAAAAGTACATTTATTCTTACACAGAAAAACAAATATTTGAATCAGTTCCAACTTAATTAAAATCATTAAATTTACAACAATATTTTAAGCTCTCAAATAATTTTAATAAAAGCACCTAATATATTTAGAGGATAATATCATCTAAAACTAAAGGAGAAAGTATTACATAAGTTCCAAATTATGGATGGGCCAGGAACATAGTCCATTAGCATGATTCAGGAATCTTTACTGATATAGAGCTAGAGATAATTTCCCTATGTGAATTTAATGGACGCAAATTTCAAAAATTTTATTTCTCTTAAGTTCAAATAAAAGATTAACAAAGTCATATTTTTTCTTGCAATATTTTCTTATACATTAATTAAATAAAAATAAATTTAATAAAAATCCTTAATTAAAATATTGTGTAAGTTATTCAAAATCAAAAAAGTTTTAAAGTATTAACTAATGTCTCTCAGGATCAAATTTTGAAAAAAATATTAATTAATATTTTTCTGAATCAGACATGCATTTAAAGAATGAAAAAATTCACTGAAAATGAGATTATGCTCAAATAATCTGATACCTTACAGCAATGCAAAAAAAAAAAAAAATTACACAAATATTTTTTTATCTTTAAAAAAAATTTTTTAACAAAACTCTTTTTGTTAAAAACTTTTCTCAAAAATTTCATCTCTAAGCATTAAAGTGAAGAAAAGATTTGAGCTTACTTAAAAATTAGAGCACTTACCATTTTTCCTCAAATACAACCATAAACTGCCTACAGATCCATTCCATGTGTAGATTTAAAACAAAAATGAAAATATAAATTTATTTCATTCCAGCATAGACTTTAAAATCCTTACCTTTCAATTCAGTTATCAAAGAGGAGTATTTACTCATAAAAATTGTTTGTTCAGAAAAGGTATTAATCTCATTAAAAGCATTATTAATAAAGCTTATTAAGAAGAAAATGTGAACAAATATCAAATTGGGACACTTCTCAATTTCATGAAGCGAGAAAAAAATACTAATTTCACTTAGAGCATTCAGAATCACTTCCCATTTTTAGGATTTCAACAAGAATTAATTTTTGAGCGTAAATAAAAACCAGATCAAAACTATTCTTGAAACAATTTGTTTTTAATTTTTCATTAATAACTTAGCAGGGAAAATTATTTAATTCATAAATCTTAGCCATTTGAAATGTTAAGATTATACTTTGATATGAGAAAATCCATGATTAGATCATAAATATTTCTAGCTTTAATGTCTGTCTTAAGTGCGAAACCAACAGAAGATTAAAAAACAAAAACGTTTATTTTTTAATAAAAAATAAAAAGACATTACAGTTAATCTTAAAAAATAAGTAAATAAAAAGCTATTTTTAATATTTCGGAATTTCAACTATCAGAAACCATCCGAGATAATAACTAGACTTTAAAAATTGTCATGGATTGTGGTTAAGAAATAGTGAGTAAAAACACAGAAGAAGCATAAATGTAAATTAATGATAGGATAACATAAAAGTTGAAAAAATAAATACTTATTTTAAGAAATTCCTTACTTCAAGAACTTTAACAGAGCACACTTTTTATGTTTAAGAAGCTTTAAAACTTATTTTTAAATTATGTTAAAGTTCTTACTCATTTATAAACCTTATAGTAAAAGTCAAAGAAATCTTGATGAATTGTGATAACACAAATAAAGCTCACACCACACTTCTTAAAAAAAAATTAGAATACCTTCTTCAAGCTTTTGTATTTCATTTTCATTGGGAGATTGAGCATTTAATGAACTGTCTTTGAATAGAATCTAAAAGAGAAAATTCGCAATGTAATGTAAAGTATAGAAAATTAATTTTCAACACATACTATTTGTACAGTCAAATTTAAAAAGTATATTTGATTGGTCGATTGGGAATTTTTGTAAATGGTTCTGTTTTTCTGAAAAATTAATTCATATTTTTGTGAATTTGTGAAGATAACATCCAGTTTTGAGATTTTTTTAAAGAAATCACAAAAATCTGTGGTCCGTCCAGTATTTCTATGATGAAGTTTTTGGAAAATTCATAATTCTTAAGTTAGCATAGAAACGAGTTCTTTCTGTTAGAATTCTATTTTTGTGAATGCGTAAAAATAAGGTACAATTTTTGAGGAAGAAAAAACTCAAAAACCATGTTTTTCAAGGAATTACAGTTTTAAAGTTATAAATTAACAATATCATCGATTATTTTTTATAAGGAATAATTTAATGAGGTATCCATTTCAAAATTGAAAAATATTGTGCATTTCCTATTTAATGAAATGAAATTTTTAATGAAAATTCTGCTCTATGATAAAGTTACTTGTTAAGAATCTTATCATCACCTAAGCAGGCCCCATGGATTTCCAATCGAAACAACACTAATCTAAATGAAAAAGGAAAATTGTTGCATGCTAAATTTAAAATTTAAAAAAAAAATAATAAAATAAAAAAAACCCACAGATTTTTATGTTTACGGGGATGATTGTGAGCCCAACACAAAAATCCGGAAAATGTCTTACATAAAATCATTAGTGACGCATTTCAAAAAATTTATATTATCATAACATGAAATTCTAAATAAATTATATTCAGCATATAATTTAAATGAAAAATTATTTATAAGTTTACTTTTGTCTCTAATCACATTTATTATTCTACCAAAAAGTATTTACAAATGAAAGAGATGCCAAGTTTAAATTTTAGTTTTAATATTTTTAAACAAAATGAATTTTTAAACATAAATGTGATCAATGATTTCTTGAAACTTTTGGACCTTAGATTTCCAGAAACTTCAGGATCGTGGTTGTGGAAAAATCTGGAAATCTAGATTTTTTCCGATTATAAAATAATATTTTAAACTCCAAATTAAAATAAAATTAATTGAAGCATTAAAAAGTTTTTCACAAAGACTTTTTAACTATTAATTAATGTTTTCCATAAACAATAAAAAAATATCCACTTTCGTTAAATAAAAATGTTAATATGTTAAAAAAAAGACTAAATGAAGATTTTGATTATTTACACATTAATTTACAGCTAGATTAAAATAAAATAAACAAATAAAAATTCAATATTTAATTATTGTATTAGTATACAAACAACATACTATATGTATTAGTATACAATAATCTACACTATACAAAATTAGTATCAATTTACTTAATATAAAAATTACATTTCTTCGTATTTTTTCAATTGTATCAGTACAAATTTTAAGGAGAACTTGAAAAATGTAAGGTAATATATTTTTTCAATTAAAAAAATATTTGAAAATAGCAGAATGATTAAATGGAATTAAAAAGTCCAAATCAGATGCATGCATGTTTATATAAAATAGTAAGAGTACATTTTAGTACTAATGAATTAATGATAAATAAAAGATAAAATACTTTTTTGCTATTATTTTTATAGGTATAAAACTTATAGCACACCAATATGCTTATAACACAGCATTAAATAACATAATATTCATTGATAATAATTTTTAAAATATATATTAAGTTTTTTAACATAAATATTTTAGTTTGAAAGCACTAGAATCAAATTAAAAACAAATGAATATATACAGTAAAAAGTAAAAATTTGTTTTACATTGATAAACTTAAAAAGAAAGAAAGAAAGAAAAACTAAAAAGTGCAATAAAAAATTCAGAATAGCACAGCATTACCATCTAAGCTTTTGACTACTATATGCATAGCATAATAATAAGGAAGTTGTGATGGTCTATTTCATTTCAAGCAATTTTTTCGCTTTAACTTCTTACTCACATTAATTTAATTTAAACACATTTTTATAGGAGCACAGTAATACATAAACATTTAAAAACATGTTAATGTTTATTTAAAGTAACAGACTCACTTCAGCAACTTAACTCAAAATTGAAAGGATTTTTAAGGAAAACTGAACGATTTTTTTCCCATTTCGTTAATTACATGAATAATCACAAATTAAATTATTAAAAAAATTATTTCTATAAAAAAACAGGGTTGGTTTCTTTAAAAAAAAAGAAAAAAAAAGAAGAAAAAAAGGTTTGCTTTAAACTGTGGTCTAAACCACATTATGAAAAATTTTTCTAAGATTTTCATAAACAAAATCTAATATATTTTTCTCTCGTAGTTATATTATCTGTTCTGCAAGCATTTTCCTGCAGAAATACAACTTAACCCCAAAATAAGTTAGGTACCATTAATTTTTTCTTCTAAAGTTAAGATTTAAAACTAGTTCTTGTCAAAACAAACTCTATTAAATTGATTCTCTGAATTTACAATATGTAAATAAGTTTCTTAAATTGATTCCTTTAAAAAAAACTATTTATGGTTCTTTTGAAAAAAAATTTTTTTCTTTTGTCTTTAATACAAAGTTTTATTAAAAAAAAAATGTGCCAACTATATATCTTATTACTACTAATATTCTTCTTGGATAAGCCACATGATTATTCTATCAAAATTATCAATTTTTCAATTTGCTCCTAACCTGTTTTAAAAAACTTATAATTTTTTCTTGTCATAAACCTGAAAATTAAATAAAGTAGGAAAAAAATATTATTTACTTTCCTGATTTTAAATTCGTAAGATATAAAAGTGATAACTTGAAAAGTATATTTATTATTCATTAGTTATAACAATATAACTATTAAGGATTAGCTACTCTAAATTTGAAAAACTGACAGCATTGAACATTTTATGTCTAGGTTATGGTTATAATATAAAGATGAAATAAAAATTAACTAATTGAGTAAATTGTGTGGGATTGTTTTAATAAAAATGATGTCAACAAATCATATAATATATGAGTACCTCATAAGAAAAAAAAAAATTTTTTTTTCTACTTACACCAGGAATGAAAGCTTTGAGATCAGGTAAATTTTCATAAAAGCTTCGAGTGTCATCATCTTCCCAAGCAGAGAAAGACGCATCACTCTATAAAATCAAAATTTAAGAATTTATTTTAAATAATTACATGAGCATTAACTTTCTCCATTCTCCAACATACGAGGGTAAAGATAAATCGCGAAATACTTTGAAGCAGAAAGTTTCCTAGTTTCAAGCATAAGATTTTTTTAAAAAAGTAAATGAATGGAATCTTAAAAAAAAAAATTAACAGATTATTTTGAATGCAAAAAAACTTAATTATGAAAAATATTTTTGTTTAAATACCGCTTCACATGGAGAGGGACATCAAATTTAATGCAGCATAATTTACATCAAGGTTTTTCAAATTTTTAATGAGGATTGTAAAATATTATATATTAAATCTAAAAAAATATATATAGCATCAAAAAATAAAACTATAAATAATGAAATTACAAATAAAAGTATTAATTTAAATATGAAAAATAAGACAGCAATTCTTCAGCTTAAATCAACACACTTATAACTTTAGGAAAATTAATTAGAGAATAACACCAAATAAGAAACATTGAATATTAATTGCCACCCCTTGACCTCAATCTCTATCGATCTATTTATTTAAAGTTTTATTTGATTACATATATAAATCTAATACATTTAAAAAAATGTATGGTAGAAACTTTTTTGCTGTATATTTTACAATATAAATGTAATAAAAATTTTTAAAAATTTGACAAAGATGAACATTATGGATCTTAATAGGAATTTCATACCTTCCCTTCAGGGTTCCCACTCAATTTCAGAAAAAAAATTACCTGGCTTTTCCAGGTATATCTGATAAATTTCAGTGAAAATCCATAACATATTTTATCTACATCATACAATTTTTCATCAGAAAACTTAGATTTTATTAAAATTTGTAATATCAAATATTAGATGTTGTGAGCAAAAACATATACTAGAATGACAAAAGAAAAATGGAAAAGTTCCATTTAAAAAGGGAAATTTTATAAAATAATTGTAATAGATGTAAGAATTATTTAAATCGAATTTTCATAACTGATTACTGTTACTAACAATTCTAAGACTGGTTATATTCTAGGCATGATATAGGAATTTTCCAGTTTTTTTGTAAAAAATTGCAACTTTCCCGAACTCTTCCCTGCTATTTAGAGTTAAAATAAATTTCCCAGACAATTCCAGGTTTTCTTCATTCTCCCTGACTTATGGGATCCCTGATCTTGCTTTGCTGAATCTTTAAACATGATGGTCCAAAATGAAGTTTTTGAATGGTACTGAAAAATAATTCAAAAGCTTTCTGATATTTTTCAATGTTATTTATATAATTATAACAATTTGGGACATACAGCTAGCTCAGTACAAGAGGATGTAAAAACAAAAGGGATATTTAAAGTGAATATATCTATTTTGAAAAGAAAATTGTTTACATTTTATTCCACAAATCCAAAACTACCTGTTTTGAGAGAAAATGATCAAATGAAGTAAGGCATTTTATTTATGCTTTCATTAAATTCGATAGCAGACTACAACTTAAAAATCTCTATATATTTTCAATCTTTTTGATTAGCTATAAATGTCTCGTGTTACATAACGTAAATAATTGCATAAATATCTCGTTTTTTTATATTTTAGCATACAAAATGTATTTTTTGTGTGTGTGACCATGTTGTTAAAACCCAGCTACAACTGTGGGCAATGACATTTCAATATTGTTTTATTTTTCCCTTTTATCGAATAAGCATTAGTAGGATCAAAAACTGTTTAAAGTTTCTTTTTCTTCCATTCTGTATATTTTACATAGATAAACTTTCAATTAGTTTAATCTTTAGAATAATTTTGACAACATAAAAATAATAATAGAGGGGTAAGTATAACAGGCTAGAGAGTGGGAAAGGAACGTCTGAAAATACCCATTAACTTAAATTACAGAAAAAATTTATAAAAAAACATGTGAAACTATTTTGCAGAAAAAAAATTTAATTTTTTATCTACTAATTCAAAGTTTTCCTTTTACATGAGTACCCAACCAAACAGTTCAGCTTTATATAAAAATCATGATTTAAGAAAATAAAATAGCAAAATAATATTAAAATATAAATATATTATAGACATTAGATATAGCATTTTCTTCATTAATTTTTCCTAAAGTTCAGAAAGTCAGAAATTCCATCAAAAGCCGAAAGAATCTCGTGCCTGAAATTAAGAAAATTTAGAGTCTGGTCCTGAGGACCAATAACAAAAAGATCCCCAAAATACTTTCACCAGTCATTCTGATTGGATTTTTTTTTAAAATAATACTATCAAATGAATGTAACGAAATAACTTTTACAAATACATAATTTATAAAAATTTAAACTAATTAAAAACACAAATTTTATTTATATAAATCAAAATTTTATCATTAAGTTTTAACAAACAAATTTGATATTATATATATTTAGCATAAATAACAAATTATACCGAATAGTAGAAGGAAAAAAAATTATTAAAATGAAATTACATGAAAATTTATATTCAAAGCCAAATATTCAAAATTATGATAAAAAAATACTAACCAAAAATTTGTTGTCGAAAACACATGCCAAAATATCAAATAAATAAATAAATGAAATGAAATAAATTTTTAAAAAAATTGAAATTTAAATAAAAAAAAAGATATAAGTGTATTATTTCTTTATTGATTGATTGTTGGTCCAAAGAGACTATTACTTATTTTACGGTGGTCCAAGTCAAATTATAATGGTTTCAAACCAACACACTATGAATAATATTAAGCCCTGCAACAATTGAAATAGTAAAAAATAAAACATACAGCATCACGATCCTTAAATCGGTTGTAAACATCCAAAGTGGTCGTTTCACTGTCTTGGAACAAACTGTCGTCTTTGGGAAGATGAGGGATATCCTCGTCTACGATGTCCGCAAACTGCTGTGTGTTTGTGAGAAGTTTCTGGAAAGCGTTTTGAGTCGCCTCAAACTTCTCTTTCCTCTCTGTACTCAGCTCTCCTTTCGTCTGCAAAATTTTGTAGTTATTTTTCTCCAAATTTTGGAGTGTCTTGTAATCTTTGGTGAGGTGTTTACAGAGAGATTTGTAGTAATCCTTGAGCAAATTACGCAATCCCTTTTGCCGGTCAGGAAGCAAAAAGTCACTTTTTGGAATCTCAACACCAAATTTTTCCCCAAGAAGTCTGTATTTGCGAGGCAATAAACCAGCATAGTCTTCCCCGCAGTGACGACAAAAGCTGAGCAAAATATTAACATTGCTGTGTTCTTCTCTGTCAGAGGCAGTCAGAACAGTCAAAAGATTTCCTAAAAGTGGCAAACCTTCTTTTAAAGCAAAAATACCAGATGACACAAGCTGTAAAATAAGTTATAAACAATAAGTTTTTTTTTAAAAAAAATGAAGATATCTAGATAAAACATCTAAATAAAACACACAATCACAATTTAAATTAGTTAAAAGTAAAATACTCTTACAACAGCCAGAAACCAACGGTCATGTATAGCATAAAGTATAAAATATAAAGAAAAGTATAAAATAAGGTGTAAAGTATAAAATAAAAATAATACATTATAAAATAAAGCATAAAGTTTAAAATAAAAGTATATATAAAGTAAAAAGCAAAGTAAAGTGTAAAGAAAAGTGAAGGGAAGTAAACAAAAGCATAAAGTAAAGTAAGAAGTTAAGTATTATAAAAAAGTAAACTAAAGCATTAAGCAAAATGACTTTAAAATAAGTTGACACTGTAAAAAAAAAATAATAATAAAAAAAAAAATAAAAAANAAAAAAAAAAAAAAAAAAAAAAAAAAAAAAAAAAAAAAAAAAAAAACACAGCAACCAGAACTTGAAATTAAAATTTCCCTAACATGGAACAAAATAAATACCTCAGCATAAAAACGAAGATCCACACGGATTTTACTTGGATTTGAGATCTGCAATAAAAAAAAAACAACTATAAGAAATTAATATCAATAAAACAGCAGTTTTTCAAGCAATATTAAAGTAAATTAGAAGAACTGATATTAATGTACTGAAAGAAAATGTTTACAAATATTTTTCAGTTATAAAATTTTTTGTATACAAAGAATGTTACCAAAATTAAATAACTCTATTGTTAACAAATATAAACAAATTAGAAAACGTAATTACAATATAACTACAAATTATTGATTTTATTTATTTATTTTGAAGGGTTATTTCCACATATACTATAGTTTTTCTCACTTTCTCAATATATAGAGGTATATCAAAAAGAAAACACAATAATCTCATAACAAGATCATTTGATATTAAAACAAATAAACACCCAAAAAGAATCTCAAAAGATATAAATCATTTTACTTTATTGATTGTTTCTAATAGTTCTTTTAGCTCAATTCATATTTTTCAAAATGATTAAATATATAATATTATAAAAATCGTATGAATGATGAAATGGAGTGAAAACTTTAATTCTAATATCAATAATGAAACTTTGAAGAATATTGAGCCTTTATACACTTGTCTCCCATATACTAGAGACTACTAGACTACCAGCACTACTAGAGAGATACAGTATAAGTTTTTTTTTTCTAGTTTTATTAAGTTTATTATTGTTTATATTTAGTTCTTCTCTATTTCTGCATGACATGCTAGCACAGCTGCTCCAATACTTACTTCCTCTATCAGGGTGCTTAGCCAGATTTTTTCAACAAAAAATAAGCACCTTCTAAGTACTTTTTAAGCACTCAAAAATATTTTTAATCACTTTCCAAAAAAAAAAATTATATTTAAGATCTGAGTAGTATTAAAAAGTATTTTTTTATTGTTTAAAAGTTCTTAATTTATAAATATAAAATCAATAAAATTCAAAAACTTTACATAATCTTGATAAAATAACTAGTTTCTGATAAATATTGCAGAGAAAATTGTGAAAATCATGCATTTTTTGTAATTTAGAGAAACAATCGTTACGACAAAGGAAGAATCTCTTTTTAAAAGATTGAAAATTAAGCACTTTTTACAAACCCTGCATAAAAATGCAGCACTTTTTACAAACCCCGAAATAAAAGAAGCACCTTTAAGGGCTTTTTAAAAAACGTAAATAAAAAGTAAGCACTTTTTAAAAACGCTATGCATCCTGTCTATCTACTGAATCGAGGCTCATGTTCCACAGCATCAACTCATCTCATATTTAGTCCTCCTTTTTTGGGCACTATTTAATTTCCCAAACCAAAGGTCAATATATTAATTAGGTAATCACTATCTTTTCTAATGAGACTTAATCATTAAATTCTTTAGGATTTAATAACTGCAATGTACAATGCTAAAAGCATTTCTGCAAATCAGAATGAAAAAGAGCAAGAATAACTTTACCTTCTCATCTTTCTTCATAGGAAATACTTTCTGCCAGTGCTCCAGAAGCTGTGAGGAAAATTCTGCATATCTTTGATGCAGATGAGAACATATCTGGACAGCAGTATTGACATCAGACATCTACAAAATTAGAGAAAGATAAGTATTTCAAAAATATATAATCATTTTAGAAGAACATGTAATTCAGAACTGAGTATTAAAAAAAAAAAATCATTGGATAACTATACAATGATTAAATATATATCCAAATGTACCCTTTAGAAGGTCAATGTGCACCCTTGATATAATTTAAAAATAAACATGCAAGTAATTTCATGACCATAGAGGCTCAAGGCTTTCCTTGCTCATCTTAGTTTTCTTGACCTCTGGCTCGTGGGTGCAAGAGCAGATGTTCCAGTTGGGTGGTCAGCCAAACACAGAACCCCCAGTGTTTAGTCCCCAAGCATGCTTGGTACTCATTTTATCCACCCACTGAAGGGATGAAAGGTTGAATCAACTTTGTCCAGCCCGAGGATCAAATCTAGGATCAAACCTAGCCACCGGTCATACATATATATAAGCTCACCGGACAAAAAATTAGTCACCCTAGAGCGCAAGCACAGATGTCTACAAGCAGTGGTGCAATACATGCGGTCACGAAAGACGACGTCAGAATTGTGGTCAGTAAAAGATCCTGTATGAAAGGGACAAGAGACGTGTTTCACGACTTGTCAATTAAAATCGATTCCAAAGACAACAGGAATTGCTTCACTTAATAAATTAAGGTCCATCCCAACCTGTTAGTGAAAAAACATTGAGACGGGAGCTGCATGCAATGAACAATTGGAGTCGAACATCCCGTGAGAGGCACGTCAAGGTGGGCTAGAAATCAGCGAACGTGAACAGTTACGGGCTGCCGGAATATAATATGGTCTGACGAATCACTTTTTTGCTTTTTTTTTCAAAAGAAGCACATCGTGGAGTGCAACGAAGAACAGGTGAAGCATTTCATCCTGACTGTGTGCAAGGTCAGGTTCAAGCCTGTCCTCTGTCTGTCAAGCCTGGGAGTCTGTCCTGTTTTGAGGGTGTTTTGCTTATTATAGAATGGGCATCCTCATTCAGGTGGTCATTAACATTAACTAACATGTTTATTTGAGCATTCTGGATAATTATATGTTGCCTATCAGTTAACATCTTCTTGAAAAGTGTGTTTTTGATACTCCTATTTTTCAAGATGACAGCAGCAAAAGTTCAACGGGCTGGAAGAATATGTGACTGGTTTCATGAACACTCAGACACTCAATTACATCTTGGCTGGCCTGCAAAATCATCTGACTTCAACCCAATTGAAAATTTGTGGGCCATATTGGATCAACAAGTAAAGCGCCGAAATCATCATTCTCGCCATTCGGTTGATTTGCGCGATCAAATCCCCAGCGAGTACCTTAAACTGGACTTGAAGTACCAGCAAAACCTTGTGGACTCACTTTATAACTAAATCCAGGCGGTTATCGAATCCAGAGGCGGTGTTACATGCTATTACATGATGTTTTTCATGATTTCTCTAGGGGTGACTAATTTTTTGTCCAGTGTGCTTATATATATATATATATATTCACTTAATTTCGGTTTTAATCCCAAGTTATAATTTTCNTATATATATATATATATATATATATATATATAAGTAAGCATATTTTTTGAAATTCTTCTTGTCATAAAACTAAGTGAATTATAAATCCCATCCAATACTTATGTTAGAAAGTCTTGTTTTTCACTGCAGTTATCCGTAGATGTTTAAAAAATTTTTAGAAAGATGAAATTAGCTTAAAACAAAATTTATAAACTCCTAGAAGAAACATTCTTTTAACTTTGGATTTCCTTGCATTTTCATTTTTATTTCATACTTGAAATTTTTCCAAATTTTCTATTAATTTTTTTTAATTTCCTGCATTTAGAAATTTCTCTTGAAAATAATGAGATTTAGAGGTCTTAAATAAGCATTACTAACACATCTCCTATCCCTTGTCAGCAAACCCTACCTCTTTTCAGGTGCTTGCATAATATTTGAACAATCTTTATACTCCATAAAAAATAATAAAATTAGTTTTTCAACAGGAAAAAATAAATAGGAGCTATAAAATACTGAATTCCTTGCAGTTCTCTAAAAGCCAAAAGTTTACTCTTCCAAAAAATACTGTACACCCCTAAATTTAATAGATAACTTGAAGCTATAATTTAAGAATGCTAAAGTAAAGAAAAACCCATTTTTACATTTTTAAAGAAATACATGGTAAAAAAACACTTTAAAATTCTGAACAGCTTGACAAATAGTGTGAATTAGCCAAACAACCAAAAGTATTACATTTTCAATTTCTTACTCATGTCTGAAGTAATAACCACTGAACTGAAGACTAGATTTCTGATTCTTAATTGAACAAGAAAAACATCGTTCAAGAGATGAGATTCTCTTTATCGACAATTTCAGTGATATTTATAGGATCTCTCAGGTCCCACAATGCAAGAGTAAACTCACAAAAAATATTAATGCATAATGATCTTAATGAAAAAAAAGAATTATAAAAATTATCAAAGAGCAGCTGTCGCCATAGCAACGTGTGCAATGATGGCACATGCACACTGCTTACTCTTGAACAACCACAATTTTCTGAGCAAATAATTCTATAATTACCAAGCTTTTAAAATCATGTTCTAATTTTCAATTGCAGTCTCTTTGAATAAAATAAGACACATCTCGATATTGTTTTACTGCCGAAAATTTATGTAATAACTTGATATTGATACAGTACTTGATATTGATACAAAAAGTTATAAAAATAATACAAGTTAACAGGGTTAAAACAATAAATGAAAACATATGATATGATTCAATGTAAAAAGACTGAAATGACTTACTTTTAACTTTGCTTCAACAATGGCTGAGGCCTGAAATTAGAATAAGACTTTGAATTGACCGTAAAAGAATGGGAATTCAATTAAGTATAAATATGAAATTTCATGCTTTATACAAATAAATATTAACATTGTAAAGATTAGGTTTTACGAAAATGCTATTATTCTACTAAAATAAATTGTAAAAAAAAGAAAAGAAAGAATAGCTTATAAAATATTTTATGCCTCGAGTAGAACTTGTTTTAAAAAATTAACTAAGTAAATGATATTTATTAAAAACATAAAATTTTGTCAACTATTCTTAAAATTGTTAAGTATCAATAGTAATCAATTACATGATTGTTTATTCTCTTTGAAAACTCATAATTAAACGTTTTACAATTGGGCTGATTTGTTTGAACAGTAAATGGAAAAAGTTTACAGTTTGGTTACTTTTTAAATAAAAAGAGTTTTTATAAATATTCACAGTCGGAACTTTAATAGCAACTTGTAGACTGGTAAACAGATGAATATAGCCTACCTTTTTATGAAACAGTAAATGTATTTTATCAAGCCAATAAAATAAATATTTTTAATAATAAATACTTTTAAACTTACTGCTATACAACTAACTTCCTACAAATTTCTTCCAATCCTATTTACTAATTCGTAAGACTATCAATTAATATTATATGCAGGTAAACATTAATTGTTTAGAAAAAAATTTGTTATTTATTTTGTATTAAAGAAATTATGAACGTTTAACGTTCATAATTTCTGAAAAAACATTTTGTGCAATATTTATTAAAAAGAAATTCTTAACTTTTTATAGAATGAAATTCATAATCTACATAATGAAATAAATAAGAAACATGTTTAACAAAAATTATGAGAATAAAATTTATATCAAGTTTGTATTCAAAACATATTAAACTAATGCAAGACCTATTCATGACACTTAGAAACGCTACTTACGGCTTCACTGATGTATTTTGTGAGATTTAATGCGTCCATATCTTTAATAAGTGAGTCTTTTTGTGCATCTGTCATATTACGCTAAAAAATCAATAAAATATTTTTTTTTTCAAAAGCTCAAAATAAATAAAAATAACATACACATTAAAATTTATTATTTCAATAGTCATTCAATTATATGCCTTTTTTTTCAAAAGAAAAAAGGAAAGAAAAAAGAATTTTTGACAAAAATAAGAATAAAAGTAAGTGTAATAATTTATTATTTGCCTTAAAGAAATTAACTTAAAATTAAGTGTAACTTTATTTAACTACACGGTGTTTAAAATCGCCAGTAACTAAATATACATCATATCACCCAAACACCAAGTCCTATTTTTATGACTCTATCATTAAACAACCATTGTAGAAATGCCATGTAACTTTGACCTGGTCAAACGACGTGGAAAATGCCTGAGCTGTGGTGCCTCCCTTTCTGAACTTACACATCAGAACCAACAAGAGGATTTTCAGCCATGTCAGATTTAGCGTGCACCTTCTTGCATATACACGCTGGTTGTTTAGTCAACTGCCAGGATTGAACTCACAACCCCCAGCGATCTAACGAGTGAGAACTAAATAAATACAATAAAGCATTACTAATATTAGCTAACTGAGACTATTGTCTCTTTATTATTCCAATTGTAATAGAGGTTTTGCCCAATTTTTCCCTACGTAAGTCAAAGCTGTATCTTCAAAATATTTGACATTAATTCAATAAATATGAATGTCTCAGCTGCATGATAAATAAATTATATACATGCATATGGGTCATAGTTTATAAAATGTATTAAACCGATTTATATCCACGTGAATTATAAATTTCATGTCTTAATAACATTTTTAATATTGCAGGAACAATATGTGTTTTTGTATCAGTTATGTTACATACAGATAATAATTTTTGATTGAACAACCCTAGTGTGAGACATTTCGTCTCTTGGTTCGTTTTTATGTCCTCTTAATGATGACCAAGGACTATTTCAATTATAGCTTATTTATTATTAAATTCTTGGTCATAGAATTATTTACAGAAAAGTTACAAATAGATGCATGAGCTGTTGAGTATAATGTTTTTGGAGCGCAACTGCTCCCTTTCTTTTTGTTCATACTAAATCTATCATCGTTCAATTACAACTCTACTCTTCGGCGTTCAAAACGAATCTCATCTAAAAATCCTCTTTCTCATCAGAAACAGTCCTTTGCTCCACCCCCAATGTAGGGGACGACACCTGCAGTGTCCTTCACCCTCTGACCCTCAGGTCAAAGGGTCAATCCAATGCGTGGGAGAGGAATCAGGATCCTGACACCTAGTACTTAAAAAAGCATTTGAATTTACTTTATCATAGAATTTCACTTGGATCTCACTGTTATTAAAACCAATGTTTTGTCTAAATTGCATTATTTACTGACTGTTTTTTTCTCTTTCAGTTATTTAATGAATTATTTTTACAAAGGTAGTTCAGATTTATAATTTTTTGGATGTAATATCAATGTAGATTATCCAAGAATTTAGATTTGCAGGGTTTTACTTTTTTCTGGCATGAGAGTGGGAAAATAATAAAAAGTTTAAGAATATCCATCAACTCAAATCATGAAGAAGAAAAAAAGGTGAGTGAAATGAAGTAATAATATTCATAATTATAAAAACATACTAAAGTGTCTGACACTATTTAGCACAAAAAAAAAACATTTAAATTATTTACGTAATTTCTGAAGTTTTTTTTTCTTCTTCTTTTTTTGTTGCTACATATGTATATTGATAATCCAACCAATTTTTAATCTTTATATATCGAAGACACACATTTTATTAAAGAGGTTAAAAGAATGAAAAAACTAGAAATTTAATTTCTTTTAAAGTTTAGGAAGTTAAAATTCTGCCATGAGGCGAAAGAATTTCATGTCCATGTATTGTAAATTTGGCCACAGTAGTAGCTTAAAATATCTTTTTACACCGCAATAAAATTCATTATTTGCACTTTGAAATTAACTGTAAGAACAATTTAGAAAATATATGAATATATACTAAAAAAAAAAGTAAACATTGGTACTAAAAATGATGTACATATGAAAGAGAAGTCCATAACTAAACTCATGAATAACATTGAATGGTATTTAAATGCAGCACAACAAATGAAAATGAACAACAACAAAAAAACTGTGAAGCTTTAAAATAAATGTAACTTACCAGACGTTTAATAAAAGCGGTATTCTTTTTCAAACTTGAATCTAGCTTGCTGAAGAATGATTCTTCTGGTCTTTTAGCTGAAATGAACAAAAAGTTATGATAAAAGAGAACAAAGTGAAAAACCCTGAAAATTTTATGTGCAAGATACCAATTTATGTACCATACATGTTTCGTATTTAACATATTTTTTTTAAAATAAGACTTATAATTAAATTATCTACCAATAAAGAATATTGCACCTTATAGTAACTAAGAAAAGTCTTAGATCTTGCAAAATTCCCAATATAGCAATTTAAAATCAGGTGAATACAAATTGCGATGCATAAATTTAGATAGCGTGAATACGAGTCGCAATGCATAGTTTTTAAATTCAGTATAAATACGAAAATCGATGTGTGATATTACAAACGCAGGAATACAAATCGCAATATTGGATTTTAAAATGCGTAAATTGTGACATTGGATTTTTAACTCGCATGAATCTGAATCACGATACTGTATTTTAAAACGTGTGAATATGAATCACAAAATTGATTTTAAAAACACATAAATACAAATCGCTAGATTTAATGTTTAAACCGTATGAATATGAGTCGCAATGTGTAAGTTAAATTAGGTAAATACAGAAATCAACGCTTAATATTTAAAATCACGTGAATAAGAATTGTAATAATAGCGAATTCCGACGCAGTTCCAAAAATTTGTTAAATGGCCGAAAGCACACGTTTGTAAACGCCTCGCTAACAGGATTCAGCCAAGTTTAAAATTTCACATTTTTGATTGCAGATTTAAATGAAAATTTTGTCAGATTATGTTTTTCAGATTATGTCCCAGAAAAATCATTTACCCTGATCCAAATTTTCAGATCCTGAAAGGATGATACAAAAATCCCGGAATTCCAGGGTACATCCGGAATACAATCACACCTGGAGTACTTATATGATTTTAATAACCTTCAACACAACAAAATATTTAACAGCATTTTAAACTGCAATATGGTTATTTGAACTAAGTAGGAATTTATCAACTGTGGGATGACAAATAAAGGGAAATAAACTAAGATCCTTTAACCATTACATTTTCTCAAAAGCAAGTAAGTATATTTAAGGATCTTGAAAATTAGATTAAAAAATTAGAGAATAAATACTTTTCAAGGACCTTAAAAACTGTTTTATGAATACAAAACTTTTTTAAGGAATTCAGGAATCAGTTTAAAATCTGATTTAAAATTTTACAACTTCTGTAGATTTGACACATAAACAAAAGCCTAGAATTCATACAGCTAATGCATATAAATCATTTCTGAATTCAAAAATAAAGGCAATAGAAATCTGTACAGCCCTAAGAATTGATACATATGAAAATGTGAATTTGTATGAATTTTGTGAATAGATTAATGAAAGATGGCACAAAGCATGTTACAAACATGATTTTAATAATTAAGTAAAAGGTTCATTTACGGTGAAACCTAAGTTGACAACCCTTGTAAGTTGACCATTCGTCTAAGTTGACATCCACTATCAAGAACCAATTTTATCCCACTTAATAAAAGGGAGCAAATCCTTTGTAACCTGATCATCTGTGCATCTTTTACACTGACAGCTGATTAAAATCAAACTCGCTTAGTAGCAGAAGTCCGACAAACTAGATTTTTTTGTAATTAACTAAAACTATATATTTTTTTAAATGTAGTGATTGCTAACTACTCTGGAGAAGTAGTCATTACTTCACTACTTTTAGAGGACGAATTTTGCTAGAAGATTTAATTTACATTTATGTTCAAAATTAAAGAAAGTTAAAAACTGAAAGAAAAATTTCAGAAAAGAAATGGTTTAGGATTACAAATGAAACAATTTATTTTTTACAAATTTTTTTCTTAACCTTTTACACTAGAAAGACTGAACATTGCTGTATACCTAGAAAATCTGAGGGTGCCAGTGCGGCCCTTCCCAGATTGTTTGTGTTGAGATCAATCAGACAACTAAAATCTGAAAACATAATCATAATTAATTTAATAAAAAATATATTAGAAACTTGATTATTAAAATGCTATGGTATTTTATTCCATTTGATTAACAAGAATATTTGATTAAAAGAGACACTGACCTTTCAATTATACATAAGTTTCTTTGGTAATTGAGTTTCCATTTCTCTTTAAACAATAATTGAAGATATGTTGAAATAATCTCATATTTTGATGAAACTGGTGTACCCTATACCTACTAAAAAGTACCTTACAATCAAGCCTATGAGGAATTATGGGGTAGCTACCAAAATAACTTTGGGGACACTCTAGCCCCTTCCCGTCATCGTGACAGCTAATATTTGCTTCTAAAAAAGCTAGAAAATTACCAAATATTTGTGACATTGTTAAGTGTTTAAAGCTTAAGTTAACTTAATTAAAAAAAAAATTTAAAGTACACTACGAACATTCTCATTGCATCCAAAAAAGAACTCTTGTAGATTTGCGCAAATCAAAATAGAAAAATTAGTAGCATTTGAATCCTGTTTCTTTACTAAAGTAATGTTAAAAGTAGTTGCAAGGAATTGCTACAATTTAATATTTTTTGTATCTCACTACTTTAAAAAAAATAGCAAGCACTACAGATTACGTTTAAAAGTAGTCACTACAAAAGATTTTTTTTTGTAGCACTTTAGTTCCTACCCATTGTGTAGGGGTGTTATTAAATGTAATACTAAATCCTTCATAAGTTGACAGAAAAGAAAAAAAAAGTTACAGCAGTACTAAAAACAAAAGTGTAAAAAAGACATTTACAGAACAAAAGTTCCTGGAACATTTTAAGAATTTGAAGATCTATAGGGGGAGGGGGGATGATGAGTGAAAATAATAAGGAGCACTTTTAAACTGCCTTAAAAGCAGTTTTTTGAAATTAAAACCTCTTAAGGATTCTTCCCTTGCAAAATTACAAATCTTGAACCGCTCAAACTTCGAAATGGTACAAACTTAACAAAAATCATCAAAATTTTTCATAGTAAAAATAACTGTTAAGTCAGTCAGATTCAGTTTTGTTAAAATTGCCAATTTTGATAGTTTGAGACAGAGTCAACAAAATTTTTTGAATAATGCTTAGTTTGGAGCTGATGAATCATGAAGAAGAATTTTGAGCAGAAATGTTTGTTATGGAGATTCTGAGATTCAATAAATCTTTTACTGAAATTTTAAACATAATTTAAAATAGCTTTTATCTAAAACTAATAGTCCAATGAGATGTCATCACAACATCTTCCTCAAAGTTCCTTAATAAATATTAAAATTTTAAGGGTTGACGGGGAAAAAAAATTTCAGTCCATATTTGTACTTAATAATGTTAATTTTGAATAAATTCTATTGATTCCAGCCCCTATGTAGATCTAAATAATTAAATATAGAGTTTTTACTTTTATTTGTTAATAAAAAGTAATGGTGTAATTAATAAATATATACTGCATTCTATATAAAAATAAATTTAAGAACAAAAGAGAATAGAAAATATTTTAAAGAAAGCATAAATTACAACAAGTGCTCAAAAATGTTTTCCCAGTCATTTTTTTTTTAATTGAAATTAAATGAAAATCACAGTGAAAAATTTAAATTCAAGAGAAAATAGTAAAATAAAATTATATAAATTAAACATTCAACAAATATTTAAAGATTTATGAAGCTTACAGCTACAAAGAGGAGTTTTATACTAAGAAAATGTTATTCTTGAAAAAAAATTGAACTTTAAACAATTATCTAGCATTAAAGCAGACTATTTTCTTTTCATTATCGATTGGAAGTTTTAGTTTTTCTTTTGAGAGCTCCAGAGTATAAACTCATAAAAAAACTTCTCAGAGTAAATCTTTTTGAGCTATAGTTAGAGCATTGAAAATGAAGTTAGAAGTTGAGTAACTTACCATCAGCATTTCCATTAAGGCTTCTTAGCTCTGCTTTTTGTTTCAATTTTTCAGAAACTTCTGTAATATATGATGCTAATTCTTTCTGCAAAACAAATATTACAGTGTAAAAAGTATTGAATTAAAAAAAATATATAAATGTAAAATTAACTGCTAAAATTTGATTATAGGAGCAACACAAATAAATAATTATAAAAAAATTATAATAATTGTTTTAATTCAAATCATATTTTTTTAATATTTGTTCTCAGTACTTTTTGATAGAAAATATATCTAATATTACACTTTGTATGAAACAAAATTTCACTATTTGAACGTTTAACAGATAGATGTTTTTGTATACAGGGTAGAATATAAATGAAATGAGTGGATACAATGTTTTGCACAAGAATTGGAAAAGTTTAAAAAGTCAGAGTAATATAGTTTATTTATATAGTTAAAAAACATCTTATTTAGGATTAAGAACCAAAACTGATTGAAACAGAAAGTTTATATTAATTTAAATAAGATAATCTAATCTAAGAAAACCTAATAAAACTGCAATGGAATTTTTTACAGAAAACAATGATAATAGAAGTCAGGGTTATTTACATTGAACCTCCTTAGCTGCTTATAATTAATGTGAATTGTAAGACTAATTTTCTCCCCCAGGTATAGATTTTTTTTTTGTTGTAATTTTTGACAACAATTGATATGGCAAAGAAAAAACTTCACTTTGAAAAATAGGAAATTAAGCACTTTTAGCAAATCCTAATGAAAGAAAGCACTTTTAAGTGCTTTAAAAAACATAAATCACAATTAAGCCCCTTCTAAAATTTTGTTTTATTTTTTGATGAAACTCCTTAACGTAAGAAATAACTTTTAAAACATGAAACTGAGTTTATTCCCACTACTTACTATACCATAACATCTCATATGAAATATAAACTATCAGGGTAGTATAAAACAATATATGATATAAAAAACATTACAAAGAAAAGTATTTATAATTAGTAAAACTTTCATAAGTTTGTGGGAACAGAAAATTAATTTTCCAATTTACTCGAGAAAAATCAAAAATTAAGAATATGGTGCAACTATTAGAGTGTTAAATAATTTTAGATTACAAGTTTCTAAAGTTGTATAAAATAATAAGGAAAATAAATTTTAGTAACCTTGGATAGACAGCATTCTGCAAAAATTTCACTGACTAAAAATATTGTTTTATATATTGTTTGATATTTAGTTAAAAATTGTGTACTCATACTAATTATATTTTATCATTAGTACTTTAGAAAACATTTAATAGCGCAACCTAACATTGAGTATGTATGCGATTTGTATGTATTAGTTTTAGACGTGTTGCTACGTTTCAAAATGTAAGTCTAATCAATAAGAAATAATTTACATGTTTCTAATTTTCAAGCATCAAGCCGTTTCTAAAAAAAATAATTGTGACTTTGAGAATTAAACTTATTCTTAAACAAATACCACAAAATATATATATCAAAAAAAAACTTACTTTCTGTTCTTCAATGGCTGCTTCTTCAATTTCCTACAAAAGAAATTCTTTATTAGATAAAAGTAATTCATTCGTATGTAAACAAATACATTTATAAACTTACATTTCTGAAAAAAATAATAAGCCAGAAATTGTTAGGTAATTTTTTATATTAAAGAGAAAAGTAATCTGGTATAAAAATAAAAAAAATAAGGAAACATTAAAAGAAAGAAAAAAATGTGTAAAATGTACATTTCGACATAAAAAAATGCATGGTATATTTTAGTTTATAGTTAATGTAATTTTTAGTTTAAAGTAACTCCAACAGTGATCAAGCATGTCTCAACAATTTCAAAAATATGTTTTTAAAGAAAAAAAAAAGATGTATTTGAAATTACACGTAAAAAAATTGAGACATACTTTTTTTTTCTATGTTTCTCCTTCATATGACGCACATTATTGTCAAGAATAATTTAATTAACGACACACTTATAGCTTGCATAAGATTTAAAAAACATTTTACCTTAGCAACACCAATAAAATGATTCAGTCAGTGGTGTTTGAAATTTTAGGGCAAGCATTCAATAAAACTTTTTATTAATTTATGCAAACATACATAAAATTAATAATTATAAATGCATTTAATTTTCATTTTTGCTATTATTAATAAATGTTCTTCCACTCATTCTATTGCTTCAGTATATACAGTTGATAGGTAAATTTTTCAAACAGTTATGCATAAAAATTTTCTTAAAAGGGAGAGAAGCTGATTTTGAATTATTATTTCTTCAAATGCACTTAATCTGGATTGTTAGACTGATCAGTTACTCTAATCTCGATAGAGTGTTTTAACATTCTAAACTGGTATTGAACAGGTTCTATCTATAAGTGACACTTGTAATTTATATACGTTATAAATTAAAATATAAAATGTTGAAATGGCTAAGCTACCAACATGGATAGGAAACAATCCAGTAGATTTTATGAAATAATATAAATTTCATGATAATTTTTGCATAATGTACTTAATATTTTACCCATAGGAAATTTCAGGGACTTTTGTGGTCATCAAAATAGAAAAACTTAAATATTTTCCAGTTATGATTAACATTAAATGTACTTAAAAACTTACATAAACTCAGAATTTTGAATAGCAATAGACATTCATCAAAGATAGTTAAAAGATTTTTTTAACTAATTAAAAAAGGTTATAAATAAAAAAGTTATAAATAAAAATAAAAATTTTAGAACAAAAAAAGCTTTTAACTGATTTCTATAAATGAGGTTCGCTTCATTATGCATTAATAATACTTATTTAAATATTCAAGGAAGCAATAATGTATTACAATTAGGACTGGGCTATAAATCGATGTATCGCGACATATCGATTTAACACCTGTACCGGTAGGCCGATACAGCGACTTTCGTTCCAGGCGATGCATCAGAAGTCTGATTTAAGCCGTCGAGTAAAGAAGACAAACAATATAGCGATACAAGACACACATGGATCTCTTACTTTCCGATGCCAACTTGCGCTGTGGAAGACAATGTTCGTATCGTTATATTGAAACGGCCTTGATTGATGAGCGGTAGAATCAGAATCAGTTTTGAGAACATATATCGTGATCTCGCATGTTCATTTCGCACCTCTTAGTTTTTTTTCTTCTTTGTCGCGACTTGATATCGTTTCTTGCAGATTATTTTCAGTGGGACTGACTTTGTGATCGTTTGTTTCTTAATTAATTAGGTAAATTTTTTTTGAAACAAAACTTTCTTTTTTATTTTTAAATGTGAAGATTAATTTTGATATTATATGTTTAAGTATTATTTTACATTATTGAATTTATTACAAACGGAAATCTAATTTAAGGTGCCCATAAAGAATTAAATTAAAAAGTAATTAAATTTGTTAGGCTATTTTTTACTTTATTTTAATTTATTAAAAACTTTTTGGATAAAATAATAATTTAATGGGTTTTTATTACTGATTTTAAATTTATAAATCTTTAGTTGTTTTCATTTTTATAAATAAAATTATAACAAAACTTATTTTTCCTCTTTTGGATTTGGACATAAGTCAATCAACTTTGTTTATTCAAAAAAATTAGTAATGTTTGCGATTGCGACTTCTTTTTTTAAAATCATTTAGCACTTCGTTTTATTAAAGAGTATAATCGTGTTTTTTAATTTTCTTTCAATATTGACAGTTGAATATATTATCGAATATCTTAATTCTTTTGTTTTTATTTTTAAGAAATTAAACCTTACTTTGTTTTTTCGTTCAGAATTCGGTAATTATTCAATTTAACTTTATTATTTATTTATGTGAAATAATAATGATAAAAAATAGTGTTGTTTTAAAAGTGTTTTTGTTTTTGTTTAATTTATTTAGCACTTTGTTTTAAGCATACAAATAATTTTTAACGAACTTATTTTTTAAATTTTCTTTCTATATTGTTAGGTAAATATATTGATAAATTTCAATTTTATTTATTTTTTTATTATTTATTTTTAAACTAAGAAATCTTTCGTTATTTGCGCGATCATTTTTAGAAAATATAACATTAATATCTTTCTTAAGCAAAACATATACATCAAATTCATAAATTGATTTAAATCAATCTGAGTATGAAGTTTTGATAGAAATTCGACTTGCTGCGCCTTACAAGTAAATGAATTTCAAAAATACTATACTGCAATACATCGCTATGCAAAACTGACGATGCATCACGATATAAAATTTCTTATATCGCCCAGTCCTAATTACAATACAGATTTTTTTTAAGAAACTTAACTTTAGGACTCAATTTTAGGGAACTTTCTAAGATGTACAAAAACCAGGAGAATTTTTATTAAAACAGTAGAAACTGGCAAAATCCAGTAGTCTACTAGAAAATTGAGTAGAGTTGGCAGCTATGGAATGTAATGACATTATTAAAGAGTGAAAAAAAATCGACAAATACAACCTTTTGGTCATCCGTCTCCATATGAGAATCGTCTACATTCTGAGGTGGATCTGCATCTTGCGAATGACTGTGATTCTCTAAAAATAGAAACACTTATTAGGTTCCTTTTATAAAACATAATAACCTTGATTATGAAGCAAAAGAATATAAAAAGTTCTGTAAAACAATTAGTCAAACATTTTATTTATTTACACGATAAATAATTAACCTTTATGTGTAACTTCTATTTTTAACTTCATTTCTGCAAATTCATCTATAGTTGTGATTTTACTGTAAAATATTTGAAGTTTGGATTCTATCTACCTTTTCTAATGTCCTATAAATAGAATTATATATCCAATTTCAGGGATGCACAATCATTTTTGGCAAATTATCCACAAAAACTAGAAAGTACTATATTGGGGGCCAACATAGTAAGTAATTGTAAAAATGTAAACTACATTTATGCCATTCGAAAGTAATAAGTATGTATACTCATTTATAATTGATCTTTTTAACCTAGTTGTTGATAATAAAAATCTATGCACGAAAAAATAATTGCTTGTCTTTGTATCCTAAGTAAACTCCTAATCCATCTGACCTAGAGGGATAAAATTTGGCGTACTGATAGCTCCAAGCACCAGGAAGGCAACTGTCCACATTAACGGGATGAGTGAGCAGGACTAGTGAAAGACGAAATATAATCTTCTGATTGGATTAGAACATGCCATTGATAAAAATTCAATTGTAGGTGATTTAGATTATTTTAAGATAAGAAAGATTATTTTAAAGATCAGTATTTTTTTCTAACTTATAGCTCTCATAAAAAAAAAAGAAATTTATTTCATATTCCTTAATATTAAATTATTTTTTATTAATTATGTCAAATTAACTCAATGATCATAGGTGGTCTATATCACTAAAATAGAATCGAACCAGGGACCTGTGGCACAACAGCGCGAAGCACTACTGCTCAGCCACCGGGCGTCTTTCTTCTACAGAATCTTTTTATCCCTCATTAAGACACAAGGCCATAACAGACAATTCATTAGTTGAAGTCCCGATGTTTTAAAAACAATACTCTATACAGCATACTCTTCTTATAAACAAGATTATTCAGTAACAGTTGAATATCAAACGTATAATTACGACAGAATTTTAAATGAGATAAAAAGAGGGTAGCAAGAAAAAATGCTTAGTGTTCACATTATGTACAGTAATAATTAACTTACATAAACATTAAGTGTCCACAATCCTAGCATTTACTATACATGTTTTAACTATGCTTGAATGACTTGCTATGATTCCTTGGTTTGATAAAAAGTAAACAAAAAAGGGGTAGTGGGAAAAATAGTTCAGGGTTCATATTATTTATTGTGGAATCTCAGAAGATGCACTTAATTAAAGAGTTAGTGCCATAAGCAAAAAAAAAATAAATTTAAGTACACACATTGCAATTTTAACTTAGTATTATAAGAAGTGTAATAATAATAAGATATATAATAAGAAGATATTTTATCAACTAATTACCAGAATCAGCAGAATTTTCTGGATTTCCAGAGAAATCAAAAGAATCGGGTCTTTTTTTGTCAACAGTGTTTTCAGTTGAGGATGCTAAAGGGCTACGCTGAGAGCTTTGTCTGCGACCACGTTCTTCACGTTCTCGCTTCCAGCTTTTACCTTTTAATTCTGTTTTACGATCACCCATTTTTTATCTGAAAAAAATTTAAAAATTGAATTTTTTAGATTCCATAAAAATCGAAACAATGATTGGAATTACTTTTATTTTCATACCTAGGATGTATTTAATAAGTTTAAGAAAAATAGTCAATCATTGCTGCAATAGAATGTAAATTTGTCAAGTAAGGATTTAACAACCTGAAGCTAAAGACCATATATGTAATTGTACCTAATTTTAATTTTAAAAAAAATGAAAAATTTTTTTTGAATTTTTTTACATGGACATAAACATTAAATTTATTATGACGTTGAAACTCTAAATGACAGTTTCAAATTTTAAATAGATTTCAAACTCTAATACAGAAGTACCAATTCGAGTGACAAATGATTTAAATGTTTTGTCTTTTTGAACCAAAAATTGCAACATCACAAATAACAAAAAACATAGCGTGAGTTCTACATAAATTTATTTTATAACTTAATGTAAAACTCCTTAAATATATACTCTAATTTGAAAAGAACTCTGTTTTAAAAAAATCAGAGAAACAAAACGCCATATAAAGTGCTGAGATCGATCAAAAACTTGAACAAAAGCTCAAGACATTGTTTTTTCATAAAAGATGCTTGTTATGCTAAAATAAGTTATTTATCAATTTATTAAAAAATTAACGATGCATGCATGCAGTAATAAACAGAAGAAAAAAATTTAATTACTTTTACATTGGAATAGGTCAAAAACTTCTTAAACTTAAGAAATAATTAAAACATTGTCATTAAATGTGGAGAGCATAACAATTTCAAAACTGTAAAATTTTTTATTTCAACAAAATTGCATACAGGTATTGTTACGATGTAAAATTACAATGTATATGCGCAATATCTTGAGTAAGAGAGAGTGAGGCGTGTTTTTAATTTGTTCTTATTCTTTTTACATAAATATAACGATTGTTTTGCAGGCATGAACCATGAAAAAAAAAGTAAAGTATTTGATTAATTGCAAGCCCTCTTGTTCAACTTAGCAGGGATGTATAAATTTAATAATCTGCATAGGTATACTGAATAACAACCAAGTAATCAGTTTCTCTATAACTTAATAATTCATACTACTTTCTAACACTTTATAATAAACAACTTAAAAGTCAAATGAAAAAAAAAGGGTGCTAAATATGAGTAAAAGCAAAAATATGAATACAGTGTAAGTGAAAGTAAAAAACTGATATCCTTGTTTTGATTTATATATATAAACATTCTTCAGTGGAAAAAAAAAGCATTCCTCAATGGAAAAAATATATGTATATATATACTCTGTGTCAAGAAATATAAATATATCTCTTGACACAAAGAAAGGTTTTTGTTCATAAAACCAAACATCTATAGTATGTCTATGTGTCTTAATTTAAACTTTATTCACATTGTTTCTGCTTTGCTCAATTTAAAAGTCATTTAAAAAAGAACTTTTAAAAAAAAATTTTGACACTGAGAAAAGTTTGGGAGTTTTCTGTATCATGATCTTGGCAACTTCTGGGCTGCAGGCTGTGAGAAACTAAAAAATTTTTTTTTTTAATTAAAAGAACAGAAAGGGACCTACTCGAAAGGTATAACTTGTAACCATCCCCAGGCAAAATCTACATGTTTTTTTTCTATTTAAATTAAATTTGCAAGTTTAATTAAAACCTATTTGGCACCTTGGCGATTGTAGTTGGAGCAATAGATTATGATACAGAAACGTCCTCAAAGGTTTTCATTACTGAAACCAAATAGTTATTTTATGTCCATGTTTGAGTCCTAACTTGAACTTCATTCACGATGTTTTTGCCTTGTTTAATTTGAAAGCTATTTCACGAAATCAATTACCAAAAATTCATTTCAAATATAAATATTTACAAAGATAAATTAAAAGACATCAAATGTATATTAGACTAGATAAGTTGACATACTGCTGCAGCTTAAACAGAAAGTGGGGATATTTCTGTATCATGATCTGTCGAGTCAACTACAATTGCCAAGGAAGGAGCCAAATAGATTTTAAACTAGCAAATTTTTTAAAAAAAAACTTGTAGGTGCTTGCCCTGAGGTGGTTACGAGTTAAACCTTTCGAGTTGGTTTATTTCTGTGATAAATTATTTAGTTTCTCGCAGGCCGATGGCCAGAAGTTGCCAAGACTTGGCAATTATTTTGCCACAGATCAAAATATGGAAATCTCCCCAGTACGTTTCCGCATAAAATATTTAAAAAAATAATGTTAATTTGATGATAATCAAAATTTTCATTATAAAAAGGAGGATGAGATGAAACATTTTTTGAAAAAGTATCATGCTTACGTCATATTTTAACACTCTTATCTAAATATACCATAGTAATTAGTTATATATTTCTTCAACAGCTTGGAAAATTCCCAAATGAGTAACTGCAAAATATTGCAATTTTTTTAAGCGACAACAGGGTTGCGCAACGAAAAACTGAAGAAAAAAATTAAAGGAGGTAACTAACAACTCTTAGCCACCCGTCTACATACATCATTTTAACATTTTTGCAATTACTGAAACTCTTTGATGCCTTGGTAATAATGACTATTGGAGTGAGCATGTACCTATACGGAAATATCCCCAACCGCTTCATAAAGAGATAAGAATACATATTTTGCAAATTTGGGTAAGAAAAAAATGCTGAATCTAATACTATATCGCAATTAAAGCTAAATATAAATATACAAGCTTCCTATAAAAATGCAAGCTTGCTTAAATACATAGAAGAAAAAGATTACAATAATTTTCGCAACAAATCTTATAAAAATATTTACAATGTAAGCTAGAAACCATTGACAAAATATCGATTTACACAACCTCTTACTTTGAGTAATAAACAAATACCTTTCAGCACATAACGAAACGCAGGTGAGTATTTAATATTTTACACGCATACACATAACGAAATTCAAATTTGCATAAATGGGATAAGGTTTAATTTCTTGAAAATTGTTTTGTCAACAACATTCACTTTTATCATCACATTTTGTTTATTAGTACGACTTTATGGGTCTATTTCTGCTTAACTTAAGACTTACAAAACATTAGAAGTGCGTTATTTAAAGAGAATTCACGCTGCCTCTAATTGCAACGTGCGATTGCAAATCGCATGCGGTGAGAAGGTCCCATTGATGATGATGGCTGCCGGACCTCCGAACGCCGTCGGGAAAAAAATGACAGCCTGATTAGCCATCCTTTTTTCTCTCGACGGTGATAGCGTCTACCATATTCGGTGAGAATACTGCCGTTTCACAAGAGCTGCACATTTCTGTGCATGATGCCATCACAATTTCGTCCCTCTGCAGAAAGGATGGTTCCTCCGCTTTCGCAGCCTGAGCAAAGAATATATAAGCTTATATATACTTTCCACTTATATATTCTTTGGCCTGAAGGCCTGCGTGTGAAGTCTATCACTTTACAGTATAACAAGAATCTATACAACACATCCTCGGTCCTTTTGCAGGCAAAGTGCCGCCCACCCACTCACTGACCGCTGCCATTCGCATTGCCTGGACTGATCCGAAATGCAAGTCCAATAATTACAAATGCAATTACAAAAAACTTTCACAATTTTTTTACCTTTTAAAAGCTTTTTTTTTTTCGATTACTTGTTCAAAAATAAAAGTTAAAATGCACATGTTTTCCTAAAATGTTGATATCTATCCAATACTCTGACAACAAAGAAACCTTACGAACTGTATATCCAGCGACTACAATAGGTCCTTTATGTCTATATGTATATTATTCAGGTCTTATGCCTTCCTTTTTTTTTATCAGGGCCGATGCTATCCTGCCATAATTTACGATCTGCAGGGCGAGTTCATGGTCTCTCATAGACCCCAAAGATTATAGTATAGTAAAGACTATACTATAGTCTATAGTAAAAACATAGAGCCTAAAGACTATAGTTCCTTAAATATTTATTTAAGAAAGCCCTTTGGGCGTAGGGCGGTAGATTTGTTCTTTGCAATTTTACCTCACACAATATCTTAAGTTTTTTTTTCTTTCTTTAATGAAAAATTGGAAATTTTATATATTGATGCGTCAGATTCTCATAAAACCATTGATACAAAATTTCCATGAAAAATAAGAAGGTTTCTGAAATGCAGAAAAATTAACAGTTGCTATGTCAGAAGAAGGGAGTAACAAACACTCATGCCGCACACTGCTTTTAAGGAAAGCATTTATCTAAACTTTTTTATTTCTTCGAATTCTAAAAATATATCAGCAGTTGAAGGTAAAAAAAAAAAAACTAAAAGTAAAAAAAAATAACTTTCCTTCGGTGAAATAGTTTTATAAATTTTCCCTTTTCAAAAGTAATATTAATTTAAATGTTTCATAATCATTTTGCTTTTATTTATTTTATCAGTATATTATTTGTTTGAGATGCTTTAATTTTAATTAAAAAGATTTTAACACATAAAATTGTTTTTCTTTTAATTGGTATAAAATAACGTAATTACGTAATATATACCAACGTAATACTCATCTAACAAGCTTAAGCTTGTTAGATGAGTATTGCTTTATTTATTTATTTTTCCTCAAAATTATTCATTGAATCTTACTAATTTTTTTTCTTCTATTTCTAATGAATTTTCTTTTATTTTTGAAGTATTTAAAATATTTTAAATTTAAAGTAACATTGTTATTTAATTTTTTATATTTATGAGCGAGATTTTTTAAAGGAGACTGAAAGAAATAAATGGTACATATTGTCATTTCATTGATTGAATATTAATTTTCAGATTTCAAAATTTTATGAGTTCTACGCTTTTGTTTCTTAGCTTTCCTTGTTTGTAATTTTTAACTTAAATCTATATTAAATTGGAACGAAATTTAAAATTATATAATTGTTTCTTGTCTCTTCTCTCGATAAATTATTATTGTAAATATTTGATTAATTTTTTAAAAAATGTTCAAAGTATTACTTTTTTCTTTATTTTTCCCTTTTAAAATTTAGTGATTACATTACTTTTAACTTAACCAATTTCTTTAGCAATTGGAGAAAGGAACTTTTTAAAATTAAAATTAATGAAAACTTACTTGAGATCAACAATATCTCAAGAACGTTAGCCACTTTGGCTATAGAAAATGAAGTCTGATATCAGATGTTATTCTTAAAAAATTTTCAAAATTGAAATTCAGGAAAATTGCCGTAAGATGAATGGAATAAAGAAATGTATTGATATTTATATTCAATGTTTTATTGTGAATCCACATAATCAAAAAAAGAAACTTTCTAATTAATCTTTAAATAATCCAATATGTGTGTATTTATTTGAACAATTTTGACATTTTTGCAAAATTTTGTTCATGTTTTGTAATTTGGCATGCTTAGATTAGTTGAAAAACAAAACATTCTACTTTACTATTCAATTTTATTATCACTATTAAATTAAATAATTTAAAAAAAGAAAACGGTAAAATTTATAATTATATACTTTGTTTTTTGATTTGAGAATACCAGCAATATAAATAATGGGCAGATAATAATGTAAATGTAATACATAACTAACCAATATTTTTATTGCTCTTTTGAAACTGCTAAGCTCAGGACATTTTTATTATATTTTTGGTCTGTAGAATTATAAATAAAAGTGAAATATACAACTAGTTTGTTGTTGTTGTTGTTCATTTACGTTGCACTAGAGCTGCACAATGGGCTTTTGGCGTTAGTCTGGGAAACATCCCTGAGGATGATCAGAAGACATGACATCTCAATTTTGATCCTCCGCAGAGGGATGGTTCCCCCGCTTCGGTAGCCCGACGACCTGCGCGCGAAGTCGAGCACTTTACGGTAGCACAGTTTAACGAGGACCCATACCGCACACCCAAAGTCCCTACGCAGACTGATCCAAGTGGTCACCCACCCGCACACTGACCGCCGTCAGTGATGCTTGACTTCGGTGATCTGCTGGGAACCGTGTCTTAACGATCAGTCCACTGCGGGACACAACTAGTTTGTACTGCATTTTTTAAATAAATAAAAAGTTTAGATTTTTACTTATTTTAAAAATTGCGAATAAAATTTCTTTTACTCCGTGAGGACAGAAAATATTCTCAGATTTTAAAACATGCCATCAAATATCTCCGAAAAACTGCGCTTTTTTTTTAAGCTAGATAGATTTGCCTCACAGAGAATACGAACGAAAAGCAAAAATGCATCATGCTAAAACTAGCCGATCAGAACGAACACCAGTAATTTCAGCAAAAATTCGTCACACTAGATCACAATGGGCTATTGGCGACAATCTGGGAAATATTCCCGAGGATGATTCGAGGCAACATACACACACCATCCATCCACAGATCGTAAGTTTGATCTAAACCAGAACACGATCTATCTCCAATCCAGCAACCTCAGTAGGTATTGATTTATTATGGGAACTTGTGACCTCCGTCAGATTTATTTAGCGTGCACTATGTCACCATTTTGTGCACGGGGAAGATGGTCCTGCCCCTGATAATAGTAAACAATTTAAAAATTAAATCTTCATTGCACATAAAAAAAAAATTATTTCTTACACTAATATATGGGTGTCCTCAAAATGAATTCTTTCGAGGATGCTCCTCTAATTTGTGCTCATATCATCTTATGTACAGATGTTGATCGTGTAAAGCTAAGCACAGATGGATTGGAGATAGGGGTTAAAATTCGCCGTACGACTGCCAAGTTACTACTTCCCACGGACGTAGCTATAGCTTTTACATGGGGGGGAGGTCGAGAAATTCCATTATATTTATATATATATATATACTAGCTGACCCGGCAAACGTTGTTTTGCCATATGAATTATTTCTAGAGTATGAAAATATATCTTATTTATTGTAAGTGTGGTATATGAGTGAGAGGCATGGAGCTCTGTGGCATGGGGCATAGGAGACATGAAGCGCTGTGAACGATGACGGAATGTGAAACAACACACCAAATAATAGTTTTTTTTTAAATGTATTGTAACTTTTTTTATGAATTATGTATACAACGAATTCTGAAAATATTAGTCAACAATATTAATCTCTTAGTGCAATGCAGTGTACAATATTTTTTGTCATTCCATCTTTAGCTAACACAAATAAACTGGATATTTTCCCCACTCGAGAGCATGCCACGTATAATTGTTTGCGTGAAAAACATGGTGTGCTCAAATCTAAGACACAAACAGACATTGTTTGGCCTTGTCAATGCAAATGCCAATCTAATGGGGATCTGATTGCGTTTTAATGGAATTGGCACATGTGTGGGTATAACAGGGATTCGTGAAAGTAATATACTTTCACCCCGGAATTTGTCATTTAAAATAATGACTTCGATAACGTTGTTCATTAATTCTTTAACGACTAATCGCGTGCCGTTGCACAGCCGTGGTGGGTTCAAATTAAGAAGCAAAACAACCGGAGATCCAAATTTGAGTACTAAATTATGCGGTAGTATGCCTGGTAAATTCAATGAGTTTAAAAACTCTGTAGGAAAATTTGCAGCTTCAATAGGATCGCAAACTGTATCCACGGATTTATATGTCACCAAGTTACTAGGCAATAACTGTATCAACGGATTTATATGTCACCAAGTTACTTGGCAATAACTGTATCAACGGATTTATATGTCACCAAGTTACTTGGCAATAACTGTTGTATCTTCAGATTCAATTCGTTGACGTCCACATTTTTTGCTGCTAAAATCGCCCTTTCTGCCAGTGAACATCGGTGTGTGTGTACATCGGGAAATATTAGGTTAATGAGAGCATCTTGTAAATCAATGATTGTGCAGAAATCGTCCGGTAATTTTATGCATCCAGTCTCATCCTTAGTAACTTTTTCATCACCGATATCTAACAATTATTTTGAGAATGTTTCAGCAGATGGATCTTGAAGCATTTGGACGCGCATATTTACTTTTAGTTGAACATTTTCAACATTACTCCACAGTGGAGATGATTTCAAGCAAGCATTGATCTCATCAGCGTACGTTGAACGCGGAATGACGGGAAGTGTTTGTCTGAAATCACCTGAACTGCCGCCAAATAATTTGTCATTGTTTATTATATCTTTCAATGTCCTGTTCAACGCCTCAAGCGAATGTTTGTGTGCCATAGTGCATTCATCCCAGATGATAATTTTACAGTGTTTCAACACTGTGGCCATAGAGCCATAGTAGCTTCATTGGAGGTGATGTACCGGCCAATTTGGTACAGCGTTACTTCATCGTTGTTATTCACTGGAAGAGCAGTCACATTGGTATTTTCAACTCGAAATACTGCCATATCACTGCCTTTATTCACATACTTGCAAATATATTTGATGTTCTTCTTTTAAGGGCGAGCATGAGTATCAGAGTTTAATATGACTAGTTGCAACGTACGTGAATATTGTTTTTGATTTATCATGTTTCTATGTCTAGTTTGGATTGGAATATGATTAAATAAAGATATATTTAAAATTGACGTTAAATCTGTCCAAAAAATGAAAAAAAATTAGTTATAAACCTATTCTCAGACCTACTGAATATACATATAAAATTTCATCAAAATCGGTCGAGCCGTTTTAACCACTAAAACTGTGTCAAGAGATTTTTATATATATATGCAATATAAGCTACTAATATCATACATGTGTGTAAAATATTTGTTTATTGTAAGGAAAACAAATGATCAAACAGTATAGAAAAATGTTAATTGCTTAAAGTAATAATTTAATCTTTTAGTAATTCTTTTAAGTAAATTTAATCTTTTGCGCCTTGTTGATAACTTATTTACAATTTCGCCGGAACTTTCTCGATGAAACTTTTTTCGAACGAAATTTTTTTTCTCCACATTTTTCTTAAAAAATTATTTTTCAAGGCAAGACGTATAATATAAGAAGTTCTATGCGATATTTGGAAATATGGATATTAAAAAAACTCAAGCTAAGGGGGGGGGTCCGGACCCCATGGACACTCCCCTTATATACAATACGTCCGTGCTACTTCCGACTGATTTTTAGGTCTAAGCTTGGAGAAAGAAAAAACGCGCCACCTAATATTATACTTGTATTCAATATAACGCGTCCTTTCAATTTAACAAATGAATTCGGAAGATTCCGCAAGCTTTCTATGATGCTACCCAAACCCAAAAAATAACACACAATATTTTACAGAAATGAAGCCGAATGAGATAAAACAATCAAAACATGGCCAACCTTACACTTTATTTATTTTCTTAAATTTGAATTGATGATCCGAAAACATGGTATCGCAATTTTGACTCCCCTGCTTCGGTAACTCGACGACCTGAGCGCAAAGCCCGGCACTTTACGGTAGAACAGATTAACGAGGACTGATACCATGTACCCTTCGTCCCTATACAGGCTGATCAAAGTGGTTACCCATCCGCAGCCAGTGATGCTTGACTTGGTGCTCTACTGGGTACCGAATGTTGACAATCAGTCCACAGCGGGACTCAAGATATTAAGTATGAAACCTGAGATAGGAAATAAGTTGACAAAAAGAGGACTGAGCGAGTGTACACCACAGTTTTGGGATAGTACTCGTGGGGAGTGAAGGTCAAAGACCCTTTAAAAAAAAAGAGGTCATTTAAAACAAGATTTATCAGGAAATCAAACTACCCTCTACGTGTTGTCATTTCTTCTTCATCAAGATCTTCGATTACAATGAGTTAAAAAACTTCATGGAACTCTTGACTAAAACTATAACAGCCATCTAAAGATGAGAATAATTCAATTCTCACCATACACTTGGAGACTAACAAGTATCTCATTTGATTTTCACTATTTTGGGGTTTAGAAACTGTAATGTTTCTTCATAAAGTGAAGATTTCCCACTACCTTTTAGCAGTGCAAAATAAAACCTATACAGTGAAACCTGTCAAGTTGACCTCAATTATCAAGAACGGAATTTTTCCTACATAATATAAAGCAAAACCTTTGTAACTCGACCACCTGTCTACCTTGTATGTTGACCACTGAAGTAGTCAATTTTGTCTAGGAGTACATATTATGAAATTTTATTCTAAAACCCTCATAAGTTGACGGGGGAAAAAAATCAGAAACTGTTCTGTCATTTTGCAATCTATGTTAAAATTTTATTTGTTTGGTGAAATAGCTAATCTAAACCCTTTTCGTGAGTTGACCATCTTGGGAAACTGTAGGGGGTCAACTTATGACCAATTTCTTTCATTCAAAACATTGGGCTGATGTAAAATCTAAACAGCGCCAAACAACAATGAGGGAATATTTTTGTAACAAATAGGTTTGTAAGTGTAGTAATAACAGAATAAATTTAAGTGTTCAAATAATTCTGTTTTATTAAACACTTCACATGCATAACTAACGAAAATTTTTTTTTAAAAAAGTTAGTTAAATATTAGAATTATATGTAACAAATTGAAGTTCATTTAGGTTTTAACACATTTCTTAAGATAGATATTCATTTGGCTATTTCCTAAATAAAATTTTTAAGTCAAGTAAAAAATTTTTTTCTTCTAAATATCATATAGCAATATGATGTATGAAACGTAAAAGTAAACAATGACCCACTACCACTATAAGTTGCCCACTAAAACAATTCACCACATGTGGTCACACAACTTACACAAGTTTTACTGTATAATAATAAACAAGTTACCACTATCTTCATTGTAATATTTGTCACTATTTTCTAACACGACGCTCCATTTTTATTACTAGTTAAATATGCCTCCGTAATAATTAAAAAAAGAAAACCCTGAACAAGGTCAATTAATTTTAAATTCCTTTCACCGTGTGAATTTTTAATTCTATTTAGCAACTAGCCAAATACCTGTTCAATACCAGAAAGTCAATAAATTAGAATAAGTTCTGAGCTACATTTCGCAATAAGGCTCAAAACTAAACAAAAAGAATTTTCATAAGACTTTTATAGGGTCTTTGGAGCATCACCATTTTTCTACCTGACCTCTACTGTTTAAGGTGCAAAAAAGTTCTGTTAGTCCTGATATATTAAACCATTAATAAAATATCTTTGCTATCCCTGGAAAATATTTCCTGTAACCACAGAAAACCAGTTGAAGAATTCTTATCAAAACTGCACCAATTACCAGAAGTATATACTACTAGAATTAATTTCCATCTTTGTATGGGGACTTTTCAGCGTTCAGCTAAATGATTAAGGCAATGGTGCATATATGAACCAATTTATTTCCTAAAGCACTTTTCATGCATTCTTTATCCAATTTAAGCATATTTTAAATAAACTTTAGATTTCAACTTAGTTTTAAAATTGTGCATAAAATTTATTTTACTCCATAAATATTAAATGACAGAAAATATTATCAAATCCCCTTACTCCTAGATCACAGATGACCCTATAAAATGGCTAGCTTAGGCCACAATAGTAAGAAAATAAGTCTTCATTAACGAAAATCTTAGGTTCGTCTAGGTTAAAAAAAGCTATATTAAATGCCATGAAGCTAATTTTTTTTATATATAAAATTTAACTTCTGCATTAAAATGCATAGTTAAGATAAGTTAATCTATAATAGTTAAATTTTACTCAGTACTGGCAAAAAAAATCATTACAGATAAAATTCATCAGCTGGCACACATTTGGTCTCCCTTAGATACTAAAGATCTAGACAGAGATTTTGTTTCTCAATAGTTGAAACACTAAATTTCAACTCATAATGCGTTTCCTTTATAGATAATTAGTATAAATCAGACATTCATGGGTGGAACTCTAAAAGACTGAAGTTACTTTTTGACCAATTAATATATACCTCTCCTTATTTTATGATCAAAACAAAAATAACAGCTAATCTCCTACACCCATCACTGAAGCACTAACCCTGTTCTGAAACTATTCATATTTCTATTTATTTAGATTCCACAATAGTATAAATTTTGTTTACATAGGCAGATGCCCGGGATCAATCAATCCTATTGCTTAAAGAATTGAATTTTATCGATGGAACTTAATTCATTGACATCCCTCAAGATTGAACAGTGGCACCCAGGACTATCAGATAATCTGAAAATCAAAAGTAAGGAAATACTCTCCAAATCTCTTCTCTCCCTGGAAAAATCTTTAAAGATTTTCCTAGTACTTTGTACATTAACACATTCCCTCACTTGCAAACTATTAAAAACAAAACTTAGTTCCTGGGTTGCAATTCACCATGGCAAAAATAAGTTGATCTTTTCTCTGCCCTTATATTAAAAAGGAAAAAACTAACTTGCCGATTAACATAAATAATGAGTCACAAGTCACTTATTTTGAAGACACATACTTTATTTTTTTACACCCACTTAAAATCTTAGCTTTTGGAAAAACCACCTGCTCTTGCCAGTCTTGTACCTGTAAAAAAAAAAAGGATGCAACATAAGAAACAACATAAAATTTCTACAGGAAAAATAGTTCATTTTAGCAATCACTTTATTGTGAACATACACATGCTTTTTTTTAGGCATATAACACCTTGTTATGACCTGTGAATTTTGAATATGAGCATTCAATTAGCTTCATATTTTCCCCATTGCTAACTTTTTTTCATATTACAAAATATAAATATATATATATATCATAATATAAATAAATATATTTATAATGAAAATGCATCTGCAAAAATTGGAGAATCACCACCAATGCATCCTCTCACCTATATTATCTAACTATGATAATACCATCCTATGACCCTTTGTCACCTCAGTGTATAGAATATCTAACGAAGGGGAATTATGAAATTATTTAAACAATGTCAACCATAAATATCAAAGTGAGAGAAAGGTAAAATAAGACTAAAATTAAACTAAATATAATAATCCCTATTTTTTTACATGTAAGAAGTTGAGGCAAAAACATCAAAAATATATTTATAATCAGTGGATAAAAAGTTATATCGCATCTAAACAAGAATGGTACTGAAAACAATATTAATTTAAAAAGAAAACATTTTTAACTCCGATGAACAATCCACCGTAAATATAAACTAACAAATATATAAACCCACATTTAATAAAAATTAACCAATATTTATAAAAATTATGTCAAAAAGATAAAAATAACTAGAGAAATAACGCTTCTTATCAATAGACAAAAAAAAAAAAAAAAATTGTCCTCCAACAGATNAACAAAAAAAAAAAAAAAAAAATACCTTAAACAAAACATACATAAAATATTTTGTATTTAATTAAATTCATGTGTAATCAATTTATGAACATTTTGAAGTAAAGGGGAAAAAACTCATAAATGCAATACGTTAAAAGATTCTTCCTCTAACAAAAGAAACAATTATAAGTAAGATGGAAATAGATCGTAAATTTAAATAAAAACCTATCTTAATGCTAAAAAAAGGAGAAAAAGAAATGTCCAAATATGAAAATTAATCAACGATATTGCACAAAATAGGGATGTAATAGTTTACATGGTACTCGTATTAACGTTAAACACAACCAACTTATACAAAGACAAAAAATAATAATAAAATAAATAAATACTACTATACTAATAAAATTGCATTAACATCTATATTAAAATTTCACTTCATCAGTTTAATGCAAATCTTCTCTTTACATAATAGAAAGCCAGAGAGCTAATATAATCTTATGAGACAAAGTAAAAATGAAGTTACCTTTCTTCAAATTTTGACTTGACATCTCGCCTTGCTTTTCGCCTCTTTGCTGGGTCTTTCAACACCTCCTTGTTAACTATACTCTTATCAAATTGAATATCTACCATATACCTAGGCATTTAAAAACATTTATTGAGCACAAAACTTGCCATAGAAATATAAGGTTTACCAAAGATAATAAATTAGCTATAGTGATTCCATTTATACAATACATCAATTATGCTAAAAATAACAGGGAAGACAAGAAAAAGTATGACGCATGCCTCCAGGATACATAATTGCTTGGACAGAGAAAATTCCAAAAAGAAAAAACTCTGTACAATATCGATCGCAGAAAGTGAAAATGAATACAATTCTGACACTCAGATGGCATTGCTGATAAACATGAACAAGCATAGACAGTTTTAGATATTTAAAAAAGATCTTTTTCCTTCCTTGTAATAAGTGTCATAAATGTCCTTCCTATGAAGAGAAATTTATCCCCCACCATGACATACTGAAAACTATTTAAGAATGATCCAATACAATAAAGCTTAACACGCAAACATTTAATCAAAGTAATATAAACTCATATTTGTAGAATTCACACCAGCAATGAAAATTCAGTAGTCCAATAGGACCACCTAAATATTCATTTAGTGGCCCAAAAACGTAACAAACTAGAGAGATATAATTTTATAAATACATAATTCATGTTATGGTACATATCAAAAATTATTAAACACCATCTTTAACACTTTAGCATAGCTGCCAACCTTACTAATAAAAAATTCGGAACACTATATGCGACAAAATTATACGCACCAATTACGAGAGTAAGACAAAAATTGAACTATTAAATAACAACATTAATAGACATACATTTAAATACCTTATGTAAATTAATAAAACAAAACTATAAACACTATATATTGTGGGAAATTTATAACATTAATATTTTATAATTAGGAATACCAGTATAATAGTTAAAAAACAACTATTACCTATTAATACATAATTATTATTCTCCGAATTATAAGACACAGGTATATAATAATCTACAAAAACAAATATTTCTGATGCAAGTGCTTAAATACTACAATACATTTTTTAAAAAAATAATAATAGTTGTTTAAGATTCAATTTAGTGAAATGATCAGCAACAACCATTGGAATAGTATTTTCCAATAAAAAGCTACTAAAATTATTTCTGCACGTGCTTGTGGCGATCAGAACAAGGGATTGGTTTAAAAGAAAAAATACTGCAATTTTACGAATATTCGGATTTTTTTAAATAAAAATATCAGATTTGACTTAAAAATTAGGGACAAATCTGAAAAATTCTGAACAGTCGGCAGCTATGACTTTAGGCAAACATTACCCCAGGATGATTTAACATTGAGAGTATTGATTAACAATTAAACTGTCAGCTTATCTCCTACACCCATCACNGATAAAATTGAAGTTTATAAATACATAATTCATGTTATGGTACATATCAAACATTACCCCATGATGATTTAACATTGAGAGTATTATTGATTAACAATTAAACTGTCAGTACACAGTGGTCTGTCCAGGCATTTTGTGAAAGGTCAGGTTTTCATGAAATTGTGAAAAAATTACTCACATTCTTTCAATCGGGGCCCGCTTTTACGAATTTGTGCAAATAGGGTCCGATTATTGCAAAAAACTTTTTCAATGAGTCTTTAAATTGTAAATAGATACAAGATTATGCTCAGCATTGTAAAATTATAATTAAAAAAATTAAATTTTCAAAAATAAGTAGCAATTGCTGCTTTTAAATTAGAGAAGCAACATACAAATATTTGGTATTTAGCCTATACTGCTGAACGAAGTATATTATTCATTTCGAATAATATACAGAATATTCATTTCGAATAATATACTTCAGAATATTCATTTCGGACGAATAATGGAAGAATTGACTGCTGAAGACAAAACTTAAATCGATTACACACATCTTTCTTGTTTTCTACCTTGGGAAGGGTTTATTTGATTAACTAAACAATAATGAAGATAAACAAATTTGTGAAGGGTCCGATTAAAAGATTATTTTGTGAAGGGTCCGTTAATGGACCCAAATTTCTTCTAAACAGACCCCTGGTACATGAATGCATAACACAGCACAACCAGTTTATTTTAAATTTTAACATTGCAATTGAAATTCATACCAGGAATAGAATGAAAGTAATAAATAATTTTTAAAATGTGAGAAATTAGATGAAAAAACAACCTTTTTATTACTATCTGCTAAATTCCAAATATGTTTTTAAAGACATCACATTTGTTGCTTATGCACAGCAGCATTTATAGAACACCTGTCGCCATACTGGTGTGTACATTTTAAGATACTCTATCGTAGAAAACATTAATTGCTGAAATTAGGCAGGTGTTGAACCGGGGAACAATTTGTTTCGCAATGTGCACAACCAGAGTTAATATTGGCAAGCAAACTTCTGACGATATTCAGCAACTGCCAGTTTAAATTATACTTCTACATTCAACTACACTTAACACGTTATGAAAACAAAATATAGTGCCCGCCGCTAATAAAATCAAATTGGCAAGAACCGAATCATTACAATATCAATACAAGTCAAAAACATCCTTTAATAAAATCAATGCCTCAGCTTTTTAAAATCAAAATTTTCACTACATAACAAATCAAAAGTGCAACATTTCAGCTTTTATTTGTTCTCATTTATAAAATATTACCTTTTCGAAGTTTAAAGATTTCTTTAGAAGAAGCAACAGCTACTCACAAACCTGTGAAACAGGCGTGGTTAGCACTTTCCTGCGATATACATAGTGTAAGAGTTAAGGAAAAATGTGGGTGGTAAGCAGCGAGTTCATAGAAATCAATTTATCAATGTCAATTCCTTGACCTGAATGAAGTTTGGAGAAACCTATCTCACTCAACAGGGGTCGAATTCTTATCTTACTTTTTATTGAATGAACCAGGATGGATCATATGACCATATGAATAGATTTCCTAAAACTGTCTGTGAGCATATTCCATATTATTTAAGCCGTTTGAGTAAATTAGAGTTAGAGCACATATCATTTTTAAGTTCGTTTGGGATTAAATTTTTATCAGCATGCCGAAAAGGAAGGATTTGAGTCTTAAAGATATCAATTCGAAGAGTTGCAAAACAAGGATAAGCTGCCTAAATGTAGTCAACTTGTAAAATAGGGGTTAAATTAAAATAGGGATTTCCTAAACTGCTCTTTTGAACATTCTGACACAAAGGATAAATATTTCTGAGGAAATAAAAAAGAATGGAAATCTGTCAAGAAAGCTTAAGCGTGAAGGAAAATCTAAAGAAATTGAAATGGCTCTGTTAGAATGGTTCAAAAATGCACACGAACTAAGATTTCCAATTTAACGTGTAATTTTATTTCACAAAGCACAGGACTTTGCGAACTCATTTGGTGATTCCGATTTTAAAGCTACAGATGGGTGGCTAACCCAATGAAAAGACCGCACAACATTGTCTATCATAAATTGCATGGCGAAAAGCAAGATGCTGATTTTAGCTCTGCCGCCGCTAACACTCATCCAAGACTATAAACCAGAGCAAATTTTCAACACAGATGAAACAGGATTATTTTTCCGAGCACTTCCTGAACACACACTGCTGTTTAAAAATTAATCGACTGGTGGATGTAAAAAAATAGAGGAAAGACTAACCACGCAGCTAACATGCAACATGACAGGAACTGTGAAGAAAAAAAAAAAAAAAACCATTAGTGATATAACGCATGGATGACATCCAGCATCTTCACAAAATTTCTTCTTGAATGGGACAAGGAGCTGAAAAATGAAAAGGTCAGCTAACTTTTAGACAATTATTCTGCGCACTCTGCTGATGAGGACTTTCGATTCAAAAGCATCAGTGTTTTTGCCACCCAATACCACAGCTATTATTCAACTCCTTGATCAGGGAATCATCATTCAAGTTTCATTACAGAAAAATGGTCGTTCAAAAAATCATTAGTGGCAGCTCTTCCGAACTCTCAACTGCAAACAAACTATCGAAATCCCTTACTATTTTGGAATCAATGCATTTGATTCGTAACTCATGGGACATAGTTTCAACCCATACAATATCAAATTGCTTTAAAAAGTGTGGAATAAGCACTGGCGATGGAGCTGATAACGGCTCGAAGAAATGCTCAGCAATGAAATGGGCGAGAATTTTTTACGTTATGTAGCTATTGACAATAACCTGCAAACATCAGGAGAAAAATCCGATTCTGAAATAGAGGAATCAGACATAAACTCATCAGTGTCATCTTCAATGGAAGTCAGAAAAGCACGTAAGGTATTGCAGCAAGTTTTAGAACAAAGGAGGAAATACTGAAAACTACAAAAACTTCTATTAACTCTCAAATGATGCTGAAAAGTTAATTTTAAATACTGCAATTCAAGCAACCATTGATCGGCTTTTCTAAATTTTGTAAATTTAATCTTATGTAGGGTTTTACTTTATTAAAATAATTAAATTAGTGTGCATTTAGAATACATCGTAAAAATGTGACTTTTTTCCAAACATTAAATCGCCTCTTAATAAAATCAAAAGAGCATAAAACAAAAGTGATTTTAATAAACGGGGGGCACTGTATTTACAAATAATGAACTGATAAATTTAGGGTAATTATAAGGCTAATACAAAGCAACTGGAGACTAGTAATGTAACTATATTCTATACCCACACAATGGAGTAGCACCTATTAGTTTACTGAAATGAATATTATCTAGTAATTACTAGAGCTATTAAAAGAAGTTTTTTTAGTTTCTGCAAGACAAAGCTTACCCTACATCAGTGTTTTCACCACAGCACGAGAAACCCGAATATTTTTTTTCTTTTCAAGCAATAAAATTTTTTAACGTGAAGTTCGAGCACTCTATTAATCAATTTCAAAATGCGCTAATTTCGGAAAAATTTCGTCTTTTGCCATTTTTAACAAAATCTGTTTCACTTTTCTTCCTTGATCTTTCATTATTTTGAACATCGATCCTTGTTTTCCAGCTTCCCTATTTACCAGTATTGCTCAAAACCGTTGCAAACAGCAGAACACCCCTCAACCAACGGAACCCCTTTCAGAACACATTTCTCTGCAACCACGTGTTCATCGTAGGTAAGGTTTCCTCATGTAAGATGGACAAATACCTTGTTAAGGTGACATCTACTACTCTGTAACGGACAAACGAAAATCAGTAGAAATAGTTAAAACGAAACAAATACGGATATTTCTCAGCCAAATAGATATAATAAATGATGAAAAAGTAGATATAGAACATTTTCTATATGATGATGCAGCAAAAATATTCAATTAGATGTTAAAAATGTATTATAATTAAAGAAATAATTTTTTACCCCAAGTCTATTTGTGTTTTTTTAATTTTTAGAAATCTCACCCTGTTTTTGAGAAATTCTCTCCCATTTTTTTTCTGTAATGAAAACACTGCCCGCATAGATCATTTGAGAAATTTTCCTTAACAAACCACAAGCCAACAAGTTATAAACAGAGATGCTTAACTTAGTAAAGTTGAAGGCAATTTTATATTTTAAGATACCAGGGGTCTGTCTAGGTTTTTCTGACAGGTACCTATTTTGTGAAAATTTAGACGTAATTTGTGAAAAATTAAAAATTATATTAAGAAATCAACACAAAAATATGGATTTATCGTTTCTTAAGGGATACAAAAATGAAATTTTAAGAAAAAGTATTTTGTGAAACTACCGTTTTTCCAAAATTGAATTTGTGAAACTACCGTCTTTCCTCAAGTTGAATTTGTGAAGGTACCGCTAAACGGTAGTAAATTCGGCCTGGACAGACCCCTGTCTTTAAATGACGTATAAATACGAAAGTCAACGTTTGATATTACAACCACATAAGCAAAATACGACATTGAATCTTAACAGAGCTCATTCTAGGCAGGAAAAACAGGGCGCAGCACCCTGTTGCCCCTGAAGTAAATTAGTGCCCTGATGTAATAGACTCCATAACCTTTTTGCCCCTTCTTTATCCTCTCCATAAACTCTACAATGGATTTCTTAAACTTTTGTTATTTTCAACTCTTTGTATTCAGTTTGTCGTTGCTGTCAATACATAGATTTATATGGGAAAGGAAAAATAGCAACGCAGTTACTTCCGCTAACATTAAATCATAAATACAGACACTAATTACTAAGATAATTAACTCATTAACTTGATATAAATGCTAATTTATTAATAAAAATTAGTAATTAATATGATTGCTACTTTCAGTGAAGTGAAAAAAATTTCGTTTAATAATTGACAAGGTTTTTCTAATAGAATGTGTAAAGTCCAGAGAAAGAAATTGTTGCTTTTTTAGAATAATAATGCCCCTTTTTTAAACTTTTGCACCCTGCCCTTTTTTCTGCCTAGAATGAGCTTCGATCTTAAACTCCAATATGTGAATACATCACCAATGCCTTCCTTTGAAGATTCTTCCATGACGGCTTCCGATTTACCTTAGATCTCCAATTCTTTTCATTAATTGCAAGAAAATCAGACTCCACTGAGTCAACCCACCAGCCTTCCCCGCTTTCCTGTTCCAGTGGGTCTAAACAGCAGTATCTTTCATATTGTCATCACTCATTCGAATCACGTGGGCCATCCAATTCAAACAGGATGAAAATTGTATCTCAACATTTGAGAGAAAGAATTTGCGGATTATACTTGGTGGTGTAAATGGAAACAATAACTGGAGAGATTTAACTTTGAACTGTACAAGATTTATAAACAACCTGATATTATTAAATACATTAAAAAATTATTTTGAATACAAACAGCTACATAGGGTTTTAAAAAGGCTCAAATACATATCACAATATTGGATTTTTAAATCCGGTAAATAAGAATCACAATATAAAATATCTAAATCGCATGAATAAGAATTACAATGTGAAACTTTTAAATCAGGTTAATACAAAAATCTATGTTGATGATGTAAAAAATTATGTGAATAAGAATCGAGATATTAGCCGATTCTGGGCTTGGGATTTCTAAGCTTTCGCACCAACACACAGGAAACAGAGACGACTGAATTACGATATATCTAATTTTCTGCATTAAAAGGGGAGAATAGAGATACAAAAGTCAAAAAATTTCATCTTTGTAGATACCTTACAGAGTTGCCCAAAGCAGTTGGGTCTTTCAAACTTCCAAACAGCCTGTGAAAAACAAAAAGGGGGAAAGAAAAAAAACACGGAAGGGAGGTTATTTGAAGACTCTAGCTTATAAGCAACCTTCCCACTTTTTTTCTCTTATAAAAAGTGTATTTTCAAGTTTAAAAATCTGACATTTATGACTTAGACAATAACAACTAATGCAAAAGATCATACTATATACATTCCCCAGCTTAATTGATAGTAACTGATATTCAACAAGACAGAATTCTGTATGAGACAAACCAAAATGATTTAACCAGAGATATGAAGCTTATATTAAACATTATAAAATGTCAACACCTAATTAATAAAATCACCAAATGAATTTTAAACTTGAATTTAAAAAAAAAAAAAACAATGTTACCTAAGGGGACAACTACAAGTTAAGTCGGTACCCTTCTGCGATTTTTTTTCCAGCTGAACAGAAATTATGAAAATCTACCATTTACTTTCCTGCAGATCACAATAAATAAACCTTAATTAGAATGGACACCTCGGTCAGCATGCAACTAATATAGCACTCAGTTAAATAAATTACCAACATCTAAATCTTAATTCTATTCGAAGAAAAATCTTTCTTTCAAATTGCTCTCACAGAATATTTAATCATCCTATCTTCAGTCAACAATCTTATGTAAAGCAACAATATAGGTCAATATAATAAAAAAATTATTGAAAACTTACTTTGACAACAACAGCTTTTCTGCCGGCATATCGTCCGTTTAGAATAAGCACAACTTTTCCTATTTTCATAATTTTACCCATGCTGTAATTAAGTATAAAGAATCAACATATTATTCAATGTAAGGCATTTCAAAATGAATTACTTTGAAATAAAAAATTTCAGAAATATGTACTAAAAATAATAATCCAATCATAACAAAGATTATTTGCATTGTTTATTGGATTAATAATTATAATAATATTATATACTTACGCTGGGATTAATTTAAGTTATTGCTTCACCTAATAATTTAGCCGATGTTTTCCGATTTTTACTTGTATGGACACGACAGAGTAAAGTTGAGTTGTATCATTTTTTCTTTCTTGGAAATAAAGCAAATAGTAAATAAAGATATAACTTCAACTTCTACTAATCGAGTCATTTGGAAATTGCGATACCACAGGTTTCATATTCAGCGAATATGATCGAACCACTGGTTTCTGTTCAAATGCTTTGAGGAAATTACGGTTTTCCGATTCAACTGACCACGGTATGTTCTTTTCGATAGCGTTTGGATCATTCACACTTTAGGGAACTCAAACATCTTCGATTGCCGTAGAACGAAAAGGAGGCCGAAAAATATTTTGTCGAGAAAATCGATCGGAGCTGCGGAAACTGCGTTTGGGGTGAATGCCTCTGAACTCTCTATTCAGGAAGCTTTCACTGCATGCGAAATACAGCATAGAAGAATTTGAGGAATCACTGCTTTTTTTTCAACTTTGCAACTATTTTTAAAATGGAAAATATTTTTTTCCTCTTAAATTAAAGTGAGGGGCCGAAGAATGAAGTTCACCCCTTCTGAAAATCAGACATTCGCATAAATAAATTTAGTATTTAATTCTTTTTTCCTTTTTTTTTAACTTTTGAGCTATTTTCGAAATAGAAAATTTTATTTTCCTCACAAATTTAATTGATGGAGAGGAATTACGTGCGTCACCCCTTCTGAAGCTTTGACATTAGCCACAATAAAGTAAAATAGAATTGATAATTTTAGAAAAAAAACTTATTTTTTCAGCTTTCTAGCTACTTTCCAATTGTAAAACTTTCCCCCCTCGAAACAAATATTTCTATTTAGTTTCAATTTGTTTTCTACATGAGGCAACTTTTAATGCATTAAAATTAAAAGAAAACATTTATTACAACCAAAAGACGCACAAAAAGTGGCACAACATAAAAATTTTTTAGTAAACCAAAATAATTGCCTTTTTTACCCTTCCCTAGATGGAGCAGTAAAATGCATCCTGGCCATTGACAAATATACATATTATAATGCATCCCTTGACTTTCAATACCTTTCTTCATACCACCCATAGAGACATCCCTCAGTTATCAGACTCCTCAAAAAATAACCACCACATTTTAAACTATGGGAAAATGTACTTCTACTTCTTTAAATTGCCTTTATCATTTTTTTTAGCCCAGAGCTATTTTGTCCTTTTTTAAAATGTCATGCACTCACAGAACCATCTATTTGTTGGATATCTAGTCGTAAATTGTCCTAAATAAGTAATTATCTAGATGTTCAAGGAAAACAGATGTAAGCTTTTAAGGGATCTAAGGAAACGACTCTTGCTGACATTTACTTCAATAATTTTATTATTAAGAGACTTTTTCTGAGACAAACGTTCGAATCACTCTCTATTAAATTTTAATTTTTCAGCTCATTTAATCGCATCATTTAAATTAACTATTTTTTTAATTCAAATATAAATTCTTTGTTAACCTTTATCTTGTTCTTCAATTTTTGAAATTAAGATTTATATCTAATTGAGGCTAATTAAAATAATTTGCAGCAAACATTTGCATTAAATCACATAATGCATTTAAAACTGTTTATTTATGAACTGTCCAAATTGCTTTATGTGAATGGTGGTATAAAAATTCCCTTTTTTTATGTTCTTATAACAAAGTTATTTACATAGTTATTTTACAGTGACGAGGGGGTTTCACTGGGCGGAATGGGTGAAGTACGTCGGGAGCTTAGCTCCTGGTAGGGCCACCCTAGGCGTGAAGGCCATTTCATTATGCCCAGCTAATGCTAGCAGGTGAAACTATGGAGCTAAATTAGTCTTCTACCTTTGGTGCTCCAGGTCACTTTCAGCCAACAGAAGCTGTAGCACTTTCCCCTGTACCATGAGTCTAGTTCATCTTTAGAATTAGAGGTAACGCTCTCCCCTGGATTTCTGATTTTTTAAGGGCCAGAACCATCAGAGTTAAATTCAATAAGACCCCCTCAAGAAATTTTAGACTCGGCCAGGGAGTCCCCCAGGGTTCCGTCTTGGGACCTCTGCTCTTCTGCCTATTTCTTTGCAGGCATCGAAAAGGTGATCTCTAAGAGATGTAATGTTGGTATTTTTGCCGATGATGTCGTCCTCTGGCACTCTGGCGCTGACATTAAGACTATTGAAGACAATATCAACCTCACTCTAAAAGATGTGAGTGACTTTTCTCAAAGACACAAACTGGTTTTTAACTCATCTAAATCTGTTGTTAGTTTTTATACTACCAAATAGGCACATATACAATTATAAACCTACTTTTGTTTTAACAGTCGAAATTTGCCCTATGAAAAGAATGCAAAATATTTGGGTTTTATTATGAACCAACCAGGATATTCTTGGCAATAAGCACATTGAGCTGCTGGAATCGAGGTGTAGAAAGAGGTTAAATATCCTAAAATATATTTCTGGGCAAGACTGGGGAGCAGATGCTACAATTTTGAAATGAGACACTGCACTTACACTGCACTTATTAGACCCATACTGGAATATGGGCACCTATTTATTCCTGTGCTTCATAGACAAACCTGAATAGATTGGAAAGAGTTCAAATTAGTGCTGCAAAAATTATTACAGGTTTGAGGCGTCCAGATAAAATTGTTCTGTTTGAATCTGACCTCCAGCCGTTATACATGAGAAGGAACTCCAGATTCCAGAAATACTACAATAGGCTCATCAGTTTTGGTGACCAGAATAGAACCTCTTACTATTTCAAAAATTGGAAAAATAATCATAGACTGAAGAGAAACAGTCCCTTCTCTTTGACTGCTTCAATTCACCTTGTAGACTTGCAATATCCCTGCCGAATTGAACCTCATTCCTTAGCTCTGTTACTGATTTTTCTGGTATCCATTTCCACACGGAGCTGTTGTACCCGGCACATACAAGTAAAGACAACCCAGAATTTATGAGACAAATGACTCTTGAAACTATTAGCCAAATACCAACAGATGCTTTTCAACTATACACAGATGGCAGCAAGAGCGACGTAGGTCATTCAGATAGTGGGGTTTTTATTAAAACTCCCACGTACACATTGAGTCTCAAATTTAGAAATTCTGAATTTTGCTCGGTTTTCAGATCTGAGCTTATTGCGATTGAAAATGGCCTAAGACATGTTGAGAATATTGCTGAGTCTTACTTTAAGCATATATGGATACTGACGGATAGCAAACAGGGCCGTAACTACGCCGGGGCAGTCGGGGCACCGCCCCGGGGCCCCGACGGTCAAGGGGGCCCCATATGAAGGGACCACGCGAAATTTTTTAAAATAGTTTATATATATATATATATATATATATATATATATATATATNAGTAGATATGCCAACAACCCAGGAAAACCTCATTGGATGGCTGTCAAAAGAATTTTCAGATACCTAAAAGGTACATTATCCAAAAGGCTAACTTTCCGGAAAAATGGACAACTACAAGGTTACACTGACTCAGACTGGGCCAACGACAAAGACGACAGAAAATCAACAACAGGTTTTGTCTTCTGCGAATCAAATTGTGCCATAATTTGGAACTCCAAAAAGCAACAAACAGTCGCCTTATCAACAGCAGAAGCTGAATACATGGCAATTTCTGCAGCATCACAAGAATTACTGTGGATTAAACAACTCAAAGAGGAACTGTTCAACCAAAAGATGGATGCAATAAAATTACACTGTGACAATCAAAGTGCTATAAAGATCAGTACCAACCCCATGCTATCATCTAGAGTGAAGTACATAGACATTCGTCACCATTTCATAAGAGAAAAAGTCGAACTTGGACTGATCCAGTTGTGTTACATTGATTCGAAATCAAATGCTGCTGATGTACTCACCAAACCGGTGACTAGTGAACAACTTAAAAAATTCAGTATTGTATTGGGACTTTCGTGAAGTGGGGGTGTGAGAATATCTCTCAACCTTACTGTAACTTTCAGACACTGAATCTGGCAACGCCATCGCCGAGACTCATCTCATCAGTCTGTTTACAAACACCGCGTCGTTCAGACGCTCGTGTCATTCATTCGTAATTTCCATATTATTCTTATTTACATCAAATAAATATTTTCTGTTGATATCTGTTTCCTACGTATCATTGCTCAAATTAAGCTCTCGCTAACAGAATATGGGCACCTATTTATTCCTGTGCTTCGGAGACAAACCTGAATAGATTGGAAGGAGTTCAAATTAGTGCTGTAAAAATTATTACAGGCTTGAGGCGTAGCTGTCCAGATAAAATTGTTCTGTTTGAATCTGACCTCCAGCAGTTATACATGAGAAGGAACTCCAGTCTCCAGATACACTACAATAAGCTCATCAGTTTTGGTGACCAGAACAGAACCTCTTACTATTTCAAAAATTGGAAAAATAATCATAGACTGAAGAGAAACAGTCCCTTCTCTTTGGCTGCTTCAATTCACCTTGTAGCTTGTAGACTTGCAATATCCCTGCCGAATTGAACCTCATTCCTTGAGGGCATGTTTTAGCCCTGTTACTGATTTTTCTGGTATCCATTTCCTCACGGAGCTGTTGAACCCGGCACATAAAAGTAAAGACATCCCAGAATTTATGAGACAAATGGCTTTTGAAACTATTAGCCAAATACCAACAGATGCTTTTCAACTATACACAGATGGCAGCAAGAGCGACGTAGGTCATTCAGATAGTGGGTTTTTTATTAAAACTCCCACGTACACACTGAGTCTCAAATTTAGAAATTCTGAATTTTGCTCGGTTTTCAGATCTGAGCTTATTGCGATTGAAAATGGCCTAAGACATGTTGAGAATATTGCTGAGCCTTACTTTAAGCATATATGGATACTGACGGATAGCAAATCTTCAATCCAACACCTTAGCAACTGGATGAATGTTGGAGACAGGGCTGCGGCTTCAATTTTGGGGATGCTCTTCAGGCTCTCAGCAGACTTTGGGGAACACTTCAATGGATTCCATCACAGGTTGGAATCAAAGGTAACGAGATTGCGGACTCACTGGCTAAAGATGCTTCTT